GCGTGTATATACTTGACCAAAAATTTAATTGTCATTTGATTAACAATTTCAACTAAGTGTCAAAATGCTTTTCCTTCCGCAATCTATTTTTAAATCAAATTCGAGTTTACATGAAATTTTCTCATCAAAATTGCACAAGTTTCATGAGAGTTGAAATTCTTTTGGATTCACCATGAGCAACATTTTCCTCTCTTCTTTCCAAGTCAACCAATGAAACCTTCATTTTACTTTTAACGTCATTCCAACTCTCTTCAGCTTCAAGGTTTTTCCAGAAGCAAGAAACAAGAAAAGTAAAACTCAAGGTTTTTCTGAAAAAAAATCTCGTTCTAAGTGAGCAACTTTTGCTTATCCAACATGATCTATTGGAAGCTCATAAACTCAAGGTAATCAGAGAAGGTAGCAGCATCAATACCTTTGTACAAAAACCAATTGATAACAAAGTATCAAGCGGTGTGGCTCAATTGAACAACCAATTGTGTTGCATTGAAAGCTGACACAATTAGCTAATCTTGTGCAAGATCAGCTTTTATCAGTTTCAATGTTTTGATGTAAATCTGGATCAACTTTGGAAGTTTGAATGTTTCGAGTTTTGCTTTTTGTGCAGTTTCTTGAAGATGATTGATGAGAGATTAAAAGTGTAACAAACTGTGGTCAAGTTAATTGTGTCTTAATCATGTTTTTCTTGTAATTGACTTTCGATTAGTACAAAAGGCTTTATTAATTAACCAGAAAGGGATGAGATAAAGCTTAATGATTGATGATACGAGTAAAGAGAAGAAGAAAAAATGATTAAAAAAAACAGATTATCATGATAAGTGATTGTGTTGCATTGGTTTCATTTTGTTAACTTTTGTTTCTCTGCTTTTTTGCTGTTAATGTTAATCAAGAGGAAACAATCAGTGAAATCAATTAATGGAAAATTGTTTCAATGGTTCAAGGAATTATCATCTCATGTTGGTTAAATTTAATTAGATTGTTGAACAAATGATGATGACATCGATTATGATAAGAGATGTGAAAGGCAATTGTGTAAAGCTTGTGATGGAAAGTGAAAATAGATAAGAGTTATCATGATAAGAATGAGCTAAAAGAAGAGTCTATGTGAACATGATCATGGTGAAAAAGAAAAAGGCAATCAGCAGAATAGTCGTGAAATGAGAAGAACAGAGAAAAGGAAGAAAAAAGATTAATGAGAATTGAGCAAAGTCTGAAAGTGTATTTCCATGAAACTCAGTCCAAGATGAAAGGTAAAAGCTATGAAGGTGAGTAAAAGTTTGAATGCAATTTTGAAATGAATTTAAAAGGATCATAATGGAAGGGTTAATGGTTGGGAATGGATGAAACCAACGGAAAACCATGGTTTTAGTACATTTGGAACTTGATGGAAACTCGCAAGAAAATTCGTTTTTGTGTGACTTAAGAAGAGTGGTTAATGGTTACATTTGCTCTAAAGGTTGTTTGATTCGTGACTTACTTGCAGAAAAGGTCGGACGCATTGGGCGAGTGACATGAGAAGGTGTGATAGGCTGTTGAAAAGGCAAAGCAAAAGGTCGCTGCGAACAAAAAGGTTTCCAAAACCAGTCGATCAGTTGCCGCGAAATGGTTGGGCGCATAAAGCATGAACCGAACTGTTAGTGAGGCGAAGATGGCAAAGCCGATGAAATGTGACCAGATGTTGATTGTTTCCGTGTGAAGGCGAAATATTGAGCGAATACATTCTTTATAAGAAGGTAAAGGTGGACGATGTCCACTTATGAGGTATTCATTGTGTTGAAGCCAAGAAGGCAACGAATGGAAATGGCAGAGAGGCCATGAGAGTGGGCTTGTTGGCTCGGTTGATGGCTTGGTTGGTAATGATTTTGACTCAGGTTTCGATAAACATTCAACATTCATTTCGAGTCTTTGGGTGAAACCAGGAAAAAACTGTACACTTTTTTGTTGGTAACTTGAAAACTACTTTTTTTAAGGTTGACTTTTCATCTCATTTTGTCTGGTTTAATGATAATCCGTTTTGATAGCAATGTTGAATTAATCTTTACTTATTAATTCACAGGTTGCAATGGGAAAGGTTTATGTTTATTGGTTGATGAGTTTTTGTTGCACTAATCGACGAAATGATGAAGATAAGAAACTCACTTTTTTTTGTTTTCTCACTTTCTCTCTTCTCTCTCTCAGACCGGTTTATTTAAACACAGCATTTCACTTTACAAGTTAACATTTAATTCATGTCTTCCTCAACACAGAAGACGTCTTTGTTGCTCACAAAGTCTATGATACTGTGGTCTGTTAATCGTTGCCAAATGATAATTATTGATGGTAAAGGAAGTTTGTGTTTTAACGTTGCTTCAATTAATCATTATTGCCTTTTAATGGTAAATGCTTGGTGAATGATGAAGCAAGGTTGACTCGATGTAATTTCAACCAAAGGAGGCTGTGGTTAAGGTCACTAGAGTGTTGAACGGAGTAGTTGCTTGTAACATTAAAACATGTGCGTCTGATATAAACAGGAAATTTATTGGCCTTGCAGTATTTTTCAGCAATAACATTGATTTTAATTGCACCTTTATCAATTTTCAGGGTTGAGAAAGACCCAAGTTAATGAGAAGCAAAAGTTTGATATTAAACAACTGATAAAGAGACGAGGTCAAGTCAGGCTGACCAGTAATTAGTGAACATTGTATACCTTTTTAATTTCATTGATGCATGTACTTCAAACAAGTCAGTTGTTTGCTTCAGCTCTTGATTTGAAACATTAACGATTGAAATGCAAAGTTGTACCTTTTTCTGAATCTTAATATTGAATAGGAAAAGCATTTTCAATCATGTATTGAATCGTGTTCGTTATTAATTGTTGAAAGCTAAGGGGTTGATAGATGAGTAGATGGTTTCGATGTAAGAAACTCACTCTTGTAAGCCAATTCAGTTATGATACACCGCTATGATTTTGATTCATTTTAAAAAAGTCTCATCGTTTCGTCATTTTTTGATTGCTTAATCGACCATCTCTATCAATGTTAATTCATAGGGAAAAATCCTAATTTGGATGTCGAGAAATTCGTACATTAGCTCAAAATGTTTCCACCAGATAGCAGCACTAACAGTTTATTAGTAAAATTCAACATTTGAATGAGCTTCCATCTTGTGGCTCTATTTAGAGGTAAAAATTTTCTAACTAATGATGAACTGTTATCCGAATTGATTACGATATCCCTTCATTGACGCATTGATCGCGTACAAGGAAAGTGACCTTGGTTGTTTTCAATCTTTTTGGCTTATATTGTGGAGGTCTATTTATACTTTATCGTGATAGTGCGCGTTAATGGTATTTGGGCATTTAATTAAAGATACATTGCTGACACTGTGAAGTATATGAAACAGTAGCAGAAAAATGAAAACATATCGCAATGAAAGTACAGTCACCATTGAGAAACTGTGCATAAATTTTTTAATGGCCTCTATTCAGGAGGAGTTAGTTCTACTTTTGAATTTCGTCGAATTCGATTAGATTTCTTTCATTATAAATTAAAGGTGTTTCCGATGAAAAATTTATTGAGATTGAATCCGATTCAATGTCAATAAATTGTGACGTTTTGTGACGTCACAATGGATTTTTCCGGTGAAATGTTAATTGGATTTACTTCCGGTGACTTTTTTGACCTGTGAATGTTTTTTTCAGCCGTTAGATCATTTTTAGGACAAATTAAGTCCAAAAATGTCGATGTAAATTGATCTTAATCGACTTTTTTGGATCTAGATAACTCGATCCATTTTTCATCGGAAACACCCTAACTTAATTCAATTTTCTTTCGTGAAATATTAATCCAAAAAACTCGAAAAATCAGCTTAAAGCAACATTTTAAGTTAGATTTTATATATTAAGGAAAATTTAAAATTATGAACTACGATGCCCGACCAATAGTGTAAATAAGCTATTTCAAGCGAGGTGCGTTTTCTCAATGTTGACTGTAGTGAATAACTTTACGATAATTTTAATGCTACTTTTGTTGAAAAGGATGAAAACGAAATGAATAGGTAAAAATACCTAGAATAAAATGGACAATCTCAGAGATTCACACTCGAGAAATATCAATTATGTAAAGGGTCAAAACGAAAGCCAAAATAGAAAATGTTTAAACAGAGAAAGGCGAAATAGCAAAGGGCAAAATAAAGAAGCTAAATAATTGAACTGATTGGAGTATTTTCTGAAAATTAAAAACAATGCTTTGATCGACATAAACTGAATTGGCTCAATCAAATTCTTTCCGCAATCATGGCTAATGATGAACTGATCAATAAAAGAAAGGTGAAAATCCTTGCTTCTATACGACAATATACGATATTTTTCGCGCATTTGACTGTCTCTATTCTGCTTACAGTGTTTTGTCCTTCTCGGTTTTGAGTCCTAACCATCAACTTTAACTTACCAATAATTAATGCCTTCGACCGAAACTAGTTTTTCTGGTCAAAGTATTAGTGGTACATGGTCAGTGTATTTTGAATTTTGGCAGTTGTATCTTCAAGTTTCGGAATCCATTCTACTCAACAAATATTGTGATTTCTTTTAATAGTAATAACTCTAATTTTTATATTTAGTGTTGACTAATTGTTTCTCAAAATGAGTGAAAATGATATAAGTTCAGATAAAAGTAAGTTCTGATTCTATTAATACAATGTTTAAAATTGGTTGAAAAATATTAACAAATAAACTTGATTCCTAGCAACATTAAAAGTGAAGCTGGCAGGTGAAGACTATCATGATATTATGATTGATTGGAAGGATAAAAGTAGTCCATACAAACAACAAATCTTTAGGAGAGTAAGTAAAATAATTAATTTCATCTATCATTACTAATTACTATATTAATCTTAGCTTGCAGGGATAACAGGAATACCGATTCATTATAATTTGCATCTTTTTTTGCCATCTACTGATTATTCTTTTGTTGACTTGCATTGGGAAGGATATTGCAATAGAGAAGCTCAGCTATACAGGTAATTTTATACATGCATAAATACACTCGTAGCAATTTTTCGGTGTCGTCATCTTTGGTATTTTAGAGACATGACCCAGATAGGGATACCTTCGAAGTGATGATGTAGAGACGGAGCCTCGAACTCGTGACGTTTACAGCATCTCGCTCGACCTTGGAGATAATTTCGGATAAAAGTTGACCGATTTATTGCGTTAATCGCAGCTTTGAGTTTTTCATTCATTTTATCTAATAATTTTTTTCTTATTAGGAATGATGATCGTTCTAATGAGAAAAAATTGAGCAAAGAAAAGATTATGCAGATTATGGATGGTAATGAACAGGGCTTTTCATTTTCTATGCAAGTCTATCTTTCGGTTATCAGCATAAAGATTATGCACTGCAATGAAATTTCTGGTTTACATAAAATGAATTAATCTTGCATAAAAGATCTTAAAGAATCATAAAAAAGTTTAAATCAAAACAAAACAAACATTCCTTTTCCTTTTCATTTTCATCTAATGATCAGCAAAGTATTTAAATCACCGATTTTGACCAATAAAAATGAGATTTTCAATTTTTACTGAACAATTTTTGTTGAAGCAATCTTAATGAATGATGAGAAATTCAATTCAATGCATAATTTGATGATGGAGAAACTTAATTTTTTGCAATTTTTGGGCTTCTAATTTTGAATTGATTCCTTTATAAGGCTTTGATTTGATTGTTTAATTCTCATTTACATTTTACCTATTTTGTTATTTGTTTCATTGCAATTTTCATTAAAATCTTAAAATGGATGAAACTGATGATCAACTAATTGCAAGATTGAAAACTTACATTGCAAAGTTTGGTGATGCTTTTTGTTTGATTGGTCAAAGTGTCAAATGTGTTTTTTGTAATAAGTTATTGAACATTAGTCGACCTTTTCAATTGTCTCAACATATCAAAACTGCAACTCATCAACGTGCTCTTTATGCTACTAATGCATTGAATTCAGATGAGATTGACCCTTCATCTGAACAGTTTCAATTCAATAAGGATTTATTCAATGCCCTGATTTCTGCTGATATTGCTCCATATAAAATTAACAATGAAATTTTTCGTAATTTCATGACTAAATGGACTGGTAAAACCTTACCATCTGAATCATCATTACGACGGCAACTCAATACTGTGTTTAATATGAACCTTGCCAAAGTTGTTGAACATTTTAGAGGAAGCAAAATTTGGGTTTCAATCGATGAAACGCAAGATAAAAAAGGTCAAAATGTTGTTGCTGTTTTAGCTGGTAAATTGGATTCAACAATTGAAGGAAAGCCAATTTTACTCAATATTAGTTTTGTTTCCAATGTAAATCATTCGGTAATATTTCAATGCGTTAATGATGCTCTTAAACTGATGTGGCCTAATGGGGTTGAATATGATGCTTTCCTCTATTTCATTACTGATGGTGCAGCTTACATGAAAAAAGCAGCTGATGGAATGAAAATGTTGTATCCTAAGATGATTCATGTAACTTGTTTAGCTCATGGAATTCATCGAGTTTGTGAATTGATTCGAGATAATTTTTCCAACCTCGATAAACTTATTTCAACTGGTAAAAAAGTTTTCCTCAAAGCTCCAGTTAGACAAACATTACTTCGAACTATGAAGCCTGACCTCAATTTACCACCAAGACCAATAACAACTAGATGGGGAACATGGTTAAGTGCCATTGAATATTATCATCAAAACTTAGATGATTTTGCTGAAGTTGTTTCATTCTTAGATGAAGATGAAGCTGTTTCAATTGCTCAGTTAAAAAGAATCATCAATAACGAAGCTTTGAAATACGATCTTGCTTTTGTTAAAAATAATTATCTATTCTTAGTTGACATAATCAAGAACTTGCAAACTGAAAATTTAACACTCAAAAGAGCATTCGAAGTTCTAGATTGCTGTAAAACTGAACTTTTCAATGTTACAGCACCAATTGCCATTAATATCAATCAAAAATTTGATAGAGTAATTCAAAATAACCCTGACTTAAAAGTAATCAGAAAAATTAACCAAATTATAAATTATAATGAAATTCCTGACCAGCAATTGAATTTTTCATCTGAGGAATTAGCTTGTTTCAACTTTGCTCCTCTTACAACTGCATCAATTGAAAGATGTTTTTCAAAGTATAAAAGCTTTTTACGTGAAAATCGGTTGAGTTTCACTCAAGAAAATTTAAGAATGTATTTCATTTTACATTACAATTCAACTCAACTTTGATTGTTTTTGCCAATTGGTTTGACAAAGTTAATGTTAATAAATTAAATTGCATATTTTGTCATTTTTTGGTCATATTTGACTCATAATCTTACATAAATTTTTGCATTATCAGTTGCATAAAACATAGATAAAAAGTATGCAAACAGCATAGAAAATGAAAAGCCCTGGTAATGAACACTTCGGCCTTGATATCTTACTTGAATGTTGTCAAGATAAGCATTTGTATATCCGTTACTCAATTGTATCAGAAAGATTTATCAGTGAAACAGAATGTACTCAGAATTTTTGTCAACACACAAATACACGAGCTTTTTTGAACAGATATAAAGATATAATAGCTGATGATGTTTTACATTCCCAAATGAAGGATTTACTTGTTGTATCGAGGTTTATAGACCAAGACAGAATATTGGTAGATGAATGGTTCCAAACTTTTAGACAACTTAACATCATGCAATATTGTCGCAAGTATTGTTATATTCGTGAACAACAACTTAGGGATACGTCAGATAGGTTGGGTCCCTATTATGTGCCTTCTCAGCTCTATCTACGTACTCGCGGTTAATTATTTTGGTGCATATTATTTAGATATCGCGAATCAAGATAAAAATGAATAAATCTGTCTGGATATTGAATTGTAAATGTTTAATTTTGTAGACAAACATTTAAAAGCATAACTCAATTATGTTATTTTTCAAATAAAGACAAATTTTCACAGAAACTTTTGAAGCTCACTTTCAAACTCATTGGTCACTCATATTTTGTTAATTTCTGTCATGATTCTTTTTAGTCCGAAATAAAACTTGAAAATTAAAAAAATCTTAAAGCAAGTCTCAACTAATCATTCGACTGAATAAGTGACTCGAGCCGACTCAGCTACTTTCATAGCAACTCAAGCCAAACTCAACCTGCTTCGACTAACTGACTGGCTTGATATGACTAGCTTCGGTACTAACCTCAATCAACTTTCAAAGTAAATCAAAGTGATATTGTAATTTACTTTAATAATAAAATGAATTACAATTCTGACTTTGACAGCTTATTGATAGCTTTGCTACTAAATTAAAATTAATATCAATTGAATGTTTGTGATGCATAGAATCAATAAGCAAAATTTGAACTTTCTAATCAACATCATTTTATAATTTCCAAAAAATGAATCGAAAGTTTGATTCTAAAGATGTTTTGAATTCTCATTTTGTGGTGATATTTTTGATATCGATCCAGTTCTACAGTCCAACTCCTTAATATTGTTATCATTCCCAGTTGCTCATCTCACATTTGCAAATATAACCACTAGATGTCATGAAATCTACAGATTTAATCAGAATTTTCTTTTGAAAGTAAACATGTTGAGGGAACAACTTTTTTTCCTCTCTTGACTTGGTCCGTACAAATCTTAGTCATGTTTTTCTTTGAACATTTTTCTTTTCATTATCTTCTTCGAGTATCAGTTCATCTTGTACAGCTATAGCTATTGCAACAGCAACTTGTGCATTTGTCAAACAAAAAATGTGGATACACCAAACTGGTCAACTTTTCATTCAACTTTTCATTAACATTCAACATTTACTTTTATTTCAATGTGAGTAAAACTTTTCATCAACTTTTCAAAGTCAACCTTTTCTTTAAAATTTTTGCTCCTCAAACTTCCAGCCAATTTACTCTTCAAACTTGTTCATTCTTTTTCATTCAAATTCATTAATCATTTGACATGAAATTTTCCAATTCCCTTAAAAACAGTGTTGATTTTTGGACTTTTCTAAAAGAAAAAAAAAGTTTATCTAAAAATCGAACTTTTATTTTCTGTTGACAAAGCAAACAATCAAGTTATCCCAACATGTTGACATGCAAATCCATACTAACTGGGAACTTTGTTTCACTTTTAGATATTCACTTTTCTTTAGCGAAAGAAATTAATTTGATTAATGAAAAGTTCACAAAGGATGACAATGAGCCTTATTTCACTGAAGCAATGTCCAATGTTACAGTTCAAGTTGGACGTCCAGTTAAATTTCAATGTATTGTAGCCAATCTGGGCAATCATCAAGTAAGTATCAAAATCGACTTTTTCCTTGTCAATGAAAAATTTGCTTTCCTTAAATTTTGTTCAACTCTTTTTGAGCCAATCGAGCAATCATTTTGTTGAAGCAAATAAAAAATGTAAATGAAAATGAATGTTTTGTGTTGGATTGAAGCTGAAGGAAGGTTCATTGGCTAGTCAAAAGAGTGGGGTTGAAGATGAAGATGAAGAAGAAGCGATGAATCTGAGATTTTTTGTTGTAGATAAATGAGAATGAAAAGAAAGAGGAAAAAAAGAGTCGATAAGATGGAGGGTTTCTGACAAGGACATTCAATAAAGAGGAAGAGGGAAAAAGCATCCCAAGCAATGGTGTGCAGCCATTATCATGATATAGTTTTTTTCAGTGAAACTGGTTCAACATTTGAAGAAGCCCAAGTCCATCGGTTTCTCCTCTCTTCTTATCCATCTTCATCTTCTTCTGCATCTCAATCTTTATCAGCATCATCATTCTTTTTTCTCTCTTTTCCTCTCTTTACTCCCTTTAACCATAAACATGTTTGTTGGTTATTAAATGAAAATTGGTTTAACCCGGGCCAAATTGTCCCATTGTACGAGATTGCGTCTTCATCTCTGTCTCTCTCTCTGTCTCTCTCTCTCTCTCTCTCTCTCTCTCTCTCTCTCTTGTGCTAAATTAAATTGATGAAGAGTAAAAAGAAGTTTCTCTCGAAGTTCAATATTTTGTTTCTGTAGCAAGCTTGAACAAGTTTAAGCATGAAAGGGAAGAGATAAAAGAGACTGGGAAGGAAGATGATACAAGATGAGATTGAGGGTGAGAAGGGAGTGAATAAGACAGAGGAAAGTGAAAGTTATATTGATGAAGGAAGATGAGGAAGGAAAGCCGCTAAGCCGATTTTGTTAAGCTTACCAAGCGATATTCATCAAGAAAAATCAAGGGAGAAAAGAAGTGTGGAAAGGGCCTAATCATGATTGAAGAAAAGAAGAAGAAAAAGTGATGATGATCGAGATGAAGGAATATTTGGTCTGTAAGGGAATGATAGACTCTGAATAATATTGAATCTGATTCTGTTTTGAGGATACAAAATGAGATGAGAGGGTTAAATTTGATACTAGCCTAAGGAAGGTGTAACTGGATAGGTTAGTCTGCAGTTTTAGTTCAATCCTCAATTCTGTTCTCTTTTCATGATCAACCTCAAGTCTCAAGTGAATTTCATTTCAAGAGTAATATATCCGGTTAAAAAGTACGGAAAAAGGGTCAACAAGAGTGGATCAGTGTACATGGCTTTTGAATATAACAGACAAAGTCCAAGAGATAAGTCTTAATTAAATCATTGTATGAAAGGTTCACCTTAATGTTAATAAACATCCGTTTCAATTGAAAATAAGATGATGATTACTTGAAAAGGGATTATCAGGATGCACTTTTATTTGGATGGAAATTGTTTTCGCCAATCAATAGATATTAATGATAATGGATCATCATTTTGCCAACAATTGATTGCATTTCATTTAATTTAATTTTATTCACCAAAATGATCAGAAATTGGATTAATAATGAAAAGTCTAATTTTTCCTCTTCTTCTTTTTCTTCTTCTTTCCTTTCGTTCATTCTCAGGTTGCCTGGTTTCGTAAAGATAAACATACACTTTTAGCGCTTGGAAATGAAGTTATTTTAAAAAATAATCGTATTTTAGTCTCTAATCATACAGACAAGATATTTTATCTGACGATATTTGCTGTTCGAGAGGAGGATAGAGGTGAATATATGTGCCAAATAAACAGTTCACCTCAAATAGATCAAAGCGCATTTCTTAAAGTCACAGGTAAGATTACTTTTTGAAAATGCCGATTAAAGGTGAGCTTGGGTTCATTTACACAGAAGATTGAAAAAATTGCTTTTCGCTCATAAAAAAAATTTCGAACTGAAATTTCAGGAGAAAATAGTTTTCAACATTGATTCTTTAACCAGTTTAAAGTTGAACCGTGATTAAAGATGAAGCAATTCAATTGAAGTTCAATCTGTAAATGAGCTCAAACGCTCAATCTTTCACCTCTTGTCACAGTAGAGTTTGCTGAACACAGAAGTCTGAAGTTTATCCAAGTCCAAGTTTCAGTTAACAATTCTTAAATTTTATTAATTTGCAACATTAATCGAACAATTAAGATCAGCGAAAATCTACCAAATTTTCGAGTTCGATTTCTTTTTAGAAACAAATTGCAAAATTCCAACTCATTCTAAAGATTATTTGTTCTTGTTTGAAGTCGATCGTTTAGTGTGATCCAAACTAAAGGGTCAACACTTTTTGCAAAACATTAATCTTGGAATGTGAACTGGACCAAAGTGGAATGAAGTTTTTCAGAAAAGGGTTAAGACAAATGTTTAAATTTAAATACAATGTGAATAAAATGTGATCAAAAATGGCGTGTTTATTGTGCGATCAAGTTTCAATTGAATGTTTAATAAAGTGTTGCTTATTTGCTCAATCAAAAAGCATGAAAAGTAAAAGCACTTTTCGATGAAAGATTAACATTGAATCGCAAGTTGAGTTTGTTTGTGAGTATCTTGTTAACTGTGTAACAAGAAAATACAAAAAAAGTACAAAAAGCTGGAGTGAAAGGGCAAGAAAAGGGAAGAAATGAAATTGTGAGCAAATAATGTATTTGGTATTGTTTATCCTTGTCTATTGAAGGTTTACTGTTCAAACAAATTGCTTACTCTAATCAATTGAGTTGTTTTGGAACTGGCCAATTTAAGATGATGAACAGAAGAAAGGAAAGTAAAGAGGAGAGTAAAAAGAAAGAAGAAGATAAAGATGAAGATCGAGACATTGGATGACAGTCGCTTATCAAATATTTTGACAGTCAAGTGTTTTTATTATTGTTACAAAATCACAACACTAATCAGATTATTCAGTATTTGCTGGTAAATTATATTTGTTTAGTTATAATTATTTTCGACTTTCATCCAAATTCATCCAAATTCATCATGTAAAGTATCGATTGAATGGTAAAGAAGCAGCAACCAAAATGGATGCAAAAAAGAATCACTTGTTCCATTAGAATTTGAAAATTGTGAAAAGAAAAAAACAAAATCCTTTAAAACGCGTTCCATTTTATCTCATTTCACTTGAAAATTTATGAATTATTTTCACAAATTTCTTGTTCTCCATTCTTTATCCATCTCATGGAGTCCATTAATCTTATTATTCACTTAAAATAGAAAATAAAAAAACGAGAGAAAAGTTGGTCAACTTTGACCATTAGATTGAATCAAGGAATGAAATCTGATGATAATATGAATATATTTCTTGAACATAAATTCATAGTAATCCTCATAAAGTCAAAATAGATATAAGTTGATATGTTGGATAAAAATTATGATAGCCATTAGAAGAAGGATTCCCTGAAAGTCCCGGCATCAAATCAATTTTGATGAGCAAATTGGAGTGAATAAGAAGATGAGAACAAAAAGCAATGGATTTTCATCATTCCCATGAATCTTTTAATCTAATATTTTTGCTCAGTCAAATTATATTTATTGGGTCAAAATATTATTTCAATTCATTTCAACTTTTCATCTTCAATTTTGATACAATTATTCAAGAGCCAAAATTTAAAAATGAAAAACTCGCAAACCTTAATGGTTATCATTAAAAGTTCAACTCTTATCCTCGTTTCACTCAACACTTTTCCCACTGATTAAAGTTAAATTGATTTCCATTTTTCCACATTAAAAATGTTCCAAGTTTATTATCCTTTTTTACTGGGAGTTGATGGACTCACTGGGAGTAAAAACTCCCAACTTGGCTTTTAATTGTTTCCATTGAAAGGTTCGTTGGAAATTATTCCTTGACTTGAAACTTTTTGCTCTAATCTGTTGACCTTGACCATATAACATCATGATTGTTGTCATCTCATCATTGGATAATATTTATTCATGAGATTATACTTTTCATAATCCTATAAGAAAGGTAATCATGGAAAATCTGTTTACATAGAAAGGATGAAATTTATAGGTTCCATTGCTCAGGAAAATTGGCTCAATTTTTTTCTTCTTTTTCCATATCATGATGAGAAAACTTTCTTTTTCTGCCTTTTCTATTGAATTCCAGAGAAATTCAGTCTCTTTATATGGGCAAGAATGTTGCATGAAAACTGTTTTACTTTAGATTTCCAGTTTCCTGTTGCAGTTGTTTTCATTATCTAAGTTATTCATGAGAATTGATTACAGGAAAATTTTGTCACTTTTTTCTTCTTCTCTTGGTTTCGCTTCAATTTGATTATTCATTTATAGTTGGGATAATTTAAATGGTTCAAGTTAAGTGTGTTGCATTGAGCTTTGGATTAACCTGTTGATTATTGAATAAAATGTAGTCAAGTAGCTTCAGGTTCATGGGTTGATATGCAGGTTGAACTAATACTGACAAATCTTGTGACTCTCTTTGCAGGCAAGTTTGTAACTTACTTGGCTTATCAAGTGATTTATTAAGATTACATGAATCGTGTCATTGAATGGTTCAAGTTTGCACTTTTTCAGCAAATTTTTGCTTCGAAAGAAGGAAAAAATCTTTTGCAACTTTTCTTAGTGTCAATGTCGATTTGCTGAAATTTCGAGTATCAAGATATTCGTCTGGTTCGGAAGGTTATACAGGGAAATCTGTTTTGAGGCTCTTTTTACTCCTCGAAATTCGCATTTCATTCACTTGATTTTGACAGTCTTGACATGCATTATATCATCACTTGATGTGTTTTGCCAACAAATTTTTTCGTCTTTTGTCTTTAAGCCTCGCATAGGTTATCGTGATAAACTGGTTAAATTATTTGACAGAATAACGACAATCTTTGAATTGTAAATGTTACATTACCTTTTTTGCTTCCATCGTTTTGTCATTTTACTTTTTTTCAAAATAAAATCGAGTTCCATTAGCTTTGAGTGAGATACATTTGATATCATAAAGTTATCGTATAACTTGAACTCGATATCATTTCATTTCGAAAATGAATCTTTACTTTTATTAACTGTCAGTCAGTAAAAGATGCAACCAAGTTGAGATTTTGGCCGAAAATTTTATTCCTTTTGTTTTTCATATTTGCTCAACAAAACATATAACACATTATTACAACTAAAGTGAGGGAAAACAAAGTTTAAAACTGGAACTGATAGAACTTCTGGGAATTTTAGTTAAAGAAGCTCTTAAAAGATAAATAGACTTAATCCTCTTGCTCGTGAAAACGCCTGAACTCAATTTATAAGGGAACTCAACGCTGACGAATAGATACAAACTTTGCCTTAGATTTCAATGAAAGTTTAGTCGAACTGAATGCTTATTTACTACATAAAACAAGTAATATCAAATCTCATCCAGGCCAACAAAGAACTAATGATAGCTATCGAGAAGTACTAAAGAAACCGTGAGAAAGACTTCAACTATCGACTGTAGGCAATGGAAAATGGCGATTAAAATGATAGAAAAGCAAACGTGGAGGCTTTAAACATAACAGAACTTATTGCCATTTAAGATTGCGTTTGGTCATTAGTGAATCAATTGTGACTTTTACTAGTGAATAAGGTGAGTATTTTGGATTGAATTTTCAACTTGCTGAAGATGCATTAACTCTTGACATTGATTTCATTCTTTCGAATGTAAATTTATCATTATTAAGCTGGAATAATCATGTAGCATTAGTAATAGAAATGAGATTAACCAACAAGATGAAATTGAGTTGTTCCTTGGTTACTTGGACTTTGTTTCACTTCTCGAATAACATATCATTGAACATTGATAGATACAGAAGGATAAACTTGAAAGTATCATGATACAGACAAAGTCAACTTGATACATTTCAAAATTAACTAATATAACATAATACAATGTGTTTTGCTTGGACAAGCAAATTGTAAGCACAAAAATAAGATCAATCGACTTGCATTTCCATTAAATTATTCATTTCGCTGTTTCCAAATTATTACCAGAGGGCTATTTGCAGCAACATTCTGGTAATAAACAATAAGCCTGAATTAGGCGATGATTAGTTTATAGCCAACTAAAGATGCAAATTGAAAATTATTTCATTGTTTTGTTTCTTCAAAAGGACTGCAAGTAAAAGAAATGTTTCTCTGTAATAAAGGGAAGGGAAAACCTTTTAAAGAGACTATTAATTTACATCGGATAAATAATAATGAAGTGCAACAATTGAAATGGTCAAGGATATTGATCAAGACAAAAGGTTAACAAATGCTTTTCATCAAAGGAGGAAGGCCAAAACTGCCTAAGAAATGGAATTTTTTGTTATGGACACATCAGATGCAAAAGTTTATACTGATTTCATTTATTCAATCCATTTTTCGAAACAATTTTTCGTTTTCGAGATATCATGAAAAAAAGTTTGAAATTCATGGAAAAAGTACCAGAGTAATGAAAGGTGAAACCACACTAAGAATAGATTTTTCTGATGTAGAATTCAATTCTGATTCCAATAATGTAATTCATTTTGATCTTAAATTACGCAAAACTGGCCATTTTTTCGATAATTTGATTATTCGGAAGATTTTTTGCGAGAATGGCCAGTTTTGCGTCACTTTAGATCAAAATGAATCACTTCATTAGAATCAGAATTGAATTTCACAGGCAAAAAATCTATTCCTAGCGTGGTTTCACCTTTGGTTCCAGCAACGCCTGTCCCCAGTTCTTCGTTATTGAAAATACAGATCAATAACCAAAGGTGAAACCAAGCTGAGGATATTGAGAATTGAATTCTGCATCAGAAAAATCTATTCTTAGTGTGGTTTCACCTTTGGTTCCTGAGACGCTCGTACTCATGAATTTTTAATGTTTTTTCACGTTTTCACGAAAACAAAAATTATTTCGAAAAATAATTGAATGAATGAAATCAGCGTAAAATTTTGCATCTGATATGTTCATAACAAAAATATTCCTCGCTAGGCAGTTTTCCCTATTCTTTTGGTCTTCATCCTTTATCGAAACCCATTCCAATTGTACATTTCGCTTCAAGATTTATATCAAATTTTGCTCTGCAAGTTATGTTAAGTTGAATGCTAACCAACTTTGACTGCAGAAGGAAAAGATCATTTGATGGTCTTAATTTCGTTCGGGAGATCATTTCATTTCTTATTTTCTGAAGATAAGTTAAAGTCTGTTTCAAAGTTATGTCTTGTTAGCATTTTTAGATGTTAGAACAGATCAGACAGTTCTTTCATTTCGGGAAAAATTTAGCTTTATTTATGTTCTTTTCAATGTTAACGATTTAAGAGACAATTATTTGGTTCTAAAGAAGTGTGAATTAAGAAATTTCTGTTAAAGTTACTTTTCGAAGCGAGTTGTTAACGTTTAGGTAACTTGTGATTGTATGCAAAACTCTTGTAAATAGAGTTGAACTGTTCGGTTTGAGCTTTAATAGCTTCAAGTTTAGTCAATGAACCAACCCGTCAAAATAGATGTTTATTTTTTTCGCAAAATGCATTATATCATTAGGTTGTAACCTTTTTGATGAATCAATGGCAGTATTTAACCTTTGGGCAGATCAAGATGTTAGACTGTTAAGAGTGTTAATACTCGAAGAGAATAAAGTCTGTCATCAACTTGAGTTTCTCAGATCAAAATGAAAGCAACATTAGAGAAATTGAAGTTCCATGAAAAAACTTTACATTCTTATTCTTTAGTTGAGAAAAAAATAACAGAAACTTCATATCATGAAATGACAAAAGAACTTGAAAACAAGTCAATATGAAATGGTAAATTTCAAGACATATTGAGATAACATTCAACAATCAAATGTGTTTCTCATCTTTATCCTTGTACGGTTCAAGAATCCAACTGACCAAAAGTCTTGATAGAAACGAAAAGTTTCAGTTTTCATTTTCAGATTACAATTTCATTTGATAATTTTCCATGTAAAACTCGTAAACATGATTATTTTCGATTGAATCACCTTTACCAGTTTGCTTCAACTTTTCGAGTTGGCGAGTTGCAAGAGGCCCAAACAGGGAAAAAATGAAGTCCAAAGTTTTTACTATTTGATCTTAAACTCCCTTGATGATTATGTTTACTGTATCTTGTCATGGATGAAATATCTGTAAAAGTTAATCTGGTTAGTCAAGATTCATTCTTAAGATTCACTCATGAATCTCTTTTCGCAAAGAGAGTGAAAGAAGAGAGGAAAAGTTTCTTCAAGATGAAAGTTACTGGATAAAGATGGAATAAGTTTTTACCAATGAAAATTGTATGAAGGCGAATAGAAGCTCAAGTCGTCTCATGATGGTTACAGTAAAATATTGATAAGAGTAAAAGCGAAAGATATTCCTTCTAATATCTCTCTCTCTTTACCTTTCAGGTTTGTATACCTTGATTCTTAACCTTTTTAGTTAACTTGTTCATCTTCATCTTTCTCAACCTTACAAGAATTTTGATGGTTTTCTCCATTAACCACGAATTGAGGTCTAATGAATTTCATCATTGAACCTTAATATGTTATCCTATTCAAGTTAATTCACTCAATTTTCATCTACAAAATGTAATCAAAAGAAATGATAAAATTGAAACAAAACAAAAGTACAAACCAAAAATGTTTCCAACAATTTAAGAGGCAAAGAAGATGAGTCGACAGCAAAAACCATAATTCTGAGGGAAGAAGAAGAAGAGAAATGAAAACAATTTAATTTCATTAATGGGATCAAACAATCAAATTGCATATAAATTGCCAAAAACTATCCAATTGATTGAATAATGATGTTAGCCGAGAGACTGGAAAAGAGTGGAAAAGGGAAAAGTTGAAAAGTGTAAAAATAAGTGATAACGATTCTAATGGTTTCCAAGTGAATCTTGAAAGACATTTTCAGTTGATAATTTGTTTCTATTTTAACGTAAAATTTTTTAATGTTGAAAAGTGAATTGTGTTCAATTTAGTTAACTGCAATTTCATTCGGAATAAATAAAGTAGAATGGGTTGAACAAAGCGATCAATGATGTTGTGGGCTTGCTTGATTGATGGATCTTGCTTTTCACAACAAACTCAATCTGACATTGCTTTTTCAATATCTTTTGCGTCTTTTCCCTTCTTTCATCATCATTATCATCTTCATCTTTTCCCTTCTTGTTTTGCTCTTGTTTTGCCCTCTTTTTACCATTCCTTCCCTGAAACACTCCCAGTTCAATAGGAATCAACATCTTCATATCAAAATGTTATCTTTGTTATCATGATAACAATGCCCATGAATAAGAATAAGCAAAATCAAATGAGATGAGTTCAGTTTAACCAGTGAGACCAACAATGAATCAATTATCTATCTGTTTCTTTTTTTCAGCGAAACTGTTGAAGAAAAAAGCATTCTCATCATTTTTCCATGAATTTTTTGCTCCTTCTTCTTCTTCTTCCTCGTCCTCTTTATTGCCTGCATTTTTTCTTCCTTTTTCCTCTATTATTTTATTCTTTTCCTTTTTTCCATAATCTAAAGATTTATTGTATCTTTTCATGATCTTAATGTTTCACACTTTTTTTCCTGTTATTTTACACTCAAAATATTCAGTCTACTGACTTATTGGTTTTTCACAATTAACATGAAAAGTTTTGCTTAGGTTGACCTTAATTCGTGCAAAATCAAACTGGAGTAAAAGGTTCATTTTCTTGGAGTTTTTCAGTAAATTTCAATTGTTTCATTACATTCTATTAAATGGGTGAAAAATTAATTCTGACCTGTCTCAATATCCTATGATAATTTTTGCGTCAAAGCACAAAAGAGTCGGATTCGAGCAAAGGTCAAAGTTTCTTTAAAATTTGAAATTTATTCGATTCATTTGCAAATAAGATTATGAAACAAGCAATAAACATAAGTGACCAAGTCTTTGCCTTTTCCTTACTTACTGTCCGTAAAATATCCCTTTTAGTTTTACTCGAGATAGCCATTGCTTAGAACTACAGACTTTCAGAAACCAATTTAATCAAATAGATTCGAACGAGATCCCAGTCGAAAATATGATCGTTCAGCAAATCGTTCAATCAATCAGTCAGACATCTGCAAACCGAAGAAATTTGAAGATATTACATTAGATTTGATAAAAAGATCAGGCAAAGGGAGTGATTTGAAATTATTAAATATTTCTGAAGAAAGATCAGAAAATCAAAGTAAAATTCCACATTTAGTTTCAGTTATGGTTATCTAATGAATTGTCCAACACTTCAAGGATCTTGTTAAAATCAATGATTAGTAAAGTGAACAATAAGATTTGCAAAACAATGTTACTTGAAAACAATTTTTCTGATCATTAATAACTTATAACGAAAAGCTTCTGTTGCTCTTCAAAAAGGAAAATGATAATTGATTAAAGACAAATTAAACGTTTTTGAGCCTTGAATTCATTCCATCTTTTCCAGACTACTTCCACTTCGGTGAAACCGTGTTCAACCACCATGTTAACTGATTCATCGACATTCAATGAATTTATCACTTTACTCCTCTCAATCAATTAAACGATACATTAAATGTCTAAGATAATTTTGTGAAAATCAACGATAAACTGTAATAATTATCGCCATGAACAATTTTGTTTTCTTATTTTTTCCCTTTTCTCCCATTTATCCATTTTCGCATTTTTTTGATCAACTATTGTCAACTGACTGGACTATTAACTGGACTTTTATAGATAGTCAATGATATCAAGTTTCTTTCATTAAATTCAATTAACTAAATCATCTTTAATCCTTTTCTTACAAAAGCTTTCAGGTTAACCAAAAAGAAGAGAAAGAAAAGAATTAATCAGCAAACTCTATTTTCTCGAGTAAATGTTGTTGAAATAAGTCAAAACAAAAAGCTTAATCTTTTTCCTCTCAATAACGTTCTTCTCCCTTCTCTCATGATAATCATGAATAACCAGTGCCACCTCATTTCATTGAAGAATTGACCAGTTCAGATACAGATGTAAATGAAGGTGACTCTGTAAGTCTTCGATGCATAGCCAAAGGTTTTCCTGCGCCAACAATTGAATGGAGACGGGAAGATAAAGAAGCAATAGACGCCTTATCATCATCATCACTACCATTATCATCACCATTTTCATCTGCAAGTGATAATAAGAATGGTAAGTATCGCCAACAAGCCATAAATAAACATGGAAACGTGTATTCAATCGAATGAAACATTTATTCCATTCACTTCGTACAATTTTAAATCTCAATTTGTTCACATTTTATCATGGAAATGAAGAAAAACACAAGAAAATGGATTTACTCGCTTGAACGTGACAACATGAAGATGGAATTAGATTTAGATAAAATTCAATCGCCAAATCATGATATCGGCAGAAATGAAAATCGAAGAAAAAATAAGAAAGAAAATGTCATTTTTGGAATTTTCAGATAAAAGATTTTCTAATAAATTCATTTTCATTTTCTGTTTATGAAATGCTAAGCAAATTGATGCAATTTCAATGATAAAGACCAAAGTTGAAATTCTTTTTTTTTGAAATTCTTCTTTAGTAACAACGATTCAGGGTGAATATTTGAACATTGTTCGAGTGAAACGACAGCACATTGGTGTCTATCTGTGCATCGCATCAAACGGAATTCCAAATTCTGTGAGCAAAAGGATATTCCTTGGAGTTAAATGTAAGCCTCTTTTTTTCATTCACTGGGCCGCAATTCAATTCAATTCATTTATTTATTATTTGAAAATCATTTCATTCCACTTATGGCTTTACATCAATTCATTTTCACTTTGATTATCTTCACATCTTTTCATCTCTTTCCATTGAAAAGATGATTCTTCTTGTTCTCCACTTTTCTCAGCATAACACTGGCAAATGATGATAATGATGATGATGGTGACTATGATGACTGGCAATGATGAGGATAAGAAAAGGCAAGAGCCGAAAAGGATCATAAGGTTAAGGGAAATGTTAAAAAAAGATAACAATGAACACAAAACGATAAATGATCAGAAAGTGGTCTTCTTATCCTTTTATCATCCAATCGTCATTATCCATCTTCATCTTCTTTTTTGCATCTTTTTTCCTCTTTTCGCTTATGAATGTTTGTCAGAATGATCAAGTGAACTTGGTGTTTATCGATACTTTAAATGGATAACATAAACTCCCTTCCTGATGCATTCAGAGAATCGAAAAAAAACGTGAAAATTTTCTCTCCTTTTCTTCCCATTCAATGGTTATTTCATTTTGCAATTCTTCTCTATTTTTTCCTCTCTTGACCTTTTCACCAAACTCAATAACTCGAATCACAACTCGATCGACTTTTCTCACCTTTTGACTTTCCATATTTGAAAATGAGTTTATTTTTCCAACAATAACAGATAAGAACACTTGAGTCAAGCAAATTTTTCTCATTCGATCCTTTCAATTGAATATTTTCTCATATTTTTTGCTCGTTATTTTCAAGATTACTTTTTCTGTCTGCAAACTCAACAATCAAAAATAGTTTAAGATGGAAACAATCGAAAGACTCAACAATAATTGAATAACGTTTAAATTACGTTCATGAGATTCGTGAATTTAGAGGAATGGAATCAAGTGAATTGCAGGAAAATGGATCGTTTAAGCGGTCATTAATAATTGTTTATTTGATAATAGAATTGAAGTTGTAATGATGATTGCATTGACCATAATCACTGAGCTTTAAATCAATCCAAATAATCTTAATTTACTGGTCAATTGGCATTCCCATGAGGCTAAAAAAATGTCGTCTTTATGACTTGAAAACCTCCTTTGTTGTCAAACCAGAAAACAGTAAAAGTATGAGTAAAACTATTGCAACCATTTTCAGTGTAAATGAGTTTTATTGTATTTTTATCATGCAAATCCTGAGCTGATAAATGTTGAAACAAGATGATTACTGGGTTTTTTTCAAGATGAATCTCAACAGAATAATCAGTGAACAACAGAAAAAACTATTGTCAAGCAGAAACGTTGACAGCATCAAATTATATTGCATATTGTGAAGTAAAAAGTAAAATGTTATAAACTCGTCGTTAAACCGAGAATATAAAGTCGAGAAAAGGGAAAAGACGAACGATTTGAACGTAAAATTAATGCTCAGACTAATACTTCATCATCATGATGATGATAATAATATCATGAAAAATGGTTGCAATGAGCTCAAGAATTGTGGCAAAAACTAATTCAAATTTAAAACATGTCGCTGTTCATTCAATGTTCAAGATGCAACTTTTCTCGACTAATGTTCATCATTGTTCGAGTTGTTTCTTTTTTCGTTCGAGGCAAAGTTTTTTATTTATCGTTTTTGATGGAAGCCAAGTTTGGATCAACTTTTTTTGGTTCGCTTTTTCATGTCTTGAAATGGTTCGATTTTCATCTTTAATCAACAACTTTAACTTAAATTGTTGATTGAGAGCTTTCTCTTTGTTTGCTTTCACTTCATTTTGATATTGATCATTTGAGTTACAAAATAAAAGGAGAGCAAATTAATACAAACATTGAGATCAAACAGAATCAATTGATATTTGATTCTTTATTTAATCTTCTCTTTTTATTCACATTTGATTACTTCATTTGGAGTTGGCTGGTGTTTACCAAAAGTCAAGATGCTAGTCTTGAAAGGTGAAATTATTCAAAGGATGAATAGCTTTTTTCTTAATGAAAATTGTGTTCAACTCTTATTGATCAATGAATAAATAAGTTGCAATAAATATCGACTTAAGTCACTTGTTCAGCATTTGTTTCAGATTGAATGAAATGTGTGCGCAAATTTTGCTCAACTTGTTCACTTTCGCAAAAGTCAAACTCGAAAAATGTGGAAACGAAATTTCTTCCGATGTTCTCAAATTATTCAAGAATCAAACATTTTGCTCTTCAGTTGTAACAATTGAAGAATGGAAATGCATTCATCTTGTTTAACTTTAGAAGTTTGGACATTTTGTTGACGATTTTGCATGAAAAAAGCTCGATGAAAATGTTTCGACAGAACTTTGTTGTCATTTTGAATATCTTGTAACAGTGAAAAGATATTAATTGCTTGAGAATAATTTGAAAGAAACTTGAATAATTGCGAGATTTTGAGTTTTGAACATTTGTGTGAAAAGATGTTCATCAATTTCATGGATTGCTATTTAAATTCAGTGAGTGCAAGTTTTTGGTTCAATTGATGGAAAAAACGATCAAAGAAATTAATTATTTGGTTGGTAAATGAAGTAAAAAAAGTCGACTATAATTGTGACAAATTGAAGATGAAATATTATCAAAGATTCACTTGTTCTTGTTTGCTGTGTCAAACCAAAGATGTTTTTATCATTATTATTATCAACAAGAAAAAAATGACGAAAACCCTTTAATCGACAATCTAAAGCTATAATGAAAATAATTGATTCAACGAACCGGAAACAAAAGAAGCAATGAAAAAAGCGAAAGAAAATAACTCAGATTAATTTCATGAGAAGAGAAAAAGATAAATCACTTGTAAAATGAGAGTAAATACACTGAGAAAAGATTCACAACATGTTACTGGATATTATTAATTAAGTGACACAGTTATCAGTTTAGATTGACTCGACATTTCATTAGAAATTTACTTTTGCATTCAATAATAAATTCAGTTTCGGAATTTGAGCAACCTGCGATGAAGGATAAGAATCATCTAAAGGTCACTTGAGCTCAACATAAAATTTATCTGATTATTTTTAATTGCGACTTACGGGGTAAACTCACCTTTCATACATATTGCGCTTTTATTATCTATACCGGGCGTTTTTTCACGTTATGCCTGTATGCAGCCATAAACCAAAAACGATTGATGCCACAGGCCTCAGCCTTGAACCATGAGCTCACGCAGATTGAAGAACCGAACCGAATAAGTTCGAACGCTCGAGATCATTCAAGGTCAATCCGTTATTTGAACTCTAATTGCTGTTAAAGATAGTTTTTACAACCTATTTGATTGTAAATGATTGCTCTTGATTTCTTTCATACTGTAATATTAGGGGTGTGAATAAGTTTCCGCCTTTTTTCGAAGAGGCTTGTAGAACCATCGGTTCTTTTTTAAGTGACCTTTGAGCGCTTTTTTCTGATAGAGCATGTTAACTACTAATCATTACAAAGAAAGAAAGGTTTCATTCGATACATTTTAGGGGTCAAAATATCGATTGTAAATGTCGATTCTTGACCTCAAAAATAAGGTTTTGCGGGGATTGTTCTCGCACGATTTTGCAGGCAGAAATTATCAGAAAAGTGTTCAAACCTTATCAAAAAACTTTCCTGATTACGCTTCCTATTGAGTTTTAGATGAATCATGTTTTCACAGTTAACAAGTCAATTGTAAGATGATAATTATAATTTGCTTTTAATTTCTTTTAGATTTTATTATTTCTCTTTTTCACCATCAATTCTCTTCTCAAGAGGATTTCAAGTATCTATTGTGATTACTACTATCAAGTGATATCTTCATCCAGTGTTTCTTCACCAATAAATGAGTTAAATAGAATGAAAATGAACAGATTGGATAAAAAAGAAGAAGAGGGAAGATGATGATGAGACTTGAAAAAGTACATATGTAAAGGTATCTTTTGTTCTGGACAATTGTTAATCAATGTCACAAGTCTCAGTTTACTTGAATCTCATGCTTTCGATAGAGTCTCACACTCATGATGTGTTTATGTTTTCATTTACTGAATGGCGATACAACAAATAATTGTGACATGGAACTTGAAAGAAGGAGAAAATGAGACAAAATAAGATGAAAAATAAGCAGGAAATTGAAAGACTCAATCAAAGATCTTCTTCATCTTCTCAGTAGAATTTCTTTCAATCTCTTTGTCTTTTCTTGTTCCATCTTATTCTGTTGATCTTCGGGGTTACTTGATGATAAATTCAGCTGCACAGAATGAGGATATTAAGGTCATCAAAAGGCAGTCTAATATCAATAACATAAGGTCAAATGTTGATGAAAGGAACACGAGTCGATGGACTTTTGTTTTTGCTCATCAGAAGAGATAATCTCTTTCAGAATATTGATTCACTCACTGATTATCATAATTATTATTACTTTTATTATTATTATTTATCTTGTTTGTATTATCAGTTTCATTCTGATTAAAATAATAGCAATAATCTTGATCGTTTTTGATCGTTTTATTTATCAAAGTAACTTTTGTTGCTTCATTGTGACAATTTAATTGACATAAACAATTAATCAAACAACAGTTAAACAGATTAGTTACTTTTTTGTCGTTTAATTATTTTTTTCTAACTTTTTGCTCAACATTCATTTGTTCTTGTCAGAGAATCGCTTAGAATTAAACAGAATCGATTAATTAATCAACATTAACTGATTTCTAGGAACAAATTCATGGCAACTCGAGCTAATTTCAAATCAAAATGTAATTTTGAAAACACTGAAATTTTCGGAATGGCAAAAAGAAAATTTTGTCAAAGCGATTTTCAAAAATTGCACGAAAATCATGGAATATTCAAATTCAGAAACAGAAAACTCGATATTTTGGAATTCCGTCTTTTCCCTTAATATCTTTCAATTCTGAAAAGGTCTAAATGAAAATAATTTCTAAATTGAAAGCTCTGATAGTTCAAAATGCAGAAAAAATCATTTCGATAAAAAGACCTCCCAGTAACGGAATTCAATAAATGCGTTATATGTTGACGAATAAAATCGAGTTTTTGATTTGCAAAATGGAAATAATTAAATAAATAATTGTGATTTGGTTGAATCACTAAAACTTTAATAACTATTCTATTTGAAAAGTTTATCTATTTGTCTGCTATTGTTCAGAACAATTCATTTCTAAAATCAAAAGTCTTGACTATTTAAGGGGAAAGATTGAAAGATGAAATCTCTTGCCAGAGAATGTTCGATTTGTTCATTTCTCACAAGAAAATCGAGTTCCAAAAAATTTTAGCGGAATTTCCATTCCAATTTCCAATTTCCATTTTCCAATAAAAAATTAACCAAACTCGGAAATATAATTAACTAAAAGTAAGGCGAAATCACATCGTCGGAATAAAATTAGAAACTTGACTTTTCTGTTTTAATTCATTGATAAAGCAGGAAACAGTAAAATATTCAAGATGTAATCAATCAGATACACTTGAGATAACTGGCTGATTGATTGTTCCTGTAAATTCAATTAAAAGAATAATTGAGCAATTATCTTGAACAATCCCGAAAAAATGAGCACAAGTCTTTCTTTATCATTCAACAAACGTATAAAAAGAGGTTTAATTTTATTAAAAGAATTGAAAATTCTGGTAAAGTTTGCACTAAAAGAATTAAATTTTGAGAAAATTAAACCTCGAAATCGGCGAATTTTTAAACCATCTTCTCCCCTAAACATGATAAATATTCAATTTACTCTGAAAATCTCTTTTTTCTGAGAATCGAGCAAGTTGCATTATCGCCAGATGGAGTTGATTGGCTATTCTGAGCAAATATTATATCAAAACTGATTAATACTTGAGTTGAGTGATGAACAAGAAGACTTTTCTTTCCTCATTTCCAGATTGATTAAGTAGTTGAGATGATAATGATGATATTGATGGGAAAACTAATTGAATATAAGAAAAGATTCATTTGATTGTCCATGTAAATTTAGTGTCCAGAAGTAGAAGAGGAAAAGATGGCGAAAAGTACAATTTTACTTGGCAACCTTTTCCATTGGAAATGTTAACCCACTTGATGATTGTCTGCATAACCAAGTCCCAGTAAAGCAACTTATATGCACAATAAGTAGTAATAACAGGGTCAATACGATCATGAATACCATTTGGATATGGAATCTTGAACTTGAACATCTTCAAGATTAACTATTGCCTTAATAAACTATTACGTTTGCAGATCAATTTGAGGTGAGAATCAAAAGGAAGAAACTTTTTCTTCTTCATCTTTGGAATGAAGGGAAACTCTGAATAATCCTTTCTTCTTCTTCTACTTCTTCTTCTAACCTTACCTTTTTCCAACTGAATCAACCTTCAAGATTTTTATCTGTAATTTAACCAAAAAATTTGTGATTCGTCTTAAGTCAAGAAAGTGAGTAAATATTTTGCCAGAATTCATTAAGATTGATTAGAAATGCAATTTCATCTCTTCTTGTCTTCACAAGGAAAGGCATACATTTGTATCTCATTGAACCTCTTTTCATTTGTTGTTCAGTAAGGATGAATGAATCAACTGAAGGCTTAAACAAGATTTGGCCAAAATTGATGTTCAAAAAGGATAATGGTTAATGTTCACTGTTCATGGTTGATTCAAGCGAACAGAAGTTGTCTTTGGAAATGAGTAAATCTTTCATCAACCATATTGCCCATTGATATTGAAAATATCCAATCAGTTGAATACATTTTCATGTAAATCGACTTTGACAATTTGTTTAATCAATCATTTTCATGGTAACAAAACGTTTGGTCCAACCATTTTAGGAATTAAATTTAAAGTCTTTCCTTTCAGAACATTTTTCAATCAATTCAACAAAATCAACTTTTAGATTCTTTATCAAGTGTTGAATGGTTGCAAGATGAACAGGCAAAACCACTTTCAAGTTAATTAGTTGATTCATCTTTTTACAGGTTAAATGGTTGACTTTGTGTGTTGATTCACTTACAAGTTCCAATTAACAATTAATGTTCAACCGATTATTTAAAGGTTTCTTCATTGGTTGTTTCATTTGAAAAGTGTTTGTTTTCACAAGACAACAATAAATCCTCATGGAGTAATCAGATTGTGATCAAAGTAAACATGAAAATATCGTTGGTAAAAAAACACTTTGGTTAAACAGTTTTGTTTCGTCTTTTCACAAAGTTAGATTAACATTGTGATTATAGGTGAGTTGGAATAATCAGGAATAGTTGAAGATGAAGATGAGGATGACAAGTTAGACTATGATCTACAATCTTGTTGATTCTTCTTCCGATCCTGGAATCGATTCAGTTTACAAGTTTTTGTCTCACTTTCGTCTTAATCTTCATTTGTCAAGATTGTTTTTGTAACGAAAGTTTACTTCAAAAAAGAATTATTTCAAGATGTGCTTCTTTTAAAGGGAAACATTTCAAGATCACAGGGAATGATGAAGATGAATCCAGTGAGTTTCTGTTATCACATCAATCACATGATAAGAAAGCTCAATTTTTTTAGATTTTCTTTTCTCTTTTTTCTTTTCTTTTTCAACATTTCAACCTTTTCTTCCTTTTTAAGACTCAATCAAATAAACACCGATTTAAGTGAAAAAAAAACAGAAAACAATTTAACATCAGCAAATCAAATCAATTGGCCAATCTCGACAATCCATTTGTCAACTAATTACATCGAAAACGAAGGTTAATCAACAAGAATTGACTGATTTTCTCAGCATTTCTTCTTGCATTTTGCTCTCTTCATTGGCAATTTTAAAATTGATTTTACTTTTCGTTTTCATGGCAACATTTAAAATTGTGAAACTCAAATTACTTGATTATTAATGTAATTGTGACTCTTGGATCAATTGTTGTATCTTAGCATTTGAAGATGGAAAAATATGATGAGGATGAAATGATGGGAATAGTGGTTGATGGTGCGTGAAAAGGTTTGAAAAAAGGGAAAAGAATGAAGAGAAAAATTGTTATTAGCTGAATTTTTTGCTTCGCTATTTACCAGAATTATAACTTTATTCATCTGTTTTGTTATTAGGTTTGTCTTGTTTGCTTGTTTGGGTTTGATTGAATTTTTAAACTTGGCTTGGCTCAATTCGCTCACCATTTAACAATACAAATATCATAATAAGATGAAAGTAAATCATTGTAAATTGATGTAATCAGCAGGAAACTTGTACTTTTGGGTTATTATTGGATTTTTAGAAACGAAATGTTCGCTTATTAATTTATTGCTTTCGTTGGAGGAAAAAAATGTTGCCACAAAGCAATTTGCATGAAATGCCATCAATTAGTGATGATCATTGAACAAAATAAATTGTTTCATTTTAATCATTAATCTTCAAGTTTGGCGCCACTTGCTATTGACTCTATTGGTTTTCATGATTTGTGCTGTCCTCTGGTGTTTCCTATTTGATTTGTTGGAGTTCATCTGGTGTCACCATCTGAGAAACTGTAAACAAACCAGATTTTGGGTTAACTTGAAATGATGAAATTGTTGTCCAATTGTGATTGAATTGGGTTGAATTTTGGTCAATCAATATGGATTTTTTTTCATCTTATTTTCCAATTTAACATTTTTTGGGTTAAATTTATTTATTAATCTCTCATTTTGTTATCAATCTAGTCTCACCTCTTGTTTGGACGCCAAATCAACGTGTTGGTTCACCGTTAAATGGAGATGCTTCTATTATTTGTACAGTTGATGCTTACCCAAAACCTGATTGTTATTGGATGAAAACTTCTACCCGTCAAATTATTCTGGACAATTCTAAATACTCAACTATACTCACACCTATCTCAACTTATAAATATGAAATGCGATTGAATATAAAAACCGTTGAAATTGGCGAGTTTACCAGTTATACTTGTATTGCTAAAAACATTTTAAGTGAAGCCTCGGGAACTATAGTTCTTTACGAGATACCTCGTCCATCAACTCAACGGACTGTTATTAATAATATACCAAACCATTCTCCAGTCAAAGAAGTATCAAAAAGCAGGAAAAATTATCTTGGTACTTCCAAAAATCCGCTCAACTCTGAAGATAATGTTAAAGGTATGCAGAACGGTGTGAAAATCTTGAACCATTTCATTATTTTTTGCTTTTTAATTAACTTTTCTTTCAATTCTTCGCAGACAAATTGAATATTGCTTCATTCCTCACCAATTCCTACAAAAACGACATTTCACCGGATCAAATAACCTTACAAACTGAAGAAAAAGTTACCCCAGCTGATGACTTGATCGATTCAGGAACAAATTTTAATTCTCATTCATTCTCCAACAGTATTTGGTTGATCAGTATTAATATAATTTTACGCCACATAATTACCTGATTTCGCGAATAGATTTAATATTTGATTGTGCTTTTTCACTTTTATCTCAACAACTCTGAACAATTAATTAACATTTTCTCATAACCTTATCCATTCTCATCTTGTGCCAATTTCGTTCCTAAATTTTAATCAACAAAACTGGAATGTTTGTTTGAAAATGAAAAAATCAATCGATTTCAATTGATTTACTGAATATCGTGAGCTTAACAATTATTATCAAATAATATCTCCAACATTAAAAAAGGTAAAAAATTCTGTTGACAAATATTAAAAACATTTGTAATCCATCTTTTCAATTGAGGTAAAAAATTGATAACCTCCAGTTTACATGAGAAACCGATATCCTAGATATAATGATTATTGAGAATGGATTCTCGGTTCTTTAATCGATTTTAATATTTCTTTTCAGAACACATTAAAATCCTTTTCCCTCGATAATACAATTATAATCATAACAGTAACCTTAATGATTATGGTGATCATAATTAAGATGAGTTTGCGCCATCTTGATCGTTCAATTTATTTTCCCTTTTCTCTTGCTTCTTTTTATTATCATCTGATGGGTGAAAGTTCATTAAAAGATATTGAGCCAGAGAAAGTAACATTTCCATTATCATTAAAGTTAAATCAATTATGAATCATTCCCAAGATCATCAATAATAGAGTCTAACAGTGAAACGTCAGAATAACTTTTCCATTCGCATTTCCATTCATTTTTTCATCATTAAGATGAACCCAAAGTAAGTGTAATAACTTTAAGGAAATCAGTTTCAATTGTGATTAAAAACATTCAAGTCTTTGCTCAAATAATCCAAGCAACATGAAAATTCCAAGTCATTATCATTTTCAAATATTGACTTGAAATTATCAAAATTTATGTGGAAAATCAATTAATCAGATCTTGGGTTATAACCAAAAAAAGAGAGATTTTCAAATTTTCTTTAAGACAATGTTTATTTCGTTATAATTTATTGATTCATTTGCTTTTGTTAACATTTTTGATTAAGATTTTGATTAATGAAGTGAAAGAACTTTGGATGTGCTGAAGATTTAGATTTGAAAGTGATTCGGTGATTGTTGGTCTGTAATTAGTTAATAGTCGATAATTATTTACAGTGAAAAGCTATAATGAAAGATATAATGTAATTTAAATTCATGATAACAATTTAATGATTAATGGTGATGAAGATTTTCTCCGAAGAGATTGGAAGACTTGATTGTTCACTTTTAATTTTCAAATGATTAATCTAACTTTCAATGTTACATTTTAAAACAAGATTGAGATGTGAATTGAAAAGATGTCAAGTGTCAATATCAGTGTATTTCAATACCAAATGAAGGAAAGGAATCAATTGTTTTGTGTTTTCTTATTTTCTTTTCAAGGCGATTTGCAATTAATTAATAGACAACTAAAGTTGATTAACAATTAGGCTTTGATTCGATTCTTGTTTAGCTAATAATGGCTTGCGATAATTGACCTTTTTATCGTAAAATTCAATAGTCTACTTGTCAAGGAAACAGCTCATCAATTTGCTTTGCTTCAACGGTAAATTCATGGAAACCACTTTTCATTATCATTTCTCCTCATCTTGTTTGCTCTTGAAATTACTCTGTTATTCACCTTGGAAAACAGGGAAAGGTGAAAGAAGAGAAAGTGAACAATTTAATTTGATTGTCCATTTGTAATCATTTCGAGACTCAATTTTGGGCTTTTTGTCTTTTCACTTTCAACTCTAAAAAGCTATTCATTTTTTCGCATCATTCATTTTCTTGCCTTTTCTTAACGGTTTCCTTTTCTTTTCCTTCATTTTCTGGGTAATTTTTTTTCTCTACTCTCTGAGTTTTCTTCTTTGAAACATTCTATAAGTAAATCGATGCTCATGTTTTTTGTTCACAGGAACAATCTTTTCTATGGCTGGATTGCAACTGAAAATGATAAGGTTGAAGATGTTGAAGAAAGCTAAATGTTGAAAATTGAAAGGTTTCCCATCATCAGTTGCCAGTTGAGCTTTTTGTACTCAATAAAAGCCAAACTCAACCTGGCACCTTAAACATTATATTTATCACTATTCTGATTGTAAATCTCATTTACATTCAATGCGTAATATATTCTGAATAATATTGTTCATTCATATTTATCTATTTATCTATTCTTTCACTGTTTTTCCGTCCTTTTGTTGCTTCTACAGAATTCAATGTAATTCAGAATCATTTTCTTCTTCACTCATTGTTCCCTTTTCTCCTCCTCCTTCATTCTGTTTCTATTTAATATTCTAACATTCAGATTCTCTTCTTTTCCATTAATCGTTAGCGTAAATCATTTACACTTATGAGAATAGTGAAAGTCTATGAAAATTTGTGTGTAATGTCAGTGATTATTGAAGTTTGGTTAACGTTGAAAAGGGCAGCTTTTCAGTAAATTATTCAACAGTCAATATCTTTGGACCAACCGAGGACAGTAAAGAGACTGTTTTGTCTCGATTTTGTTCAGATTTGCAATTTTCTCAACATTTTGAAAGACTGATTGTTTGGAATGAAAAATCAGGGCAGGAAAATAGAGGTCAGATTACAGTTGAGTTTCATGTTAATCCAAAGTATAAACAGTTGACTAGAGTTACCATTTGCTCAACTGTTTGACCAGAAAAAAAGGAGATCAAAGAGTGTCCAGTTGTGGACTCCATTTTGGGAATAAAGATGAACCAATTAATCACAGTGATGAGACAAAGGCAGGGTTTATCTTGATATTGCTTTCGTTTAAGGTGAAGGTAAACGTGTATTAGATTCACGAAATTCACTCTCATCTGCTCTGTTGGTTCACTGTTTTTTTTGTTGCTGGACAAAGATAATTGGTAAGTTGTTTAGTAGGAAGGTTCAGAGAAACTTCGAGTTCTTATTCGTTGAATTGAATTAAATGTTATGGTTCCTGGTCTGTTGATCATTGTCTTCTCATTTAACTCTTCCTCTTCAACGTAATCAGTTGAATACTTGAGATGCCATGAAAGCACTATGGCTGCCAACATGAGGCCAATAAACAAAAGTCCCATCAGAATAACTGTCTTTGAATGGGAATCGAGCAACGATTCTTGTGGAGCAATAATCCAAATAAGAGCATTTGAAATGACAAACAGAAAAATAATAACTGAATAGATTAATAGGAAAACAATCTTCTGATGGTGAGCTCCACAATAGCCAATCAGGGCAAAAAAGATGAATACTACTGATGCAATGGCACAGGTTCGTCCCTTGTAACCTCCAGGAAAGGTTTCCATTGAATAGGCCAGGCCAAAAAGTACCACAAAAATGCCCAGCATTACACCAAATGCATTGGATGCCATTAAAAAATACTTGACACAGAGAAATTTGTTTTTCCTTTCAGCCATCATTAAAACCTTTTTTTCCCGGCTTTTTTCTCAGTTTTCTTGACACTTATCCAATGTCCAGTTGTACATGGCACTGGATACCATGAAAAAAAACCAGCAAACAGACGATAATTGATCAAGAACAATAATGAGCACTTGGGTTTTCACTGATTTGTCGCCTGGTTCAAGTAGCAAACTCACTTATTTTGTTTCTCTCTATGGCAAATGCTCCGTGGTGTTTGATATTCAATAATCAATTGACTTTTAATAATTGACAATTTAAGGAGTAAAAGAGCTTCTCCGATTGTTGATTGATCACGTAAATAAATAAATGATAAGCACTTGATGTTATTATTGTTGGAGTAAAGCACAATGAAAGAAGCTGCAAAATGAAAACCAGAATGGAATGGAGAATTGAAAAGGAAAATAAAAATGGCTCAAATTAGTGAAATAATAATGTTGAGTTAGCACTTAATCAATGAGGCACTCAATGAGAAAACGATTATCATTACAATTAGCAGGGTTGTTATTATTTTCTCGGATGGTAATAGTGAAAGAAAAGGTTTAAATTTGATAAGCAAGGAACACAAAGAGCAATGTTGTCATATGAAAGGTAAAGCTGAAGATGAGCACAATAGGATTGAAGGTGAAGTAGAAACATTATATCATCTGATTGTCCTTCCAATCCTGTCCAGTTGATTTGTAACTTAAAAATAATGGAAATGGCAAACTTTAATTTGTATATAAGGTAAATAAATAAAGGTAAACAAAAAAAGAAGAAGCTTTATGATTAAATGTTGTGTGCATAACTCATTCACTTGTCCATGTTACACGAAATAACTGTTCATGTTATGCTCCTCCTTCAGAATTACTTTACTCTTTTCCTTTCTTCTTCTTCTTCCTTTTCTTCCTTTTCTTCTTCTTGACAGACTCTTTTTCACTCCAACATTCTGACTTTCCCTGAGTTTCCTTAAATGTCCTAACTAGTAGCCTATTGATGCTCTCACCTATCAGTCAATATGTACTTAAAATCCACTTTAAGAGTCCAGATGATGTTGAATTAAGTTATCATTGTTAGTTATTATTGGTTATCCAATATGAAAATTGCAAGAGCAAACATATTCTCGATTCATTAACATTATCCATTATCTTCACCATAAGTCTTTTACTTCCCTGTACATTTTATCGTCTTTTCATTTTCAGCCTTTTTGTTATCCCTTTTTTTTCTGGCCTAAAAACTTGAAAGACATCAGACTCTTTTTGCATTCCTCTTTTCCCAGTCTTTATCATCATCCTTTTTCGCTATCAAAATAAATCAATAAAATTCTGCCTTTTTCTTTTTCTTCTTTATTCTTTTCCATTTTACTCACTTTTGCACCCAAAAATTCAAGGCCAAGAAACATTTAACATTCACGTTAGATACTTCAATTGTTGACATCAATGTACACCATTAAAGATTGACATTATTCAAATTTACTAAACCATTAATGGCTACCAGAATTGAATGTTTTCAATGTTGGCTTTTGGGTAACAGTTTCATTTGCCAATTAGTATTGCAATCATCAATATAATCGACTTCTTGAAATGACTTTTGAAACTTTGGATCAGAAAAAAATGTGAATATAACTCCATGTTACAGGTAATGGTAAGAGGAATGGGCCTAGAATACGACTTTACCAGATTACTTTTAATATTACAGTGAAACCTTTGAAATGGCAGTTTGATCAATAAATTTGTATGAACCCTGATCATTTAAGGATAAAATATCACTTATTTTCTTGGGCAAGGTTAGGAATGGAAAATAATGGAGAAGAAGCTTAAAAAGAACAAGAAAGTCTTAAACTTGAATTGAAATAAATCATTCTAATAAACATCTTGAAATCTATTTCTCATTTAAAATGACAAGGTAGCATTGAATTCATGAGGGACCAATCCGTTAGGAAACAAGTAAAGGTACACATTTAGTTTCTGTCATTTACCCGTATATTTAAACATCCAAGTACATTTATTGATGAAACGATGATGACTTGGAAAGATAAATGTACTTTCATTTAAACACACATAAAGTATTTATATATGGGTTTACGATTTTCAAAGCCAAGGTATATAAACAGTTGACCATAATAATCACGGTTCCTTTTAACATTCAGTTTATTGCTTTGATAACTGAGATAGAGTCAGTAAAATGGTTAAAACTGTGTGGTTGATGGTCATGTTGACAACAATTAACTTCATGTATGTCCAATCCCACGCAATTGATGAAATCAATCCTCCTTTCAATCCTTATGATCGATTCTCGATTTCAAAGAGACCCTTTAAAAGTTATGATTATGATATTGGTCATGGTGATGTAAATATGAATAAAGATGTTCCCAGTGGTGATGTTTACGGCCAAGATGAGTGTTATCGAACAGAATGTAATACTGATACTTTTCGTGTTATGAAGGCGGTTTCTGAAAGGCCAGAAGGTTTGGTTTACTGCAAAAACAACAGACGGTGTGATTGCTGTATCCGTTCAGGTTTAACAAGTTATGAGGAGAAATTGCTTTTACAACAAATGTTCCAGGAAAACCAAAGACTTGGCATCGGAATCGATAAATAGTTCACATGTGAGTAATTTCTTTGTCTATCACCTATACAAAGTCGATTTGTATTACAAATAAAAAATGAAATAATGAATAAAGCTTGTAAAATCGGTAAAGATTTAATAAAAAAGTTTGTTTTAACAAAAATCACAATTTGTTTTGAGACATTTCGTGAAGCTTTTTGGCTCTTTTAGTTTTATCACAGTTGGAATTATCATTTTAATGTAGAAAATTAAGCTTCAATCGATTTGACCATCGTCACAACTATCTTCATCAGTATCACCGAAACATTCTTCAAGGCTGTTGAGATTCAAATCTTTACTAATTTGTGCTGCTCGTGCAGCTAAATTAGTTGTCAGGCTACTGTTATTTAAGAGTAAATCGGCAAATCGATTCTCCTGTCTTAATGATAAAGGTATTTCGGAATTGTTATTTTTGGGCTTTGGATCGACATTTTCAAAATTCAGCTGCATAGGCACGCTTTCTTTGGGCACTCCTAAGGCTTTGGCTTCCCTTTCTTGTATTTCTTTAGCTTTGGGAATCAGAGCAGTCTTTAGTTCTTGGAATAAATTGGAAGATATTGCTGCAAAATCATCTTGGATTATTGTTGAGTCCTAAATAGTAAAGAAGTATAAGTGGTAAATATTTCTTTCTTGAAAGTTGGAATATTTTCAAAACTGAAATAAAATCTCACCTCAATATCATCTTCATATTGAAAGTCTAAACAATCATCATCATCTATGAACAATTCAAAAACTTGGTCCTCTATTTTGGGCTGGTAATTCTCTCCGATAATAATAGTTCGAGTTTCTTCTTTTTCCCGTTTTTCTTGAAGAGAATCGATTGGCTCAGTAAATTCCGAATTGTCTGAGGTGAAATGAGTATGTAATGGTATAAATGAGTATATTAAGCAAACTGAACAAGGAATAGTATCTGAAAACAAAGTTCATACCTTTCTTGAAAAATTTTCTGGAAATCAATTTAACATTTTCAATTCCAGAAACAAGCTCTTTCTCTATTCTCGAAAGATCTTCGGTAATGTCACGTTTTTTATTGAAATCTTCAATATTTTCCAATCTGAAATAAGAAAACAATTAAAAAATTTTCTATACAATTTGTCTGTAAATGCTTACATGGCCAAAGCGGTTCGTAGATGAAGGCGAATCTGTCTTATGGAATAACTATGGTCCAATGCGGTATGGTTTAATGGTGATGCAGGAGGTATTTGGTCTTGTTTATAATGTGATGAATGATGAAAAGCGTGGATGGATTTAAGTTTAGCATATAAAGGTGAAATTTCTTTTTTACAATATTGTAATGAATTGATAATGCGTTGAAAAATCTGACATTTCTCTAAATAAAAATAAAATGAGTATGCATTAAAAACCATTCTTATGGACCAAAAGGCAATTCATATTGTATATTGCCGATTTTTAGCTTGTTGACAGATAAATACTAAATAATTACCTTTAAGTGTTCCAGAAACGTGAGCACATAGAATTCTTCGAAGAAATTCTGATTGTTGGATTCTTATCAATTGAATCAGGCTCTAAGTGTGAGAAAACACTGCAATTAGTTTCAAAGTATAACTTGAATGATTAGATCTTTGTTAAATACCTTCAGTTGATAAGGGGTAGGATTTTCCTCTTCTAAAAGCTCTTCAAATAGCTCGCTTGGCAGACATGATATATAATTGTTTTCTTGATTAACATCTTCAATGGTTGCTGGTAACGATAATGCCTGCTTGGTTTCCTCTCTAAGCACATTAAATAGCTTAACTGTTATGTCGAAAGTCGATTTAGCTACTTTTAAACTATTGATGTCAGTTATGGAGCAGTTTTTCTCGATTACTTGTAATTCCTGCGCCAAATTCAACAATTTTTTCAGCAATTTGTGAGTTTCTTTAAGGCAATCACACAGTCCGTTAAAAGCACTTTTCAATCGGATCTCACAATACCTGGAAGAAAAGAAAGCATTTAAAATCAACGAAAAAATGGTGGCAACTTAAAGGCTTTAGCTTACTTGAAACGAAGTAGATTATATAAATTTATAAAAATATAAGGCAAACAAATCACAGTTGAAATATAAGCAACACCAGACAAATGATATATCCAATCAAGTAGTAATGAGATAACTATACACAAAATCAAGATCCATACCCTGGAACAAAATAAAAACAATAACAATAGAATCTTCTATAAATGTTTATATTTTTGAGATTTTTTTTACATACCAAGGCTTGATGATTCTATCCTGGGGTAAGTCTTTTTGTAAACAAAAGAAACTCGTCAGAAAAGCGATATCTTCGGCGATAAATGTTGATTTGTTAATTAATAACAAATTAGAAAAAAATTGAGCCGACATTGGGCCAACATGTGATAAAGGAAACCAGAAAGAGCAGCATCAACAAACCAGAACCAGAAAGAGAGTGAGTGAGAGCATTGAGACAAGATTAAAGAATAACAACAAACATAAACAGTGAAACCTTAGAAGGTAAGGATAAATTAAATTTAGTTTAACCACGTTTGTTATGCCGTCAACTAGTTCCAATTATCAAATCGGGTATTCAACTCAACAATCAATTTAATTATTTAGTTACCCTAAGTGCAATTAACTTCCAATCCCGTTCTGATCATATTGATCAAAACCTTTCCCCATTTATGTCTTTCTCTTGAATCTGTTGCTGTTCATTGATGCTTCTCTTTCCCATTATTTCAGCAATTATTCTTCGTTCTGTTGCTGTTTATGATCCTGTATTGTTTTACGGTGCTCAATTAAGCAGACAATCGTGAAAGAATTTTATTCATCTTTCAATATTATGCCCAATTCTCAAAAGGAAAGGAATGAATCGCCAATCTGTTGTATTTTCTTCTGTGAATTTGATCATGTCTATGGGCCTAAGTTGACATTTCAGGTTATTATCTTCAATGATTTGTATTTTGATTATATTCTTTCAATTCAATATGAATTTTTATTACCGCGGATAATAGGATAAACAATAATCACAACATTCTATTCTTTAGGTTCCTGAAGACATCGTTTCAGAAGATAAATTCAATGCTCTCAATGTTTACCTTATACCTAAAAAAGAGTTGGAAGGAAGATTAATCACTGTGTAAGTTGCTTTTCCATTGTTTGGTAATATTTTAATCATTTTATTGTATTTTAAGAAATTCAAATAATCTTAAAGTCATTGGATTTCCTGTTGGCTTAGATGGCCCTCAATTCCCTCGAAACAGACTTATCTTCAACCTTTGTTTTGTTTGTGTCTCTGCCATGAGAACTGTACAATATGAGCCTGTTGTCAAAAAGTTAGCTCATTATCTGATAAACTTGGAAAAAGAGTGTCAATTTATCTCTAACAAAGAAACTAAAAGTACTCTGCCCAAAATTATGGCCGCAATCAGGGATCAACTAACAGCAAATAGATCTTGTGAGCTCACGATAAGTAAGTTGGCAAATTTATTTAATCATTATAACTTTTTTCAACTTTCAATTGTCACTAAAATTTACAAAATCCCCTCTCTATGACATTCAACAGCTGAGTCAACCACCATTTATTTGAAAGTTGCTCGAGTGCGTCCAAAACCTGATCCTGTAGAGGATCATGATGTACCAATATTCTTAACAAGTGAAGGATCCATTGTTCCTAGCGAATGGGATTTGACAACTCAACAAGTAAGTTATTGTCTCATAAAAAAGAGAAAAAAATTCACAGAAAACCATTATTCTTTCTAGGTTATCCCATTTATCGATGGTTACCGTCATGTTGCCAAAATAGCTAGTGAGGCTGATGTCGAAGTTTCCTTGGTCAAAGCTTGCATCCAAAATATGATTTATTATGAAATTATTACTTTAATCCCAATATTTCAGTATTCAAATGTTTATGTTACAACCCCTAAGATATCAAATCTCGTCGAAAGTACTGAATTACAAGAGGAGTGTCTTCGATGTGTTGCCAAAGCTCCAAGCTTCAAACCCAACTTTAGACCAGTTTTCCAACTCTACTGCAGCATGACTCCTGGTGTTACGATCAAAGATCTTTGTGTCAGATTCAATCCTAGTCTGAATGGTATTGATGAGAAAAAATTGGTACATTTTGGTTCCTTGAAAGGTATTATTCGTCGATTGAACAAATATCCAATCCTGGTTGATGCTCCTCACTTAACATCGATAGCACATCAACGCGGTGTTTATAGGTTTTTTGATGGAAACCACAGCTATGACAAAATTTGCACGGAAATGAGTAAAAGCCACGCCGAGCTGGAAGAAAAGGTAGAAAAGCACCCATCAGCTGTGGTTTGTTGGAAATAATGACTCCCATTGCTCAATAAATCTTGTAATTTTGATTCCTGATTGATTATCCCATTCGATATCAACTGGTTATTACTAGCTGTTCAAAAAAATGATTTTTTTACAAAACATTAATAAATCGCGTTCTCAATTCAATTTATTGAACGATTTTTTTTTGGTGTATAAATAAGTCTGACAACGTCACCTACGATGCAGATGTAATTTATTGAGATGAAAGAAAATTGATCCTAATTTAACAACTGATTGTGATTTTTAAATGGATTAGGTCTTCTATGAACGAAGATGAAGATTGACTGATGATGATACGAACAATTTAGTTGACGAAAAAGGTTGGGTCTAATATATTAACAGTAAATATTTTTTTATCAATGATTATGGGGCGAGGTTTTGTTGAGTGTATGTTGTGCTGTTGGATGAAATGAATTACTGTTATTTTCTTAGTTACCCTGACTATTTGCAATGAGGTGTATTTTTTATGAATATGTTTATATAATATAAAAAATATCTCACACGGGTTTCAGACGCATCTAGATTAACTTAATTGAATGATGTTATGAAAAAAGAAACAATTTTAACAACAGCGTCATGCATGCTTAAATTTGATTTTGTTTCCATAAGTGTTCGCGAGTATCGCGTTTTTTCATGCGGTGTGTAAGAGAAAAATGTGGAAGGATGATGAGTCAATGAACAAAGGCTTTTTTTGCTGTCGTTGTTGCCGTTGACATATTAAGTTAATTTTTGGGTGTTGATTGAAAAAAGTTGTGGTGTGTTGTGTTGGTTGTATATGTATGTACGGTTGTTACATGCGTGGGGGATTTGGTTTGAGAAAAAAGAGAAGAGAAAGAAAGAAAATGAAAAAAGAAAGAAAGAAATAGAATAGAGAATCAATGAATTTGATTTTAACAGAGAACACTACTCAACGTGGTTGAATTTTGTCGAGCCCTTTTTGCTTCTTCTTCGTTGATCTGTTGCTCTATAAGGTACTGTGCTGTGTTCACAGAATGAGGCGTTCCAGTGATGGTAACGATTCGATTTCGTGTTCCAGGAACAAATATACCTTTTTTAGATATTTGAATATTTGCTCCACTAATGCGTTGAATTTCAACCAGAGATTTACCACCGTGTCCAAGTATAGCTCCCACTATATTATCCCCAATTTCAACTTCAATTTTTTGCGCATCTTGGCCGTCGGTTGGTGTCGGACTTTTACGTAAAGAAGTTGGGCTATTGAGTACAGTACCCAGTCCAAATGAATTGTTGTTAACATTTAATTGAGGACCTCCTGATGATGCTGCTCCAGGAGATCCTATGGATGGAGATGATCGACGAAATGGATCGTAAACTGGTCCGTCAGGCATGGTTAATCGATCAGGACCACCTCCTCCCCCTCCACCACGGGTTCCAGTAGGTGATCCGAAGCCACTGTGATTCATGCTTAAACCTGATATTCCGGTTGCTGTGTTACCAACTGAACCGAATAATCCATTTCCACCGGCGTTAGCTGCTGCTGCTGCTGCAGCGGCGGCAGCAACTGCCGAAGAGTTTGCGGCTACATTGTTACATGTATCTAAGCCAGGAACTCCAGTTCCTTGTGATGTGAACATTGGCGCATTCCCCCCACCTCCAACTGTACCCATTGCTAGGCCACAGTTATTTGGGACAGGGGTTGATGTTGCCATACCCATTCCAAGTGAACTTATCATCGGTGCACCATTAATGTTGTTAAACATTCCACCCAAACCCAGTCCTAGACCAAGCATGCCGTAATTGGCAAGGGTGTTCATGGCTGATGATATCTCGGAAACTGCTTCTTCTGAATATCCAGATACACGAAGCATGGCTTTGATACTTTCAATCATTTGAGCGGAGTTTGCTTGAGGTATGGTTGGTCCGAGACCAACTCCACCAAACTGAAGCATGCCTCCGGGTGTACCGGCTCCTTGTGGACTGTTGAAACTGTTCGCTAACGTAGGACTTAAACTATTAAGAGAACCATTTGAACTATAAGATGGATTACTATTGGTGACATTTGATTGACCACTTGATGTTCCGATGTTGGCATACGGCGACCCAGTTGGATTGAAATTAGCAACTGGTCCTGTAGCATCAGCATAACTTACAGTTAGACAACTTCCACTTTGTGGATCTTCGACTATTTTCGATATAATCATTGCACATGCTTTTTTATTGTTATCTGGTTCCCCGATAACTGTGATACATCTTTCTGCCAGTGCGTGATCCCGTGATTTCTGTGATATTTGTACATATGCTCCACTTTCTTCTTTAATTTGCTTAATAAATGTTCCACCCTTTCCTATGATCATACCCGCTGTACTGTTAGGAACCAATATTTTGACCTGTTTTTCCCTTTCGGCTGGTTGTTTGTGGTCGAAGTCGATCGCCATTTTCGCATTAGGGTCAGGCTTTTCTTTAATTTTTTCCATGATAAACTCGTGTATACGAAGGATGCCGTCAACACTGCCAGATATTAGGCAAACACGTTCAGAGGTACCGGGATAAAAGTCATTTGCTTTAGACATTTTAACTCGAGCACCAGCATCCTTCTGTAATTGAGCTATTGTCTCTCCTCCTTTACCAATAATGGCTCCGGCAGCAACCGCTGGCACCAATATCTTGAAATGGTAACAGGTCTCATTACCGACGACACTAGACGAGGAAGAGTTGTTGAACATCCTCCAGGTTGATTGAGATATATGACAGTCGTTTCTACGATAGGTCTATCAGGTCTGAGTTATTTTTAAGTTGAATGTTTGTGTAGTATCTCAAACTTCTGGCCAGCGGAAGGTAATGATGATGCGATGATGATTTGAGGTGGAAGTTGCGAAGGTGGGGATGGTGGTGTGGTTTTATGAGCTGACAGTGAAGATGATGACGATAACAGAAAGAAGAACCAAAATGAAGATAAGTGTACCAATGGTGATGGTCAGTGGGAGATTTATAAGGATGTAGAAAACGAGAGAGAGAAGGAGATATTGAGAAAGAAAAGAGAGTGAGAGTGAGTTCCTACTTCCTTTTCTTTCAGCCTGCTGGTTACTTTGCAAAGTCAATCAGAAAAAAGATGGAGAGAGAAAAAAGAGAGTGAAAAGGGAGAGAGAAAAAGGGAGAGAGAGTGTTAAAGATTGAATACGTGTTTTCCCTCTCCTGTTTAGTGTCGTTTCACGGGCAAAGTTACAATATTACAACAATTAGTTTTCAAGATGAAAAATACGAATAGAAAAAAGACTTAATTTTGATAAACTCTCTCTCTCTCACTCTCTCTTACTGCTGATGGGTAAAATATCGGTGATTGAAGATCCGATCTTGAAACAAGTCATGTTCAATTCCAAGGAGATTAATACCAAAGCAACGAAAATCGTTGCAAAAAAAGTGCTAAAATCGATTTAACCGGCTTGCCCAAGCATTTACTTTCAACTTTGAAACAATTAATTAAATAACATTTGTTTATCTTAAAGTAGATCTAGACTAACGAACAAATATCGAAATTGTATCCAATCTCAATTTTTTAAATTAGAGTTACTCAAATTACAAAAATCTTAACGCCATCTACATCCCGAAAAGCGAACTCGATTTAAAAAATGATTCATTGGATTCTGATTAAATGTTTAGAGCGTTGTTTGAAGTTATCTGGACAGAAAAGAGGAAAAGGATAAAAATGTGTAAATAAAGTAAATTCAAAATAAAAATTCATAAATTTATTAATTTTAAATCGCATTAAACAAAATTACAAGGAATTCTAATCTTTCATTATAATTATTATTATAAACATGAAACTATTACGTCGCTTTTTCTTGCTTGATTTTCTTCTTTTTGGACTTTTCTTTTCCTTTTTCTTTTTCTTTTCCTTTCTCCTTTCCTTTTTCTTTCTCCTTTTCTTTTTCTTTCTCTTTCTTGACCTTCTTTTTGGTAACTTTCTTTTTAACTTTGATAGGTTCTGGATCTTCGATTTCAGCACCTTCCGGCATCTCTAAACCTTTGATTGTCACTAGTTGGCTATCTTCTTCTTCCTGGTTTTCATCGGGCTTTTTACTTTTTTTCGACTTTTTCCTACTTTCTTTGCTTTTCTTAGCATAAGCCTCAGATGAGGCAAGTCCAGGAATGAAGTTTTTATTTCGTTCTTTGAGTGTAAAGTCATAGGCTTCTTCAGCTGAATCTGGTTCACAAATCACATCAGTTTCATTGAAATTTCTTTTCTTGTTTGTCTTCAGATAATGGGGATTGTTTTCACGATCCAATTGTCTATGTTTGGTATCTTTGTATTTTGAATCTTGTTGATCGCTTTGATCTTGTTGATCTTGTTGATCTTGATAATCTTGATGATCTTGATAGCCATCTTCATTGTTTTCTTTAACATAGAAACTTTGTATAAAATGATTAACCTCTTCCACTTCTTCTTCTGCGTCTCTGAAAGGTTCATCGATAAGTAGCTCTTGAGGAACTGGTACTTTTTGTTGAGCGATCGAAGCAACAGGATTTAATGGATAAGCGTAAAAGATTGATGCAAAGTTTGTGGTTTCTGGTTCCAGACTAATTTTAACTATTTGTAAAAAATTTGTTGCTCTTTCTTGAACTTCAAGATCTTCACTGACCAAAAATGGATCTAAACAACCTATGATTCTGTTTGCAATTTCTTTCAACTTTTCAGTATCCTTTTCCTCTTCACAAATTTTTGAATAAATTTTGCAAGCATTATGAATAAAAATTGACTCAATATGTGCCGGTAAAGACTGTTTAACTAGAAGGCCAAAAAGGACATTTTGTTTATCAGGTAAATATCTAAAAAAGGAGAAAAAGTAATAGAAATTAAAAATGGACAAGGAAATCACAGAAAGAAGGTCAAAGAATAAAAACTTACTCAACAAATTCACCACATATCCAAGAAGCTGCGTATAATACTTCACATACTGAGGTACTGATGAACATATAAGAATTATCAATAATTATAGCCTGAAAATATAAAAATAAGCACAATTAGGTATTTATAGCAGAAGTGAGAATAACATAATCAAAAAAAGATACAAACCATCTGGTTCGTTGCAAATTTTCGAATAGATTCCACTCTTATAGCAACATCAAGAATCTTTTGTGAAATAAGGGTACCATGGCTGGTCCCTCCTTCGACTCGAGTCAAATCTATGAGAACTGACAAATACCTGGAAGAAAAAATAAGGTTATTAATAAATGCAAAAGCAACAAAAATTATTCAATACTAGTGAAATTGACTTACCATTCAAAGTCAACTATGAATTGATAGTCATTTTGCGAGCAAATGTCAATTATCTTGGATAATAATTCATCACGATATTTGTTTCCTAATTGACTTTCGGACATATTTTTCATTAATTTTTCCACTACTTCCATAAGATTCTTCTTTGAGACCATACCATAAAGAAGATCAAGAGCCCTGGAATTGAAACACAAGTAATGATGATAAATTCATTTTAAAATTTCATTCAAAAACAAACCTTAACCGAATAGATTCATCTTTATCATCTAAACACGCCAACACCAGATCTTTATGAGCTTGAACACTTTTAGGATGAGTTTTTAATATTTTACTCATAGCAAGGAGTCCAAGATATTTGAGGTTTTGATCGGAATCTTCGATCAAAATTCGTAGCTTCTGTACACATAACTGGATGGAAGAATTGTAGTAAGGCAAACCATTCGAAATAGAAATCAAAATAGCTATAATGGTGTTAACACATTCATATAAAAGTGACATGGCAGAGGTGCTGAAATAAAAAATACATTTAGTTAACCAACGATTTGAGAAAGATCAAAATGGGTGGAAGTGAGGAGGGAAAGTGGGAAAAAATTAAAAAAGGCTAAAAAAATTGCTAATTTACCTGTGAATGATATTAGTCAATGGTTCTAATAATTTTTTTCCTAATCTAGGTTCAATGGGCATCAAAGAACCAAACTGAAAAAAAGAAAATTATAAAGGTTTTCGGGTAAAAAATTGTGTGTAATTTTGGTAGCTCATTCATGGAAATTCAATTGTAATTCGTGCTCAAACTAGAGATTTTATCACATTGAGTTGCTACAACTAAATAACTTCTGTCAAAGTAAAATAAAAATAAATAGAAAGTTGCATGGTGATTTGATGGGAAGAATATAATTATTTAATGATTATGATTTACCTTCTAACAATTTCAATCATAGGCTTGCTTAATTTATAACCCAATACAGGTTCACAGTTTATAAAAACACCGAACTGATGGTTGGATAGAAATTTAAATTAATCTAATTTATTACAGTATTGATTTTAAATTTCAAAGAAGAGCTAAGATTACTATGAAACACAAAATAATTTCTGAAATAATAATAAAATAATATAAAACATTTCACTTACAAGTTTTATAATTTTTATCAACATCCAATTATTTGTTGAAGTTCCCATTATTTTGAAAAAAATTGGAGCTAATGAAAGATAGTTTTTAGGATTCTTCCTAGCAAGCTCGCAAATCACATTAACAGCGGCAGATTGTACTCCTGTAGAAATATTAATTAAATAGCAAAATTTAAAATTTGCAATCCTTATATGTTTTCGTAGGTTAATTCAATACAAACTGCAAGATTACCTGGATCTGGATCTTCTAATTTTTCTTTCAATCGAGGAAAGGCAGGCTTTAATGCTTCAGGATATTTGAGAAATATCTTGAACATAAGCAGAACAGCCTTTTTTCGCAGGTAAGGCTTTGTTGACGACAACAGAGTCATTATATCATTTGCGAGATCATGGCTTAAGTCAGTTGAAACAAAACAGGAAAGGCTAGACATTGCACAGCCGGCATCATACATATTTTGAGAATTTAAATCCTGAAAGAGATGGTTAAAGATTAGAATGAGTCTTGAAGATGTTGAATTAAAATCTTACCTTTTTGATCATGTTTGTTGTCAACATAATAACTTCTGTGTTTTCATTGAAGCATTGTGAAGCTGCGAGATAACCAATTCTCTAGAGTACCAAGGAGGATAATTCATTAGAAAGGATCGATAAAAGTCGGGTGGACTTACCTTATGGGTGAATTTGGTAGAACTCATTACTTCAATGATATTGAAAGCTGCCCAACTCATGTCATACCCAAGCATTTGTAACTGTTAAAATATGTAATTATGGTTAACACTAGGAGCATAAATAATTGTTTCGGTACTCACATAAGTTAATTTGGCAACAGCATTTGATTTAATAGCAGCATTATCCTGTTTCAATTCCTCTTTAATCTCTTCAATACATTGGGCAATGTATTTGGCCTGGGGAAGATAAAAAAAACAACAAACATCAGATTGAGTTCAATACAGAAAATGAAATGACTTACCTCATTTTCTTTATTATTGCGGATCCCTCTAACAAGATCAGTTAGATTTTTGTCGAAGAAACGCTCAAAATTATCAACAACTTTTCTAAATGTCATTTTAAATTAAATTAATTATAAAAATATGTTGACAAACATAATAAATAGAGACAGTTGTTTGAGTACAGCCAACTCAAACTACGGTTTACCAGAAGAGGGCTCTTCCTTGCAAAAGTTAACCCAATTTTACTGAACATGTTTGGCGCTTTATTTGAAAGTAGCATTTGTAAACAAAAATGAAATAAACTTAAATTTACAAGAAAATCAAACCAAAATTTCGATATCGATTTCAAATTTATTAAACAATTCTAGAATATTTTACCGAAATATTAAACTGTTCATTTCTTATGAATATTAAATGTAGCTAAAAGTCTGTAAAATTTAAAGAGAAAGCAAAAAGAACAAAAGATTTCATTCAACTTTAGTTTGTGAATCTTCGCTTTTGGTTGATTCCGATTGATATTGTGAAGGAGTTGATGGATTTCCTTTAATTTACTTTTTCTCGATGTATTAGGGTCATTATTTTGGTGTTGTTATTGTAGGAAAGTAATTTATGTGATGTTGGTCAACAATTAGCCAAATTATTAAATGAAGCCTCAAGGAGTGGAAGATGAGACTTAGAAAATGATTGTTAACAGAAACGGGTTTTCAAGCTAAACAATTAAACCGGTCTTGACAAAATAACCTCATTGCTCTTTTTCTCATCATCTTCATCATTCTAAATCTGTTCACAACACACATCGAGTTAACTTCATCACCAACCAACTTGATCATCAACCAATTTTGACAAATGAACAGAAAGCCATTTTTGTTCACATTTAAAATGTCCATGATTTAATCTGTGTGTTTATAAATCATCTTTTTATCATTAAATTAATCAGTTGTGATTTATCATTCCAACTAAAGGAAAAGACTTCAATGAGAGACGACGATTTTGAATCAACCATCAAGGTAAACATGTTTAGTGTTTTAATTAATAATTTAATAATAACCAGCAATCTATCGACACATTTGGTGACAAATTTTCAGCCTAACATTGATTACACTTTTTGATTGATTCCAACTGTAAATCAGGTTGTGCTTGTAGGCAACGGAATTGTTGGTAAATCATCTTTAATTCAACGATATTGCAACGGAATATTTACCAATGAGTACAAAAAGACTCTGGGTGTTGATTTTCTGGAGCGAACTGTAAAGTGAGTTCAAAATTGTTCAATCAGCTGTTGGTTACTAATTTACATTTTGTGTCTTCTTTTTCCAATGTGATTCCAAAGGGCTCATGGACAAGAGATTAGACTAATGTTATGGGATACTGCTGGTCAAGAAGAGTTTGATGCTCTAACAAAAGCTTATTACCGAGGTTTGTATTGAATGAAACAATTTCAACCTTTCCTTTCATGACCAAATTCATTGTCTCAATGGTCCATTTAACCTGCAAATTTTTTACTTACCATGATTGCACAAAATCTAATTGAGATAATAATTTAATAACGTTAATTGACTGATTGCCTAAAAGGCTTTAATTAAGGTCATCAGTCAATTTCAACCTGTGACTCGATCAATCTAATCAATGAGGCCCTTCAAATTGCTTTTTATACACTTTAATCGTTCCTATATATAAAAATTAATATTAGCTTTCCAGCCATTTAATGTGAGAAACATTTGACTTTAATTGTTTTAAACTTGACTTTAATCAGTCTCAAGGGTTGTTTAACAGTTAATGATGACATTGCCTTTAAAGTGTTGCTAAATTCCCATCTCAATATCATCAAAATGATTATCATACAAGATTGCGATTCACTTATTTTTGGGTTTTCCTTTTCTGGTTTAGGTGCTCAAGCCTGTGTTATTGTATTTTCAACAACTGATCGTGAATCTTTTGATTCTGTTGTTAGTTGGAAGAAAAAGGTTGAATATGAATGTGGTCAAATCCCAATGGCTTTGGTTCAAAACAAGATGGACCTGATTAGTCGAAGTAAAGTGTCTCGAGATGAGGTTGACTCGCTGGCAAGATCAATAAGATTAAAAGTTTTTCGCACTTCCGTCAAGGAAAATCTCAACGTTGACTCAGGTAAGTGTCACACTGAATGATCATGTTGTATGGAAATGGCCAGTTTCCAATTCTTCCGGTTCCTAACGGTTTCTACCCTGTTGATGAAACCATTGAAAGAGTTGCCAGAGAAAAGTAAAACTGAGAAAAGAAAGGAAATGAAAGAAGAAAACCGTTATTCGAATCACAATTTGAATCAAATTTAACCAACCATTAATGTTTCCACTTTCTTCCCTTCTTTCTTTCTTGCTCCATTTATCCATCTTTTTGCCCCTCTTTTTTCATGATTACCGTCATCATTGAACATTTTTACAGTTTTTTCATACTTGGCAGAATCTTATGTAGACTCTGTAACGGAAAATCAAGAAGAAAGGTCAGTCACGAAATTGACCAATCCTACCCAAAAATCGGACTTAATATCAAGTAAGTTAGTCTATCCCTTAATTCATCATCATCATCATTATTATCATCATTACCATTATCTTTTTGCTGTTATCTCAATCATTTTATCATTTCAAGTTAACCTGCCCTGAACCTTCCACCCGCTCAGTTTCCTCTTCACTCATCCAACTTTAGTCTCTTTATGAATCTCATTTTCTTATTGTTGTTGTTCAACTATTATAAGTACAACTATTGAGCTGAGAATAGCCTTTAACTCTCTTTAATCATCGCCATCTTTTAAGGTCATTTCATTACATTTTAAATTAACTCACATTTTTCAACAATTTTGTTACTCCTTTCTTTACTTTTGCTGTTTTATTTGTTGTCTCGATTTTATTTTTCTTTTCTTTCTTTTCGTTTCTTTTTTCAGCTCCAATATTTAAATTAAGATCAAATGGTGGATCAAAGTATCGTCGTAAACGAATGAATGGTCCTCATGGTATAACATCCAATTGTAATGCTCCTGTTATTCATCATTTTCGTTATAAGAATAGGTTTCACTTGATTCCTCCCCTTCGACCAGCCAATTCAACCATTTTGCTTCATCATAGGCGATATTATCCTCAAATGCATTCAAGGCAATCAGATAAATTGTTGAAAAATACCGTTTTCAAGAGTTGTTGGCTTTTCTAATAATAAAGATCTCATCATATTGGTTATGATTAGACAAAATTCATTCATCGATTATTCTTTATTTCATTCGCCACCAAATCATGGAATCATCTGTGCGACAAAGAAAAGAGTCCAAATTGTAAAATTGGGATCATCTTTCAAGGAAAGTGTCTAAAACATTAGCCCAGAAAAACTCGAAACTCATCCCGCAACTGTTATCAATGAGCTGACTTTTTTACTGATCATTAATTTACTAAACATTGATAACCAATCGATTCCAGATGATTTACTCCGAATGACCTACGAACTCTTATAATCATGCGCTTGCCTCTTGGAATCACTGGCGCAATGAATAAATCGGTGGATTTAGAATCAAAACGTACTAGTAAAAAAGCGACAGAACTTTTTGATGTTCTTAATCTTGTGATTCTATTATTTCGTAAATTACGATCTTAATTCGTAAAGTTCAATTCTAAAGTTAAATGAGAATGGAGTTTGAAGGAAGATGCTTTGAAAAGCTTTACAACTCCAAACACATTTAGACACTTTCCTTGTCAATTTGTATTCTGAATGTTGCACAGAACCTCCAATGATCCAATTTTGATTCCGTTATATTTGACGTTACAATGATAATGTTTAAATTCCAGAACATCTATCATGAATTGTTGAACTAATTTTTTCTAAAATTAATTATTGAAATTTATTTTTTGTCGTAACATTGTACAGTTCTAATTATAGGTTAGTTTCGTTCAAAAAGCAAAACTTGTCGAGTCATTTTTTAAAAACCAAAAGCTGACAATTCAGTTGATTCAAGTTTTTCATATTTAGATTCTCAAACCTCTAAAACCAAAATCGACGACAATCCAAAGACTGATTCACCAGTTATCGACAATTTACTGAAAATTTTGAAAATCAAACAATGAAGATGATTTTTTATCTTAAAAAAGCTATTTACTCATTGCATTTATAATTACTTGACTCAATCACGATTTACAGCTGCAAAATATGAGAAAGGGATTGATTTCAAGATAATAACGGGATAAATTAACGTTTATTGAATTGTTTCTTAAATTTGATATTCAATATGATTGATATTTTTGGTATGGAACCCAATTTTTTCATTTTAAGATTGGACGTCAACATGCAAGCACTTGAAATCATTTTCAATAAACGGTTTAAATCTAAAATCTAAAAGTCTTGTTGAGAAGGATTTAGATTGCGATTTAATCAGTTAAGCGTGTTTTCTGGTACGAACTATAATCTCCACAGATTTATGCTAATCTAAACTGATCTGACATATCAACTTTTCATAAAAATATAATCCGATTTGGTTAGTTTGTTCAAAGACATTGGTCAAATAATTGCACATAAATCTGGATCTTTTTGTTGCTGGTTTTGGGTTAAAATGGGTACAAAGAAGAATAATTATATTTGGTTGATGACAAAAAAGAAATACATTAAAATGATTAAAGATAGAAACATGATGATGATTATAATTAAAACGGTTATCCACATGATATATTGAATTTCTTTGGTAAATATTCAATGAAGCATTGCTGTCCTTGGCATTGTTTTAACTCTGCATGACCAATGAAGGAATTAAAACTGAAAAAACTGGTTAATTTACAATGTTGATTCTCACTTAGACTTAACATTTTTACTGTTTACAAATCAATCTATCGATAAACCCATTTTTTCCTAAAAAAGGGTTGACCTTTTACTTGCAATGTTTACAAATGTGTGTGTTGAAAAATGTGCGTTCAAAAAGCAACACCAGTGATTAGTTGAACCTCAAACCTTATCAATTGTGAGTTGAGTAAATAGTTAAAGTAAAAATAAAAGTTCCAAGGTTGATTAATCATTTTTACTGTGTTCACAGAGAGACTGGAGAGATTCTGTGAGATTCTGGTTAGACTCGGTGTTGGTTTGGTGGGAATAAACAATGTTATCAATGGTTAAAGTGACAATTAAAGTGTTTCCCATTATCATCTTTGACTCAACACAATAAAACCCAAACACAAGTGTATCCATTTCATTGCTCTGTGTTAATCCATTCACAATCCTTTTCCTACTCACAGATCTTTCAACTTTTCCCTTCCAGTCTTCTTCCTTCTTCAGTCATCTTACTTACCCATCATCTTTCTTCCTCATCTATCTTCCCTCTCACCCTGTTGATCCATTGCCAAAAATTAAATTTAAAAATGCCACTTATCAAGGGTTCAAGTTGCGGAATGGCAACCCAAGTTAACGTCTAAACCCAACATCGACTGCAGTCTAACCACTCGCTTTTTACCATGTTTTTTATAATTTTATTTTCATCTTTTTTAATTGTTGTATCCTCATCAACCAGGATATTATCATTATTATCATCTTTATCTTCCCTCTCAACCTCATCATCATCTTTAAATATTAGTGAAACTTGTTTTCAATCATTAAAAACTTACTTTAATCAAACAAATTCAACACAACCCGGTAAGCCATTTCATTAAGCTAAACCCGAAACCAATATCTTACCCAATGTATGTTCAATGTTGCCTTTTCATTTCTTTCCAGTTCATAATGATTCTCAAATTTCACCAATTTTATTCATCAACAATCTCAGATTGTTTGGTTCCTATGATGAGTGTCTCAGTATTGATGTAAAACAATCTAATAATCTTTCCTTCCATGGAGTTTACTGTAGAGCAAAGCTTAATGTTTCCAATGTAAGTCTTGTTTCAAATGTAAACATTGAATCACACAAATCACATTTCTAATCTTTTTATCTCTTCTCCAGCTTAACCCATTACACCCAAATGTAAGTGAACAAATGTCAATGGGTTTATGTGCACCTTCAACCTGTTCAACAATGGACATTGAAAATCTGTTAGCCATTCAAAATAATGGTAAGTAATCATTTATTTATTATATCAGTCAATATGTAGCTTCACACTTTGAGCAAAAATTATTTACACTCACAAGTCAACCTAATGAAACAATTGATTGTCACCTCAATTTCAACCCATCATACGATGACAAAACCAATACAAAGTAAACAAAAGGTAAAATTACAAGGCTAATGCGTGACTTGACAATCTAATTATTGACAACAATCAATTCTGTTAACTTAATTTTCTCGATCAATATCATTTTGTCCCAATTTGTCTTTCCTTTAAACTTGATCAACACATTAACATGTAAAAAATAGAGTTGAACATTTTCATGCTTTCTGTTTATCAATGTCTTGTGATTTTTTTATTATCACCAATAATTATTGCTAAATTGTTCCAGTTATGAACGATGAAATATATTGATAAAATGATAGTTCATTGATCTGTTACTGAAAAGAAGAGAGAAGCTAATTTCACTGATTATCTCTATTTTTCAATGATTCAGTGATAGAGGCAAAGGTTTTATCATGTCATGGTCGATCTCCGGAAACTCTGGATTCCTCTGAAATAGTTGTCATGTAAGTTTTCAAGCAACATCAGGCTTGACCATTGCACAGTAAATTGAATCTATTCTTTTCTCCCCTTTAGCTGTGTTCTGATAATTCTTGGTTTGGTCGTTCTTCTTGGAACTTCATTGTCAACCTATTTTCGTTTATGTGGCCATAAACCTTTTCGCAAACGAGCCAAAATTTTGATTGCATTTTCTGTCTATGAAAATTCACTAAAGTTAATGGATCCAAAAACATCCGATAAAAACATTTCATGTCTTTCTGGACTTCGTTTTATTGCTCTCTGTTTCATTGTTTTGGGCCATACATATTCATATCACAGTCAAATCTCTATTGGTAAATGAGTTTAACTTTAAACTTGAAATGTTTTTCTTATTGTTTTATTTTGTTTTCCTGGCTACAGTTGATCCTGAATCTGTTCAGATAGAAATTAAAAAGCTGTGGTTCCAAGTGTTTTTAAACTTTACTCCATGGGTTGATACATTCTTCCTGATCAGTGGTTTATTGGTCACTTACGGAGGTCTGGATAGTTACAAGAAAATCTTTACAAACGACGATTCCATGCTTAAATGTGCAGTCAACTCGATGAAGACAATGGGAGCTTCAATAGCTCATAGATATTTAAGGTAAGAAAAAGATCATTTATTTTGAGCTAATTGTCTCAATTGGCTGATTTTTTACCGATTTTACCGTTTTACTGATTCATCTACCTTTTAACTTACAGAATGACTCCGACATTGGCATTTACAATCTGTATTTACATTGTTGCCGGTAAAATTGGTTCAGGACCTGAATGGAGTTTCATGCAGAGTATCAGTAATCCTTGTAAATTAACTTGGTGGCGGAATCTCATTTATATCAACAACTTTTTTTCATCCAATGTGGTAATTTGACAAAACCATTTCCATTACATTCAAAACAATCTAACATTTTTTTGGGTTTCTTTTCAGTGCATTGGACATACTTGGTATTTGGCTGATGATTTTCAATTTTATATCTTTTCTACTTTTATCCTTGTTCTTTTATCATCAAGGTATTGACTTTTCTTCGGTAAAATATTTCAAATCAAAAGTAACTTTAAATTTTGTCTTTATTTCAGTGTTCCAGTGGTGGGTTTATCAATCATTGGATCAGCCTTGTTTGCATCAATAATGGCAACCGCAGTAACTACATTTGTAACCCATTCATCAGTCACTCCATTAGCTGTTTCAATCGACGGCTCATCTCAGACTATCCAAGAAGTCCACCTTTATATTTGGCCTTTTTTCCGTGTCGGACCTTTTCTTATTGGAATACTTCTTGGCTATGTTATACTCAGATATGGAGATATTGGAATTTCCAAGGTTTGTTGAATTAAATTACATGGAAAAATGAAAATTAATCATTTTCTTTTCTTCTCTAGCGAATCAATGTTTCTCTCTGGGTTTTATGTCTATCAACTGTAACTGTCGTTACAATGGCATCTTATAGATGGACAAATGGCCATCCAGCTTCCTTATTTGAATCAGTTGTGTACAGCTCTTTACACCGAATTATTTGGTCAATATGTTGGTCTTACATGATTGTCTCATGCCATTATGGTCATTGTCCACTCGTCAATAACCTACTTGGATGGAAAGCTTTTGTTCCTCTCGGCAAATTGACTTATCATGCTTATCTCATTCATTTGCTTTTCATCTACATGCACATTGCTTCCAACAGGACAACAATCAACTTCTCACATTACAACATGGTATGGATTGGTGAACAAATTGATAAATTCAGTTATAATAATTTCTCTTCTTTTCCTCAGTTCATATTATATTTAGGCTATCTAACCATATCCATGCTATTCAGCTATGTTTCTGCCATTCTGTTCGAGTTGCCATTTGCCAACCTGGAAAACATCTTCTGGCCCAAGAAGTTAACTGAAACTGTACAAATCAATGGACAAATATCGGCCAGTCAATCAACTGGCTTATCAAACAATTACCAAAGTGAGACAATCGACGATCGGTTTATAAACATTTTTCAAAAACCAGAAAATCAGAACAATAATGTTTTGGTTTATTAACGATCAACCCTTCAAAGTAAATAGTTGAAATTTTCCAACAATCAATATGTAAATTGACTGTGAATAAGTTTCACTATTTATCATTTTGTAACAATACATTTTTCATTGTGATTACCTCTCGAGTCTTAACCGTTTAATTGTGTTAATGATGACTCTTTTTGTTTACCATTAATCGATTAATTTCTTTCTTTTTTTTCTGATTCTACCATTGTAAATAAAATCTAATTAAACAAGAATTTTTTGCTAAATAAAGAACAACCTTGAATACATTTGAGCATTCAACATGAATTTGGTTCATTACATGGTTGATGAACATGAAGGGTTGGCAATTATTCCGATTCATTTAGCTTTACTTTCTTCTCAACATTAATAATTCAATTTTCTTGTCTCATTTAAGATTTACTGAGCAGTCGAGAGCCGGCGTAGTCTGAGCGAGCGTTTTCAATCCAAATGTTGTAACGATTATTGCATTTTTGTAGTAAAATATGTTATTCAGAAGCAGAATTATTATTATTATTAGAATTATTAATATTTCGTTTGAACGCTGCCCATCGAACTTTTGATTGGACATTTGCCCAAAAAATTTTACCTTTTGCTCTTTTTAATCAAATCAAAAATTCTGGATATGTAAACTGACAAATATTCATAAATGCACTTAAACACAAAGGAACTTTTCGTGAAGAAACTTGACTAGCGATGCACTAAAAAAATAACTTCACTGAAAATAATCAAACCTCAGGCAATAAGTGCCTGTGTGGCGAGAATTTCATTTTAATAAGAGTTCTTTACAGATTAAAGCTGCATGATATAATCTTTGAAGCTTTACCTACATCAATTATTTAATTTTTAAAAATATCATGTAAATCACAAACTAAGGCGTCGTATTCCTGTCTTCTTTTTTCCAAAATCATATTCTCCAGTGCAAAAGTCCATGGTAAAACCAATAGCTTCACTTGTTAGATCAGATGCTTCTATGTCGTGATTTTTTGCATGCTCTCTAACTATTCTGGCCATACCAACAGGTGTATTTCCGGGGTATGTGAATTTACTGATACGAAGTGTTATTCCGTCAGAGATAGAGTATTCAGCGATTCCGATTTTCATCGGATAAAAAGTACCTCCATAGACTCATTCATGATTTTTTCCGCTTCATTCCGAGTGGCACATAATACATTTGACCGGAGACATATCGAGCGTTTTTTTTCATTTTACGCCTTCATGCAGGCATAACTCATGAATGTTTGTGCTACAGACTTCAGACTTGAACCATAAGATTATCAAGATTGCACAACGATAAAAACAAGTGCTCAAGGTTATTCAAGGTCAATTCTTTATTTGACCTCTAATTGACATTGAAAGGTCATTTTCTGAAATCTGAAATTTTTCTGACCCAATAGTGTTAGTTACATGTTCATAACTCATACCCCTGGAAAAATGGAATGAATTTTTCCTGATCAATTGAATGTTAAGTGATCACCCATATCCTTCAGCCAATATAAGTTATGAACATGTAACTAACTTTATCGAGTATGATTTGTTATATACTTTATCCTTTGCGATTTCAGAAAATGACCTTTCAATGTCAATTAGAGGTCAAATAAAGAATTGACCTTGAATAACCTTGAGCACTTGTGTTTATCGTTGTGCAATCTTGATAATCTTATGGTTTAAGTCTGAAGTCTGTAGCACTAACCGTTCGTGAGTTATGCCTGCATGAAGGCGTAAAATGAGAAAAAACGCCCGGTACTATGATGCAGCAATTTTTTTCGTATTTGTCCATTTTTATTTTCTACATTATTAATTAAATTTTATTCTTGCAGGTTAACAAGACAACTTTTAAATCCGAGCACCCAACATTCTTTAATTTCTCACTTTTGTTGGAAGGTTATTCTAAAAACTTTGGTGCCACGATTCACGATTATGAACATCAGCAAAAACAGAAATGAAAAACGACACACAAATGCGGTCTTTTTATGATGATCACAGAGATAACTATTTCAACGTCTCATACAATACAATTAACGAAGAGTTATTGTTATTTTTATTTCCTTTTCCTTAAATTTGGCTCCTCAATAAAATTTACTTATTTGTAAACAATAAGAATGTGAATTAAGAATTGCGTTAAGAGACTAAATGATAATAATTTGAGTGAATCTTGTAAATAGCCTATTGATTCGTCAATTGATATTTAAAGGTTAATGTTGAGCCCAATGTTCAGCTCTTTGCAAATGATTGCGAAAAGGATAAAAAATGCTTTGTCAATGCTAACATTTACCATTTGAAATTTAAACGGAAAAAACATTGCCGCATTGGACAATACGGTGAAAAAAGCCAGTCCCGTATTCAGTGAAAAAATTACGATCAGTCATGATCGTAGGTTTCACTTGTAATGATGAATAATGAATTGGATTTTGATTTTTCAAAAAAGCTATCGAGTTGTGAATGAAATGCTCAGGCATGCTTGTTATTGCAGTAATAAGCTATGAATTTAGTAAGTTTGAAAAAATCTGACTTACCTGGAAAAAATTCGAGATGTCATCATGTATAATAACTTATAGCCTTCTATATTTACTGAAAATTCAATCGATCCATGGAATTCCAAAAAACTTGGGTTTGCAAGAGATTGGAGCGAAGAAAGTTTTTGAGTCTTTCTATTATCGCGAAAATTCGTGACGGAAAATCTTCGCAATTTTCGAAGGGAATCACTTGTCATCTAGACCCTTTAATTGCTTCATTCACGTGCACTATAATTCAACAAATTTCAACAAAAAATTTATCTGGCAAGAATGTGAAAAATAAGCTAATTCAACCACTAAATTGTTAATTTTAAAGGAAGTTTCTTGCTCAGTTATGGATATTAATATATTAATATCATTCTTTTGTTTTAAAAACTCACAAGTGAAAGAGTGTTAGTCAAAGAAACTACTCTTTGGTATTAAGTCCATCTACAGCATCACATTTGTCCGCTTCTAACAAAAGCTCTTCGACATCATATTCGCACTCAACTGAACAAAAAATGTAGCTTATAAAAATTTAAACAGTTAAATGTAAAGATCACTCGGGGATCATAATCTCGGTTCACAGCTTTTGTTAAGATTAATTGAACCCGATTGTATCTTGTTTTATTTCTGAGACAACTTGAAATTATTATAGACAACCATTCGCAATTAAAATTAATTTTCCCGATATTTTCACTAAGTTTTAGCTAAATTCTGGTTCCAAATGATACCAACATGGACTCATCAATTCAGCTATGGAAAGTGAATCATTTTTTGTTCATTGTCACCAATTTTACATTCACTGAGAGTTGCGATGACTTATGCATGGCTAATACATAATAGTGTTTCAATTGATACAAAATAATTTAGCAAAAGGAAAAGTAATTTATAAATTTTGTTGTCAGAAAAGCAATCTTAATCAAAGTAGATTTAACCAAAGCTAAAGTTAAATTAGCAGTTTCCTAAATTTAAGTGAATCTCAAGGCTGTGACTCTGTCTGTTTTGAATAGATTCATCTTATTTTTTTCACTCTCAGGCTGGACAATTAAATCTAATTGAATTACTTGCATTAACAATGTTATTAAATAGTAATAAGAGCTTTTACTGTTAATGCATTTACTTAAAATTTAATATTCACATTTAAATATAATATTACGGTTGAAAAAAGAGAGGGAAGAAAATAACAAAGAGAATCTATTTGAAAACAAAATTCTGGTCTATCCATTTCCTTTTCTCACTCCATCATCTTCATCATCTTTATCCTCATGTTGCTCACTTTCATCCATTCCTCAAATCTTCTCCATTCATTTAGTCAGTCTCATTTCAAATTGTACGTCTTCAGTAACCTTAACTTTTCTTTGTAACCTTAAATCTGTACCAAGTGTAACATGATGGAATCAACATCTGATAACAAATCTTCCAACGCTGTGAGTGTTCCATTGACTAATGAAAATACCCAAGTTGAACCAGATTCAGGTTACCGTAAGCGTGAACAATGGGCCAACAAGTTCGAGTTCATCTTTTCATGTATGGCTTTCTCAATTGGTTTGGGTAATGTTTGGCGATTCCCTTATTTGTGCTTTAAAAATGGTGGAGGTAAGTTCATCTGTTTTACCTTACATTTATTGGGTTCAAATTGGGTTCATCCATTACTGTCATCTTTGTATATCGTGCAATGGTATACATTTGGGAGTAAATTTGTTGGTTTGTTGAAACGCAACCAGAAAGGTAAAGATTGGGTTAAAAGCTGACAAACTGTTGTTTTCTAGGTTATTTACCCAATCTTGTTCATCTTGCTGCAATCAAATTTAAATTTAAAACATTTGCCTTTTTGGTCAAAGTGGAAAGTTATCAAGTTTTTTTATCCACAAATAAACTTGGAACCATTCCAAAAGGGGAGATAAAAAGGATAAAAATGATGTAATTGTGGGTAAACAAAAAACGTGGAACCGTAACTGAATAGCTAACATGGGAAAAAAAGTATTTTCCGAGTTTCACATGTAGTTGTTTCCAATTTTAGTTCTCCATCTAGAATCTATTGTTGTTCAATATTTGCAAATGAAAAGGTCTCGAGTAATTTTATACATTTTCTGAACTGAGCAACATTGAACTTGAAATTGTTTGAAATGCTTTTTTTGTCTGATTTTTCTTAATCAAATTAACTTTTATCAAAGATAATCTCAAGCCTCAGACACTTTTATGGATTTGGTTGTGAATAAAGAAGAAGGAAAAGATGAAAAGAAGTCAATATTTTTCATTATAATGATGGAAATAATTGATTGAGGAAATGGCCAATTGAGTTTCACGGTGTAATGTGTTAGTGATTTGTCGGTGATAAAAAGGAAATTGTCTTCTTCCATTGGGTTCATTCCATTACTGATTTACACTGAGCATTAAAATCATTGATCAAGATTAATGGCATCAGGATTAGCTGCTATTGAACTATTGAATAATGTCCAATAATCAATGGTCATATTTAGTTGACAATAATTAGATTCAGACTTATCTAATAATAATAACAAAAGACAAGAAATTATCATTCAGTTTTTAAAGATTTGATTAATTTCATAGATTAATTGCATAATGTTAGCTAAATTTTTGAACGATCCCTGGTTTGTCAACATTTTTGTCACGAAATTTTGTGCATAACGTTATTGTCTGGTTATTCAGTTTTCAAAGACTAACCAGGTTTTAGACCAAGCAACCTGATATTTTCTCAAGATTTCTTGACTTCTTGACTTCTTGCCCTAATGTCTATTATTATACTCTTGTCTTTTAAAAATTGAAACATTTGTCTAATCAAGTTGGATTTCAAAAGTGTCAATTTATCATTTTCAAAAGATCTTGGTTCATTGAACTAATAGCTCGACAACATTCACGATTTGTCAGATTACAGTGTGTACCAGATTCTTGGACAAGGTGGAGTTAAAGATTGATTTATTGCAAAGAAATTGGACTTTTAAGTTCATTATCATTATTGAATACCAATAGCAGTACCACGATACTAAATTTATTGTGATTTCCCTTGCTCTTCAATAGAGACCAAGAAAAATTATACCTCATTATCTGGTATTCCCGTTACCTGATATACAATTACAGTCCCTTTTCAAGCCTTATGCAACTGGACAAGTTCAAGTTTGTTGATCTGTTATTTTTAATTGATATACGAGATCATAATGTTTTGCCTACTTTTTATTTCAATGAAGACAGTTCCTAATTATCACACAACTAAATAGGCACAAGAGAATGGAAAATTAACTTCATTTCAGTTTTAAATACAATGAACTGAGTCCATGATGTTTAAATACTGAAGAGCATTAAACAATACACCAAAAATTAAAAACAATCTATGATTAATTGATTGAGATTTGCAATTTTTCAATCAACAGGTTTGTTAATAAATAATTATCGAGTCCAGGATCCGATCACTTTTCTGATCAGTGATCACTTAGCTTTTTATCCAAAGAGTATAACTCTTTGTTTTGATCTTATTACATATTATGTAACAGTGTATTCAAGACCGAAGAGTAATCACGGATTAATAATCAGTTTCGTGCTTTGAAACTTTATCTCAGCGTTTGATGATTTGATCAATGATCAAAAGTCAACGAAGTAATTTGAAAGTCTAAAATTGTATAAAAAGGACAAACTTGCTGAAAACCGGTGTAACGGAAGTTTTTCTTGCTGTTGTGTTTCTAGTTTTTGTCACAGATCTAATCAATTGTTTAATTTACTTTTTTTGCATTCAGGTGCTTTTTTTATACCATATATGATATGTTTAGTCGCTGGTGGAGTACCGATTTATTTTATGGAAGTGGCCATCGGTCAATATTGGCAGGAAGGTGGAATAACAGTTTGGCAAAAGATTTGTCCCTTACTTAAAGGTAAAATCAGCTGCTCAGTTGTTTAAGAAATTAATTTTTCCCTTTGTTATTTCTCATATTTCAGGAATTGGATATGGAACATCAATCATCAGTTTCATCTTGAATATCTATTACATTGTAATATTGGCTTGGGCCTTACTTTACCTGTATTATTCGTTCTCTCCAGTGCTTCCCTGGGCAACATGTAACAATCCATGGAATACTCCAAATTGCTTCACAGGCAGTTCAGTTAACTCAGTTGTTCAAAATACGTCTGCAGTAACTAAAGATGCTGCAGTTGAATTCTGGGAAAGAGAGATTCTTCAAGTAAGTATTTGATTAATTTGATTTACTTTTCCGGACGATTTTTTCTATAGTTTCTATCATTTCACTGTTTATGAAGACAAAGCTCGATCAGATTTATCTTTAAGAGTAAAAGTAAAAATATTTTTGTAGATTGTATTCTTTCGAAACTATTTCCCAAGCTTCGATCAGTACTCTACATTGTAAATATATTGTTTAAATTGAGGTTTTAGTTGAAGTCAAATGATCGAAGCTTACTTTTAAACCTCTAAAATGTCCGATATATTGGTATAATCTTGTGTAAGGTATTAAATTATACATGATAAGATCTCGGATGGGATTAACTCTGTGGGTGGTTTACAACCAAAATTGGTTATCTCTTTGGCGGTCGCTTGGATTCTGTGCTTCTTCTGTATCTGGCGAGGAATCAAATCCACCGGTAAATCAGCATATGTGACTGCGCTTTTCCCTTACGTTATGTTGGTAATCCTTTTCATAAGAGGAATAACACTGCCTGGTGCTGGTAAAGGAATCACATTTTATATGAAACCCGAATTTGACAAATTAATGAAAGTTCAGGTAAATTGAGAATTTTTTCCCCATTTTCCTGCTTTTCTATTTAATAACTCTAAATCAATCTCACTTTATATCAAGGTATGGATCGATGCTGGAACTCAAATATTTTTTTCATATGCAATTGCTCTTGGAACCATGACTGCTCTTGGAAGTTATAATGATTTCCATAACAACTTCTACCAGTGAGTGAAATTCCTAATAAGCTGTACCATCGAAATTTGTTCAATTAATTACTCAGTTCTGTTTTTTTCTTTCAGTCAACTCTTCTTTGTTTGTTTCATGAATAGTGGGACATCCATTTTTGCTGGTTTTGCAATATTTTCAGTCCTCGGGTTCATGGCTCACCAACAAGGTGTTGATGTTGCCAATGTTGCTGATAAAGGTAAGTTAGATTCATTGTTAAAAATAAATAAACTGTAAATATATTGCTCTGGTAATATCCCAACAGGACCTGGTCTAGCATTCATAGCTTATCCTAAAGGAGTTTCAGTTATGCCTGGAGCACCAATTTGGGCAGTTCTTTTCTTTCTAATGATTATACTTTTGGGGCTTGGAAGTCAGGTAATAAAGATTGAGCTTAGTTTTAAATTGAAATATAAATTGAAATGGAAATTTATTTCAACAGTTTGTAGCAGTTGAAGGCTTTGTCACTGCAATTGTTGACATGTATCCACAATTTTTACGGGTTGGACGTCGACGTGAATATTTCATCTCATTCATTTGTTTTATATCATTCATACTTGGCCTTTCAATGGTAACACGAGGAGGAATGTATGTCTTCCAGATTTTCGACTTTTATGGTGCATCGGGAATGTGCTTGTTATGGATGTCATTCTTCGAATGTGTTACAATTGCTTGGCTATATGGTGCTGACCGTTTCAGGAAAAATATCAAAGAAATGATTGGAATGGAAATTTCAGTTTGGTTTATTTGGTGTTGGAAATATTTAACTCCCTTATTAACTGCAGCCATTTTTATTGTTTCAATTTTCCTCCTTGAACCTATCAAGTAATCTTATGGCAAAATGTGGTGGAAGAAGAGACGAAATCATGAGATCATTTAGCTTGACTTATAATGAATCAAAAAGCCACAAATTTAGTAAATTTAGATTTGATTGCTATGATTTCGTCTCCTCTCTCTACTTCAATTAGTTGGTATTTTAAAAATCTTACACTCTTTTTTACTTTGATCAACAGATATAACAATACTTATGTATACCCAAGTTGGGCCATAGCGTTTGGCTGGTTTTTATCGTTTAGCTCAATGATAGCTATTCCAGTTTACATAATTTACGCTCTCATTGTGACTCCAGGTGATTCAATCAAAAAGGTTGGTTAAAAATTATTGCTTATTTTACTAAAAATTAATTGCTATTTTCTTTGCTCTTCAACAGAAACTTGAGATATTAATGAAAAGGTCGCCATCATCATTCCTTGAAGATAAGATGAAAATGGCAGTATCCAGCGAAAAACATAATGATGCAAAGCATAAAGTAGATGACATAACGATTAGTCAATTATAGATAATTTAGATTCTTTTTCTTATAATACAATTACAAAAGAGTGAAACCTAACTTGATAGAATCAAACTTTTCCAATTAGTTAGCTCAAAACAAATCCCCAAAGAACAGTCCTAAGAACGAAATTGCTTAAGTTCTATCAAGTTATGATTTACTCTAATGTAATATCATTTTTTCAATTCTTTTTATCCTTCACTCTTCGTGAACATTCAATTATTTCTTAATCTTATTTCGATAGTATTGTGAGCTTTGTCGGCCCTGGAGCCAGGCGGTTTTTAAGACGCCGCCAAGATATTGAGATGTTTTGGTATCGACTTGTGCTACCATCTAGACAGTTAGAAAGAAAGTATTGAAATTAGATAAAGTTTTTTGCAACTCTCATGATTATAGAATTTGTTTCTTTACTCAATTAAGCTTTTCTAATAAAACTCTGTTCAAAACAAGTTTCAATCCTGTCTCACTGTTAATCTCTTCTAAAATTTGAAACTTTCCAGACAATAATGAAGCCACAAGCTAATCAGATGATCAGATATAAGGTAACCACAAGTCTTTAACCCTTTCCATATCAACTTTCCGTGAAAATTTTCAACTCAACTTCATTTAAATAACCATTGCTAAAGAAGACTTTATAGCCTAAAAACATCAATTATTGTACAAAAATCATTGATAAACTTTTTAAAGGCTTCGCTTTTCATCCAAAATGAAATTGTTCAACAAATTTTATATAAAAGTATCAGACATTTGCAGCAGATTTAATCAAAAACCAAGAAAATTGAAAGAAGTGGAAACCAGAAGAAAAGATAAAAATACAAATTCAATGGACAATTGACATGGAAGAGGCCAAAGATTGAAAGCTACCCAATTCAATAGATAATAATGACAGTTAATTCTTCAGCTGTAATGATAGTGATTGTAATAGTAAGATGGGAATTCTGTTTGATTAATTGCTTCACTTTGAATATTAAAGTTGAATTGGAGGTTGAAAAGATGTTGAAAATCAACTGGTCACTAAACACAATCAAACCATAATAACTGGAAAGGTTTCAATTTACTGTTTATAATTTAAAGAAACTTGTCATGAACACAATAATTAACATAATCGTTTTCGCGTTAATGAAAAGCAACAGAAAGACAAGAAAAGATACTTTTAGAGTAAATCACGATTCAAACTAAAAATGAAATGATGGTCAATATGAAAGGTAGAGGAGATGAAATTTGCAATTCGAGTTTGTCCTAAAAAAGATCACACTGAACATTAAGAAAAAGGATGAATCGCACGATCGCCACCAATGATGCCAATGATCTTAACCATCTTTTCGTCCTTTTTTAGCCTTTTCATCCGACCTTGATCCATAACAATTGAAGGCATTTTCACTCTTTATTTACATCCATCTCAATGAAAAAAATGCAATTTAACGTTAATTGAAGATCATATTGTTGATCACTTTCTATACCGAAGTATATTGAAGAGCCTTTTGCTGTCCAATTAAATGATCAAGTTGGATTAAAGGTTTGATTTGACGTTTAGAAGATGTTTTTTTTCAATTTTCATCACTTTTTCATTTACCAACAGTTTCCTTGTGGTGTTGAGATTTGATTGTGTCAATTTAATTATTGTAGACATTTTTCAATATAAAAAGTGGTAAAGGTTAACAGGTAAATAAAGTGACTTTGACCTGGTTCGCGAAGCGAGTCAAATCATCTTTGATTGGTTAAGTTAAACCATTTCAGATTGATTATTTTAATTGAATTTTTTGTCTCCATTATCAAGGTAAGTTATAAAAAGTAGCGATTGAAGAAGCAGAAAAAGGATAAAGATTTGATCATCAAAATGATGTGAACAAGAAGAAGAAAACGGTAAATTTCTTCTCTTCTTTCAATATTTTTCTTCATCTTTCATCTTCTTCTGAGTAAGTATAGCTTCTTTAAAATTACAAGTTTCATGATTTATCATGAAAAAGAGTCTTCCGAATGAATCTTTTTTCTACTCTCTCGGTCAAACATTTCTTCTGTTCTGTATTTTTATCCTCACAATAATTCATTATGACTTGAATGAAAGCCATTTGAATATGTTACAACTTGAGAAATGGCAAAAAACAAACAACAATTGCACTTTTGGACAACTGGACATTTGATGGACACTTAGATGCTGATGATAGACCAGAACTAACCTTGACACCATTTATCTCTTCATCTTATCTAATCATTATCATCTTCTTGTATTCATTTCAGAAAGATTAACCGTAATATTCATAATTGTGATCGCTTTAAAATAAATAATCTAAATGTAGAACTGGATCTTTTCAGATTTTAATCAACAAAATAATTCAATTTATTTAAGTACACAACATGATCAGAAAATTGGGAATTGGATATTTGCTTGTGATGAGTGAAACATTTGGAAGCAACAACAAGCCATTTAACATGTTTTTTTATAGCAAATATTTGTTAAAATCTTGGTAACCCATTTTCATGGTTAATAACATTTGAATATAATGCAATGTTGAATTAATGAGAGACAACGGAAACTGTTGACGTTAATTATCAAGAATAATCGTTAGTCTTAATTGTTTGAGAAAAACGAGTTTTCCTTTTGTTACTAGTTGTTACTAATTACCATTTCTAGTAATCATCTCAACATTCATATCATTATCATTCCATTCACTCATGAGTCGCCAGCTTCCGTCCTGGTTTTAGCTTTGGAAACATCTTTACCTGGTTTCATCCCAGCCATCATCATCACTGAGTCTCATGTTGAGAAAAAATGAAATACATCTAAAAAAGGAGAAAGAAACAGTAAACATCATCATTCATCAGAAAAAAAGAGAAGATTTCATCTCTTCTTTTCTGGGTCAAGTTTAAGTATTACTTTTCCGGTTACAGGGCCAATAGATGATTATTTGAATGAAGTAAATGAATAGGAAAATTCATTTTTAATGAGCTTTGCATGTCATAGACCATGGGTCAAAGTTATTAACATTTGATGTTGAGAACAAACAAAATATGAAGATTTGAAAGATTGGTTGAAATGATGAGAGAAATGAGAAAAAAAGGTAAAGAGAATGGCGTTGAAGATGATAAAGGTGGCAAGGATGAGAAGAAGAGAGAAACTAAAGAGAAAAGAAAGAGACACCGAAGAGGTAAAAGGGTCTGGCCGATCATCTGAGTAGGAGGCTTTTCATCATATAAACTGGCCTTCGTTTAGCTTGTTTGGTGTTTGTCGTCATTCCTGAGGCAATCTTGCAAGTGATCAGACTATGTTTCTGTTTATGTTCATCTTTTCACTGTTGTTCACCACTCAAACTGGATTAGCTTGATAACGGACTGAACTAAATTCAACTTAACCAACCAGTCAATAAGCCAAAGTCAACCTCAATACAATTTAACACCAAAGTAACATTTAATTCAGTTTTACTGGGTGCAAACATTTAATTCAAACTTGATCATCATAATTATGATAACATTCAAGTTTATCCTTTTACTCGTCTTAATCACATGTGTCCATCCGTTTTTTGCAAAACGCCAATACAAAATCAATCGAAGTAAGTATCCGTCAAATGTCTCAATTTTTAACGTTCTGTGTTTAATCAAAATTGAATCAAAATCTCAATTGTTTGCCTCTTTTCAGGGTTTGAAGATTCTTCGTATAAAGGGAACCTCTTTTCATCGTCCAATCGGATTAATGTGTTAAAATTTTATCCACCAAAATATTCAGCAAGCACACCAAACAATGGAGCTTCCAATGCTTCGCTGGAGGAAACGTTTGAAGAGCATCTTTACAATTCTCTTGGTGATCAGTTGAGAGCCAATTTGAAGACTGGATTAAGTGATTTGGATATTCCTTCGGTGGATCCTTATCGGGTTGACAAGATTCACTTTGAACCCTTGATAAGTGGTGATCCATTTGTTATTTATTTGAAAAATTTTCGCTTAACTGGTTTGTCTAATTTCATGGTCAGAGAATTGAGCTCCAAATTGAGTGAACTTCGATTCAAGATTGGCCTTTTGTTTCCCAAATTGGAGGCTGAATGTCAGTATGCAGTTAATGGCACTTTGTACAGTGTTTTAGATGTCCATGGATCGGGCATTGGAACCCTTGAATATACTGATGTTTTAGTTCGTACAACTGTTAATCTTGACCTTACCAATGGTACTCTTAGTTTATCATCTGCTGATCCACCGTTTGTCGACTTTTCAAAGTCAACAATCTCGTTGAAATCTGTTGATGGTCGAATGAATTTACCTTCAAATTCAATTTCTGGGGAAGTCGGTCCAGTTTTGTTTTGGATGTTGGCCGATGAACTTGTCCAATCATTGCAGCCTCATGCATCAGCTTACATCAATTCAGTGGTTAAAAAGTTTAGTGTCCCAAGCAAATTCAAGCCCGCCGTCACATGGCTTGTTAAACGCAATTCACCTTCATCGGCCAATTTCTTGTTCACACGCTTTTCACCCATTTCTTTACTTTCCAATGTTATTCACGCTATTTCCAGTGTTAAACACGGTATAAACCTTCCAATTGTAATTGAAAACATTCGCAATATCAGGTCTAATTTCAGGACAAATTGGAATCGATTAGTTTAAAGCAATGTTCATTAACTTACACAATAAGTAATTCCACCGAAAACTCAACAATAATTTATTTTATCTTGATAATACTTGTTAATAAATATCTTTTTTATACATTATTGATCATCTTTCAAACTTGTCCAATCAAGCTAAATTAACCTCTCAATTGTAGTTTCTTATATTGATATAATGTCTCTTTTGAATCTTTTATTTTTGATGAATCCTGCACTTTGGTCATCATTATCTGGAGTAATCTTTGAATCGAGTGTTATAAATCCAGATCTTTCATAAACATTTACTTGAACTTCTTTGTCTTGAGTCGAGATTGTAGGTTTGAGAAACAAAGATGCCAGATCGATTGGAATAGGAATCGGTAACGGAATCGGCAATGGAAGGGGAAACAAGAAAGGATGTGGCACTGAGTACTGAATCCGTGCATTTGTCAAATTATTTTGTTCATTAAAAGGAATTGGTTGAGAATTGAAATGATGAGACTCTGGAAGTTGGGAATAAATTGATTGAATGGATGGCCTTTGATCTGGTTGATTGGCCACAACAGGGGAACTGAGAGGGAACATTGAATGACGAATGGGTGAATTGAAAGTTCGATGTCTCAAAAGTTCCAATTGAAGAGGATTCAAAAATGAACCCATTGAGTTTAAAGAACCATCTCTGTTAGGCAAATTTGATAAACGTTGACTAAGATAGTCAGGAAAAGGTGAAATATGAGAATCATTATTATACACAGTTCTGAATCCATTTGCGTGATTTTGTAAAAGGTTAGGAGTGAATCTTGAAAGGAGTGGCATTGAGCCATTAGCTGATGAAGTTGATGGATCGATTATTGGTTCTTGGCTTTGATTAGATGTGATCTTCGAAGTGGCTACACTTTTAGGTTGCAAGTCTTTACCAAGTTCAATGTTACTTGGTTCATTGTTTTGGTTTTCATCACCGATTGTATTACGTTGGTTTTTACATGAGCGCAGTTTGGTTGATTCACTAATCTCTTCAACTTTAACCAGAGTTGTACATTTATTTTTGGGATCCATCTGTCTTCGAACTTTAGATTTAGTCGGACTTTTCTTTGGCACGGAAGGTTTGTACTCTCTACTTGGCTCTTCTTTTCCAACCTTGTCTTTATTCTCTATTGTGGTTTTGTTTGTTGAATTGTCAATACTTTTCTCAATTAATGAACATCTAAAATTGGCCATTGAATCGCTTTTACCATTTGAAATTGAACCTGAAGATGGACTAGATGTTGATGTTATTAATGAGGTTGGAAATTGTTTATTGGGAATCAATAGATTTTTCATCCGAAACTCGGGATTAACCAGTGAATCTTCGATTTCTTTTATGGTCATATTGTTATCTAGAATCCGGTTGAGACCATGAAGATGAGAGGGACAACTTGTTGATGGACTTGTTGACCGATATACAGTTGGTAAAGAGTTGAGATGAACCTGAGTTTCTCTACAGAAAATGTTCATTTTGTATTGATTCAAGCATTTATCACTACAAAACTGAAGTTGCTGTTGACCATCCTGAAAGTCAACATAGTTTACTGTATGGCGAACGTGTTTACACCAATCACAAACTTTATTCTTCTTGAATGAAGCTCGTCTACATTGAGTAAGGCAAAGTTCACTGCAAAATGCTTTCAAACCATTTGTACACCGAAGAGTAAACATTTTTGGACCCATTTTTTGGCACCACGAACAAAGTATATTTTCACTTGATTCTTCATCTTCATCATAACCTGAACTTGATTCACCAAGAAAACCAACAGTGTTGGAAGAGACCAAAGATTCAGATGGCAAACAATCACTGGACATTGTATTGGATAACGAATTGGATGACATGATGCACTTAATACAGGTTACTCGTCAGGATGGTTAAGAATTGAAAAAAATAGCGAAAAAAAGATGAAACTTGTAATGGCAAAGAATAACAAATGAAAGATTTTGAATGGTTTCTGTCAAGTCAAGTTGAAATGAAGAGCAAATTTTTCACTTCTCATTTGATCATCATTATCATCATCAGGGCCGCTCACCCATACTCTAATGGATCGAAATAAGTTGATCCACCCTCTCTTGATGGATTCCTACGCAAGAGAGTAACATGATGATAATATAAGATGAAAAGAGAAACTCAAAACGAAGATAAGTGAATATGGCGGCGTCGGCGAGAGAGAGATAATCATCATCCTTTTTCCAGGATCGTCAAAGCCCAAAACAATTGATTAGTAAAAGGAAAGTGGGTTTGATCGAAATGTATCATCAAATGGTTAAACAAATGATATTTGGCACACAATCGACCACAGAGAAGATGATTACCATTTTGAACTTAGATGAAGGCCGAATCAACTGGAAAGGTGGATCGATCGAGAGGAGGAAAAACGGTGGTAAACAAGGTTGAACGTGTTGATATTACACTTTTAACGGTGTTGGTGGCGTTGGTGGCTTTTCAGTTTTAAGTACTCTCGATATTTGACTCTTGATTTTTATGATATTATTTAGAGATGAAAATCGAAAGTGAGAGTGGGCAGAGCAGAAATAATTAAGACCTGATTTTTTGGTAAAATCATCATAATCTTAATAACAATAATACAACTTGAAAAGAAGAAACTATCTCTATGATGAAAACATTTTGTCTTTATCATCACAATCACCTACGCAAGGGTTGATTTAGTTTTGTTTGGTATTTTTTGTTACATTTCAGGCCTTGCTTTATATCCAACTTCATTAAATTGATCCTTAACATTGTTTCGGGTGGACAATAATTTGTATTTAATCTGCCTGAAAGGCAACATCATAGCCATAATCAACCACATAAACATATGTTAAACATAATACTTGACCCGCCTCTAATTTTCGAAAAAATTGTCTTCAGCTATCAAAGCATCTTCTTGAGTCTTCTCCCAACTCCACCCTGATAGAAACAGCTGAAATTACAAAAGTTATCAATAAGTGGGCAAAAAGAAACCTCCCAACGCCCTATGATTATCATGTTGAAAGAATCGTCAGCTTTGCCCATATTTTTTTCCTCCAAAATAAAATATAAGATTTTGTGATAAATTTCTTAAAAAATAAGATCGAAAATATTTATTGCTTTGGCAGGTAAATTACAGCCAGGCATGTAATGAATTCACACAAAATGAGAAAACAAAGATGAAAATAACAATTCAATGATGTATTTAATGGCGACTTATTTTTTGCAATATATTCAGCTCATTCTCGTTCAAGTGGGGCATGAATTGAGTGGCAAAAGGTGTCGATGTAAAAGACCTGACGAAACTTGTGAGATGTTGGCCCAGGTTTATTTTACTTATCGGGTCATTTAAAATGTCTTCATCTTCCTCTTCTTCATCTTCTTCATCAAAGTCAGATTCGATGGCTTCAATTAACTCGTGGAATTGAGTCGATGGTACATGCACAGAATCTCCTCCATGTCCACATTGATTTGGACCTCGATTTTCATCTATTGAATGGTCTTCTTCCTCTTCTTCTTCGTCTTCAAATTCGTGATCACTAATATCATCTGTTGACTCTATGCAAAAAACTTCGTTGAGTAAAAGTTTTAAAATCTTAACAGAACATGGAATAAGAGTCCATCTTTCATTTTTGTTTTGCGTTTTTGAACGAGTTTTGATACCAGGAGATGAATCTACCATAGGATCACCGGGTACTCTAATCAAATTTAAATTTAATCTCTGATCTTGATCAGCATTAACTAATGAGTTTTGCAACAACTTGCAAAGAGCAATGATGCTAACTTTGCTTTCATAGGCACCATAAAACATGTGTTGACGTCCAAGCCATTGATTCAGCACAAATTCCAGTGCAGATTGGGAACCTGAAGGTCCAGGTAAACTTGAAAGGAAATCCAGAACAGTTGGTAAATCATGATTGATAAGATGAGCAAATACCATAATTAAACTTTGAATAACTGAAAGGGATTCACTTGTTTGAAGTTTGCTAAGAACAGAACGCAACAGAAGATTTACATTGTCATTGCCGATGAATTGGGATCCTTTTATTATTGTAATGAAAATCAATTTGCCGACGAAAGCAGCACACGACTCGTTAACTCGTGGATCAAGAAGATGAAGACAAACTTGCATAACTATCGACATTCCATCCTCACCAGACTCTGGCTCTCTATAAGCAGCAACCTGTTCAACGGCTTTCGAAACAAATGCTCTGATACATTCACCGCCGTTCTGCATAGTTGAATTATCATCAATGGTTGATAGAATACAAAAAGCTGCCGCAGGAAAACATTGATTGATTAATGATTCAGATAACGGAGTAGTGCTATTTCTTATTATAGTGGTTAAAATGTCCATGGCAACAGGTTGTAAAGTTTGAACGGTTTGATTTGATTGGGGTGGATTGAGAATAGAAACTAGAGTAGGGATAATCTGTTGTTGAAGAGGACCGATACAATCTGGATTTTTTGAGAGTTCTTTGAAGATGTCTTGAGTAGATGTAATCAGAACAGGGTCAGCTGAATGTCGAAGAAATGTTTCTATTGCAAGTGCTGAGACTTTACTTTCAACACTGGCAGCAAATACTTTATCCAATGATACCAGCGTTTTTATGGTTTGCAACACTAGAGCTAGAACTTCATTAGAATAAGCTGTCCCGATAGAGACCATAACTTCAAGTATTTGAGGCAAATATGGCTTTATAAAATCAACTTGATGCGTTTCTTGGAGGTAAATACAAATGTTATAAGCGGCACGAATCGATGAAATCTTGATAATAGGAGAGACGTTAAGGAGACCTGATAAAGTTGCTTGAATGAATCTATCAATCACTGACGAGTTCATTATTGGTGCATAAACTGCTGCTGTCCATAAATATCTTCCAGCGAAAAAAGGCGAAACATCAGCAGAAATGTTCGAACAAGTATCGAGAATCGCTCTTATCTCATCTGCCAAAGGTCCATTTTCTTTAACAGTGTCCATTAATGCAGTGGAAATTGAGCCAAAGGCCAGAAGACAGCATTCCTGAATTTTCCACCACCAGTAATTATTTGAATTTGCTTTAGCTTCATAAGATTCAGTGAAATGTTTCTTTATTGCATTTAGTAGCGCCATTTGGAAATTTAAATTTTCTTCTTTGCTCTCATTTTCTTCATATTCTCGAGCTAAGGACATTAAGACATCCAATGCTGATATACGCACTGAATAACTATAGCTGTCATCATCTTCGTCTTCAACGAAACGGTCAGGATTGCTACTCCATGTTTCCATTTGTTCGTCAGTTATTTGCATATAGATAAGAATATAATATAAAAGATCGGATATACCATGCTTTATGAGTTTTCTGGATTTTGAAGTTTCTGTAATTACTGAGACGAAGTCAAAAATAGCGAAAATAAACTCTTCAACACTAACAGAATCACCATCGGAATCAGTTCCTGGTTGATAATTCGATAATTTAGCTTCTTCTGATTCGCTATTGACCACAACTTTAACATAAAGTGATGCGAAAGAAGTTAAATTATACCATACAGGTGTTAAAATAGCTGGCATATATTTCCACATCCTTTTCCGGCAATTTTTGATTAACAAAGTTAAAGCACTGAGAGCTTTTTTCTTTAAACCCAGATCAACATCAGCAGCACTATCAGGAGCTTCAATAATTTTAATTAACGCAGTAGTGAACTGTGGTAGAACTGGATCCAAGAACTGCTTTGTTGCACTTTTGTCTAATTCTCCTATCATGGTGATAGTCTCAGCCAATTCTGAGTATACCTGGATAGCTCTTCCTCGAGTTCCAATCGAAAAATAAGGATTAACTAGAATATCATAAATTCTTGGCAATAATATAGGTGCTATGTCTGGGATTTGTAATTCACTTATTTCATGGCACATTTCAGTGAATACTTTCATGGAGCCATAGATGGCTAAAAGATTTTCCGAATTTATATAACCAATAAGGATATCAAATAAATCAGTCCATTCATCAGGCCAATCGTAATGCGCAATTCCCGAGATGACAAAAGCAATTGACCCTCGCATCTTTTTTTCTGATGTGTCATCACCATTTAACAGTAGCCTTGGCTCTCCTAGAGCTGTAAAAAGTGAAAACAAATTTCAAATTAATTGTATGCATCATTAACGAAGGTGGTAAAATTACCTCTCAATAAGGAAGAGCGGATACGAGCCTTAACTGCTTTGATTATTTCAGGTGCTTGAAATTTATCACTTTTCGAACTCCAATGTGAATCGATGAAATGCTTTAAAATAACTGACGCGAGCCTCCTAATCGATCCGTTAATCTTACCATCAATTGATATCTCGGTCAAATGAGCACCGTATTCATCGGTAGCTTCAAACATCTTAAGTTGTTCTTCGGCATTCCTTCTTGTCGTTGAGTCAGTTGATAACAAGGCAAACAGATTTTCATAAAGAGCATCTTTAAGCGTCCTTTGAGCAGACATAGTGCTAGGTAGACGGTTTAATATCAGATAACAAATTAAAATTGAATAATTACGAATAACTTATGAACAACAATCACTTCTTTTGTCAGACAAAATTGATGTTTTCCCTCTACCTACCGGCTATTTTTGCATCGCCATCTAGATTGGGTAAAGACTATTAAATACATCATTTCTTCAATAACATGAATTTATATTTCGCGCATTTTTGAAACATCATGGATAGATGTTGACTTGACGACGGCAATTTCCTCTACTTCCTCTTTGGTGAGATCTTGGAAAGCTTGAAAATTGGTGAAACAATTTCATTGACGACAGTTTTTGATAATTTAATTAATTTTTAAAGGTTCAATTTCAGTTTAGTTTATCTCAAAATGTTGATTCCCAAGAACAATAGATTAGCCATCTATGAATATCTATTCAAGGAAGGAGTTTTGGTCGCCAAAAAGGACACCAATTTACCTCGACATCCACTTATCCCAAGTGTAACAAACCTTCAAGTAATAGTGACTATGAAATCACTTACATCTAAAGGTTTGGTTAAAACCCAATTCGCATGGAGACATTACTATTACTATTTAACAAATGAAGGAATTGCTTATCTTCGAAATTTCCTCTGTTTACCTGCCGAAATTGTCCCAGCTACTCTAAAAAGGAAACAAACCGAAGCCAGAGGAACAGCTGGAGCTGGAGCTGGAGCAGGAACTGGAGCCGGTGTTGGTGCTGGTGCTGGTACTGGACCTGGTCTTGGAGCTCCTGAGTCTAAATTCAAAGGATATGGACGAGGAAAACCTGTTGAATAACTGTCTAATATAAATTTCAATTTAAATCATTAAAACAAATTGGTAAAAATTTGAACAAGTCAATGTCTATATTTATTTTGAGTTTAAACTTGAGTCTCATATTGATCTTAAGATTCTGATATTTATTGGATGAGGTAGTCGTGTTTTAATTTCGATCTTTATTACTGTCATGATTAATGTCATGAGCTTTCGGGTATTGGTTAGTTGCTCATTAATTAATCGATGCTCAATCCTATTGATAAGTTTATTCAAACTTGGCGCGTTGTTTTGAAGCTATGGTTACAATTCATTTTTAGGAAGACCGTGTATTAGACAGATATTTACATTCGGTAATAAACAATGCTTATAAACTCAAATCATATTTAATTTCATTAGCTTGTCAGTGATAAATTTCGTTCTAGTGTCTTCTTTATCAAATTTAAATTTCAATAAGGACAAATTAATATTCGGACTTCGGTTTAGATTCGCTTCAACATTCCAGTAGATCTTTTCATTGAGTTTCAATAGTGATGTCAAGTTTATAAACCTACTTTTTCTGGGTCGACATCGCATTCAAGAAGTGAAATAAAATTTAATTTTGTTATTTAACGTGAACCGGATTTTGATCAAATTTGGTGGATTAATCTACAAAAATTGGAATACTACTGGTATCAGTAAAATTGAATCTTATCCGATATTTTTGTAAACACTCAGTGCCTAACTTCTTACCATTTGCTTAGTTTACTAAATTTAAATCAGTTATCGAGTAAAATATTCTGTTATCAACATGGGTCTCATGAACATTTTGAAGAAATTGAAGGAAAAAGAAAGAGAAATTCGTCTTCTTGTATTGTAAGTCTTCCTAAATATTTCCTTTTCATATTTTACTTCAATTTTACTTTAATTTCAGAGGATTAGACAACGCTGGAAAAACCACAATTGTGAAAAAGTTCAACAACGACGATATAAACGATATTTCACCCACTCTAGGATTCAATATTTACACTCTTGATCATAAAAAGTAGGTTGTCATTTGGATATAAAGTAGCCCAACACATGCTAAGATACCTGGAGCTTAATTTTTTATTCTTTATCCAATAGTTTCAAATTAAATGTTTGGGATATTGGTGGACAAACTTCACTAAGAGCTTATTGGCGAAACTATTTTGAAAACACCGATGGCCTGATTTGGGTGGTAGATAGTGTTGATAAACTGCGTTTATCCGATTGTGCGAAATCTCTTCATCTTCTACTGCAAGAAGAACGTCTATTAGGCGCTAGTTTACTTGTTTTTGCAAATAAACAAGATCTTCCTGGAGCTTTGTCTGCTCAACAGATTGAAAACTTTTTGGATTTAAAATCACTTAAAAATCGCCACTACATGATAATTGGGTGTAGTGGTCATTCGGGGGAAAATTTATTGGAAGGTATTGATTGGCTGATAGAAGATATTTCAACTAGAATTTTCACTTTTTAAATTTGTTTAATAGCAAAATTATCAATTGATATGTCTAATTAAAATAAAAAGCAGCTCCGATTGCAACAAAACCGATTGTTAACGCAATAATAAAAGTTCTGTATTTGTAAAATGTATCATTTTGTTTTCTTATTGTAGTTGTTGATGTTTCACAATTATCCAATTGTAACATCCTTTTGAACATTAATTTTTCTTCAGCCAGCTGTTTTGAATATGATTTAGACACTTGTGAAATTTCAATTTTAATCAAACGATTTTCTGGATCCAATTGTGAGGCTGCCTTGTAAACTTCGAGAGCTTCTTCAAGATCGCCTTTCGAAGTGAGTATTTTCCCTTTGCGGAATAGAGCCTTGACATTTTTCTCGTTGATTGCCAAAGCACTATTGACAGCATTTAAAGCAGCATCAAATGCCTCCAATTTCATTTGGGATTGAGCTAAATTGTTGTAAACGCTGGCTTTCAAGTCATTGAGTTTGTCCAAAGTTGCCTTGTCCACATCATCACCGAGCTCAGAAACATCAAACTCCAGAAATTCAATTGCTCTTTTGTAAAGCATTACACTGCTGGAGTACTCTTGCCTACCAAAAAAGAAGTTGCCTCTTTCTTTTTTGGCTTCACCTGAATAAAAAAATGGAGGAAGGTAAGAACAAAAGAACCAAATGTGTCAATGATAGACTAAACGTACCTATTTTGATTCTTGTTGCTGCTTCAATTTCGCTCAAATCTTCAACCCAATCGATGGCGATGAGCTCAATAATCAGTTTCAACGAAGCATTGGGTGGTATATCAGGTTCTCGTCCCTTTTCCCCATAAGCAAACCGAGGGGTAACAATGACTTCAGCAATTTCTCCAACATTCATAAGAGGCACAATCAAGTCCACGGCATGATTTAAATCACAGTCACCTACAAATATTTCAATACCATCTAGTGATTCAACTTTCTCATCTGAATCTTTAAGAAAAACAGACAAATTTATTTTCACTCTACACCCTTTTTCAGGTCTTGCTTTTTCCTTGTTCCCTTCTTTGATCACTTTTTTCAATATTTGTTTATTGTCGAGAACATCTAAATAATCAGAAGAATCATCAGGATTGTTATCAATCGAATCCATGTTTGTAGACTCAGGTGATGGTATAGCCTCCATTAAAACCAATTTTATTGATTAAATTATCTTTACAAAAATCAAGAACAATAAAAACTAACAAATTTTAAGAAAAATCCAAAAATGACATTATTTTATTGACGTTTATTCACTAAACTTCATTCAGTTACCTGATTCAGGTAGCCTGAGATAACTTATTGTCTCCATCTATGATGTTGCGCAAGGATCAATCAATCAGAGCGCACAATTTAAAACAAAATTGCCCAAATATTAATAATAATAAATAATTGAATAACAATTTAAATCAAAACAAATCGCTAATCGAGACTGAAGTAAAAATAAATCAGGGAAAAGACAATCAAACCTGCAAAGCATAAAAAAATAATTTGTCAACATTGTTCACTGAATTATACAAAATTTTTGCTTCATTCAATCCAAAAAAATGTAAACAAATGCTGAAAACAATAAGTTAATTTTAGTTAATGGCTCTTCCTGATTTCAATAGACTATTCAAGAAAACAATAACAATGATTAATCTCAATTAATCAACCAAATCAAAACTGAAAACACAAAAAGATGTGTTTTTAAATAATGAAAAGACACTTGAAGAGCAAGTATCATTACCAGAATTGATTAAGCCTGACAATTGGAGTTTGGTGAAAATTGAAAGAGCAAAAGATCAATAATTAAAACATTTATTATGAAAACATAGAGATGAAAGGTATTGAGCAAAAAATGAATCAATCACAATTAGAATAGTCAGTTTCATGTTGAACAATCATTGAACTGCAATATTCAATGAAAAGTGATAAACAATAATCGATTCTGGTTGATCCAGTTCAATTATATTAATAGAAATGATTATTAATAAAGGATTAAGATAATAATGGTGAAGAAATGAATAGCCTTAAGGGTTACATGGCCTAATTCAATGAATAATGAAACAATGTTAATCAAGTAAAAAAGGCTAAAAGTCAACTGAATAATAGTTCATCTTAATCTGTTTCAAATGAGTTTATCATGTTTCTGTTCAAACATCAAACCTTTTAAAAAATTATTTTCATACAGAGATGATAAATTGGCTGTAATTGTTTCAAGTATTGAGTATGAAAAAAATTGAATGTAAAAATGAGTTCAATATGAAATGATTTCTTCCCTTCAATTGTTGATCAATTGAATAAAGCAATCAAAATGCGAAGATAATTTTGATTAGTCTTCATCAGCCATGATATACCTTTTAATATTGATATTATGCTTTGATTGACTTTAATTGGATTCCTTTCTTTTCGCCAAACAATCGACGGATAATCGAAAAACCAACAAAATAATTTCTCATTTTTTTGACCATTCAATCAAATTCAGGTTACTGTTTACTTTTGATCAACAATCAAGTTAATTCATCCTTTTACATTCAATGAAATTGACTCTTCACTTAAACACTCCTTTAACTATTAACAATATTTAAACTGTTAAAGTGTTTAATAATAGCAACTTAATCGACTTTTCATTTTTGATCATTCAATCAGTTTTACAAATAAATGTTGCTCTGGTCAATCTGATTATCTTGGTCCTTGGTCAGACAAGTCTAGATGGATAAGGTGAACCTTTAAGGGTTGAATGATCAAAGATGGTAAAGATAAGTAAACAATTTTCATCAATTTCAAGCACAGTTCCGATTGTCATTGAATTTAGCCATTTCCTTTCATTAATAATAACCTTAAAATCGACTGATTATTAAGATTAAACCAGTTGAATCGGAGTTGATTGAATAGTGATAAAATTGGAAACATTTATATTTTCATTTCTGTTCACATTATTCAATAACAACAATAATAGCGATAATCAATTTAGCTTGTTTCATTTGGGAAAAATTGAACCTAAAAATTCACATTGAAATTGTTTCGTTAATGACATTTTGACTTTAATTGCTTTCACTTTTAATGGCTCACAATCCCTTGGCGATCATTTCAAGATCAAGACTGTATTTTGGGTTAACATAGAGTTCATTGGAATCTTAAAAATGCTTGGCCCTTAGGCTTATCCATACAAAATTACCTTTTCTTGACCAACCTTTAAAGTGGCTCTTTTTTCGGTAAGTGTTTCTGGTTAAAGCAAGGAATAATATGGTGTTACCTTAGAAGCCTGGTGTTTCAAGATGTAAATGAATCTGAAAAATGAGCAACAACCAGAAGAAAAATGAATATATCTATTCGTTAACCTTGATTAATTGTTGGAGAAACAGTTTGCAGATTAGTTGATGTTTTAATTGTGATTGTGACTATCCTCTTGTAGAGACTTGTTTCACCGAATGTAAAGGTTAACGACTTGCTTTTCCCAAGACAGGTTTTCTCTTCCATCTTTTTTCTTTTCTTCTTCTTTTTTTCTTCTTCTTCCTCCCCTTTCTTCATCCCAGCAAAAATGTTCCCATTCTCATTAAACTTTTTTGTGTTGTTACCAGTTTTCAGTTTAAACGCGAACCTTGGTTAAGTCACTAAAAACTGTGTGTTAGGCCAGCATTCAATGTTGCACCTTTTAAGGTTTACTTGATTCCTTTTCCCAATCACAGTCGACAATCATTAATTTGTCATCGATTGTGTCTACGTGAAACCGTTCCAACGTGATTCTTTCCTTACTCCATGTTTTACTTGATTAAACCGTGATTACATGTTCAACTGAAGTAGGTTGACTCCTTGTTGATTAAAAAAGATGAGACCCAAAACCAGTGACCCTCTGGTTGACAGTGATACTGGGTTTACCTCGTACTCCAGTTGCTTGGCGTCATCGAGAGCTTCACTTGCACAGCAAATTTAATGTCATCACTTATTACACAATTCATCAACTTTACCATCGGTCATCTCATCGAGTCACCATCAACACCAACATCAATACCCGAGTCACCAACAGTATCATCATCCAAACCATCAAAATCATCATTTAATTCATCGCCAACAACAACATCAACCTCAACATTATTCACAAAGTTATCATTCATCACAACAAAATAGCCAACATCATCATCCTTCATCATCAAACCAACGCACTTCTTCACCATCCGTATTGACAACCTCATCGGATGATCGTGAAGAGGTTCCAATGGTTCGTCATCATCATCATTCTTCATCTCGAAGACACAATGGGTATGCATTAAATCTTCATTCATAAAACTTCCTCACTTTCCGGATGTTGATTTTTTTCTCTCTACTCAAAATGTTCTTCATCATTACCAACAATTCAACATTTTTCAACAATATTTCATTTTTTTGTATGTGAATCCATTTAGAATGGAAGAAACCATTTTTTTGCTTCTTCTTCTCTTCCTTCCCTTACCTTTTCCTTTCTCTCATTTCTTGTGCCTTTAGAAGCAAAAAGCCTTTTTAAATGGTTTGACCCTTAGCTTTTTACTCTTTGATGACCATTAAAATTATAATAGTTGTTAAGTGAGACGGAAAAAGTGGCCTACATTGAAGCATAATTGTAGACGAAAACAAAATAACCGCATAAATAATGAATCCCATTGAACAATGTTGAACAATTGGACAACCTTTTTTATTTTGCTAATCTTAAATTTTGTGTGTATTTGTGTTACTATTATTAATATCAACAGATACTTAACCAATATTCATCATTTCCTTATTTACTTTTAATCCAGTTTTTTGTTTATTCATCTGATTGATTGAGTCAACTGTGTTTACCATTAAAACACCCTTATTCTGATTCTTTATTCATTTCTCATTTTCTTTCCTTCCATAATCATGCTCATGTTATTTTTCATGTGAACTCTCCCATCATTTATCAATGTTGCTGAACAAAATAGATGATAACATCTGCAAGGCCAATGTTGGTTTTTTGCTTATTAACACATCAAATTAATAAATTGCTTGAGAAAAGGTGTTAACAAGTCATAACAAATGCTGTGAATCCGCTTCAAATCCCTTTTAAATCCTTTACCTTTATCCCTTCATTGTAATCAACTTTTCTAGTCAATTGGTCAATCACTTAACACTTTACCATCTTGTCTTGCAGAGGATCCGTTTACAGTACAACCATTGATCGACGTCGATCAAAACATCATTCCCAATCAATTGTCCCTCGCTCAACCCTGGCCAGAGGTTCAATTGTAAGCTATGGACCGGGACCAATGCGTAACTACCAAAGAACAGCCACATTAAGATCAACGCGAAGTTTTCCCGGTCTGGTAATGGCTCAAGTGGGAACATTTGACGGTGAACCCTGTCCAGTTCATGGGTCAAATCATCACCTTCACCCAGGCCCTTATCCTCCTCCTCCACCGACAGCTTCACTCACCATGAACCCTCGTCACCTTTCAATGGCCTCACATCATCCAATTGTCAATCCCTACGAACATGCTGCTTCTTCATCCCTATTAGCTCATCCTGTTCACAGTCAACCCATGCTTACAGTTAAACGCTTTAACTCACTCTCTGATCTTCGCCGTCCCTCACTTCAACCCTTGATTGCTTACCCAGTCAATGGAAGTGCACTCGGCTTAGGTCAACCTCAAGGTGCACCCACACCAAGCAATTATGATTGTTCAGGCAAATCAATGGGCAATAAACTTCCACTGCCAACTTATGTAGGAACAATGTTCCGCAATAACAACGGATCAACTTCATTTGTACCTTCAGGTGCTTCAATGATGATACCAGGCCATGGACCTGCTCCCATTGAGGCCATTAAAAGTCACCTTGCCAATCAAGCCAACCCGTTGATCTATGATGATACAGTTTGCTGTAAAGGTCACTTAATTGTTTTATGGATAATACTTACCGTTGTCACCATTGGAGTCATTTCAGGAATCATTTTAGGTGTAACTGCAAATTAAGGCCAATCTTTTGTGATAACACTTTTTTACCAATCTATTTATTTTTGTATTTAATATTTGTAAATGGAAATGTATAAAAACAATAATTTTAATTTCAATTGAAATTTAAAAATCTGTAAAACCATCTAAACGTAAATATAAATTGAACCAGATAAATCACCTAAAAAAGGTTAATAATTGATTTGCTGTGAAAAAGTGGGAAAAGGTTAACCAAAATGAAATGTCAATTTTGCTCATTTGATCATCAATTGGCATTTCAATTGAAGAAACGATCCAATGATTAAAATGGTACAACATTACAATGTTGTTGGGTTAAGAAGAAGAAAAAAGTTGCCGAAAAACCAGTTTGTTCATTTCAATTGAGATAATGATTAGCAATAAGCTAGCATGAAATAAATGATATTGATCTTTGTGATAATACATAATACTTGTAAACAAAGTGCTATTAAATTCTCAGTTGACTGAAGACTCAGATAACTAAATAATGATGAGCCTGGAATGAACTTTGCAAAACTCCATTGACAGGTAATAATGAATACTTGCAGGCAATAAAACCGTTGAAACGTAGCGACTCAACTCTTTTTTTTCATTCCAAATCACTTATTCTTTTCCCTATTTACTGCCTCTGTGGTGATAAAAACGCTACTGATTACAATGTTTAAAGGAATATAATCAACTGAAAAGGTCAAATGTTTTGCTAATCAACACTTTTCATTAGATGTCAACAATGGCTAATGAGACATTAAGGATAAACCTGACCTGTAATTGTCGCAATAAAAGTCCTGACCTTGAATTCTGGGCTTTTTTTCTCTATTCCATTCTGTTCTGTTGATTCTTCAAGAGTCCAGAATAATGTTGAAACAAGAATGCATAATTGTTGAGATTAAAGGGACTTGAGCGCTTCTCTGGTCCGTGACTTGATTGGCGCACTTGGAAACTGTTGACACTCAAGATTCACATTAAGCCCGGAAAAGAAACAATTGTCTTCCGTATTCAAACATTCATCTTTTAATCATCTTTTTTCCTTCCAAGTTTCATGGTAATCTTCCTGCTCTTCACGGTTCTTTACTTGTATTCATAATCAATTGATTTTTGTCATTTTACTTTGACTAAATGTGTCTCATTAAAGGCTCACCTGCATATGAATATTTATTTTTCAACTCTTTTCTTGTCTCTCCATTGTTAACCTTTTTCAAACAATTGTCACTCTAGTCAATCATGTTTTCATGTTGGCGTATTTGGAAATTGAATTTTTAAATCTTTTAAATCCTTGAAATATGAACTGATTTATCTGTGATTTACATTAAGTAATGAGTGGGTAAAGAGCATAAATAGAGTCAGACTTTAATGTGGATCAAGAGAAGTGACAAGATGAATAGTTCAACTATTGAAACTATTTGATATCATCAAGGATTTCATTTGATTTTTGTTACATTTCACTTCATCAGCTGATATTTGAATCGGAAAAATAAACATGAAAAGCTTACAATTGATGAACCATTTTTTCACCTGAAAATTGCATTCATTTTGTTATTAAAAAGTGCTTTTTATTCATCAAAACAAAATCATATTTTATTGCAAAATTTGCTTACAAGAAATTAATTTGTATTAAAAATGTTAATCTACTTGTTCAATGGTTGAACCAAATTCGAGTTTTCATTTTTCATTTTCAGCATTTTGTTGAAATAACAAATGAATTCCAGTGAACAGCTTCGACTCTATCAGGTTAAATAAATCAATGGTTGGCCAAAGTGACTCGTTATAATTAATCAAGATCAGGATAATATTGAAAAAAAATGTGCTTCACTCAAATTACATTCAATTCTGTAAATCAAATTATCATAGCATAGTGGCATTTGTAACAGCAAAACTATTCAAAGCTAATTCAGTTAATTGTAAGAATGTGATTAAGAGTGATAATTGAAACTGTTGTTCACAGCATTGGTGACCAGTCAGCAAAACAAAACCTTGTTTGAAGAAAACGTTGTTTCCATTGAATGTTAATCATGAAAGCTTTCATCATAATTTTCGCTGTCATCTTGATCCAAATGGACATAAAGCCAACAAATGGACAATTGAATTTCCTTCGATTGCGACGACCACCATTCAATTTTCCATCGATTTCCAATCCAACTCCTAACCCAAACCCAAACCCAATTCCTAACCCAATCTCTGGTTCCAACGTTTTACCCGTTCAACAGCCACTAGATCCAGCAAAGTTAATGTCACAAATGGTTAACTTCAGTAAAATGTTATCGACTGCTGCTGAAGCACCGGTGAACAATGGGACTTCACCGGAAGATGTAAAGGCCAGAGCAATGGCACAAGTCGCAAAAATTTACAAGCCAGTGATTGACAAAGGTTTGCATAAAGCGGCCGATTTTGATAAAGGACTTATGAACTTGTTGAAAGGCTATCTTGGAGACATTTTTGACGATGCTACTGAAGGAGCCTACAGAACAGTCGATAAGCTGACAGGGACAGAGCAAAGTTCAACAAGTTGACCTTTTACAACTATTACAATTAACAGTAAATTGATCCCAGTTGAATTGAAACGTTAACTCTTCTCATTAAACCTTTTCCTATTCAAATGATTAAAAGTGAAACCTTTTGAGGTTAAAATGATTCTCCTTTAATGTCCATTCGACCAATAAAAGGTTAAACATGTTTTCTTGTTTTTATACCTTTTCGAGTCAACCTTATTAAATGACCATTTCACCCAAAACAATTTACAATTGCGAAAGCAAAAATTTAATCGCTTCTTACATAATTTACAGTTGTGTTAATTGTAACTGAGCAATTTAAGACAATGAAAAAGTGTCTTCAACTGCTTCGTATGGCAACAAAATGCGTTTTATAATTCATGATATGATTAACTTCTTGTCTTCAATGTGATTACCGTAAACAGATTGGATAAAATGTTTATCTCAAAACGTCAATCCCATGGATTCAGAGGTAAATTTGTAATCGCAATGAACATAATACAGAAAAACAATCATCAACTGTCATCGTGTAACCAACCAGATTACTGAACATTCAATAAATCATCAATTCTCAGTGCTTAACCTCAAATCAATACAAAGTTCAGCAAGTTTTGTAGGTTGAGGTAAAAATAAAATTGTCTAGTTTCTGTTCATTATTTATCCAAATACGGGCTAATTTGATTGATTCTTCTTCTTCTTCTAATTGGAAATGAATTTTGATCAGAATTTCCCAAAAAAATTGGAACTTTGTTTTGAAAATAAATGAATAAATAAATGAAAATCAGTTTCCATTGAACTGAAAACCAAACAAAAGTGTTCAATCTATATTAGTTATGAATGCTTGGACTTCTCAGTTAACATCTAATTTTGGGTTAAATGAAGCTGCGACTAACAAATGTTCAGATCGATGGGAGATTAATGGATATAATTGTAATCAAATGTAGGTTGCTTTATAAAAGCTTCATTAAATGATTTACCGAAAAAACAATTAGATTCCCTCCTTATTCTTAGGTTTAATCATGAGAACGTCATTGATTACAATGGAAATACAAGAGTTTTAATAAAAAGTAAAAGAGTTTGCGTTCATCACCACAGGCTTTAATAATAATAACTGTAATCAACAAAATTGAGTTAAACACAAGGTTAGTTGATAAGGAAGAGATGAAACATGGAAAGGTAAACCTGGAGAAGCTGAAAGAAACGGAAAACTCGAGTGAACAACAATTTAAATTGTTGACTCGAAAGGCTTTTGTTTAACACCAACGTTAACCCAACAGTGATTAGTGTAAAACCGAAGCAAACAAAAACTGTTGTCAACTTTGTCTCCATCCAATTCAATCAACTTTAATCATGGCTCATGATAAGTAAATATCCTTGGGCTGTTTGTAATCACTTATTAACGTGAAAACAATTACTTAATTGAACATTAACTGTTGATTAATTAATCTAAATGATTGTAATAATCTTTTGCCATTTGATAATGTTGATCATGAACCATGAAAAGTGGAAGAATCCTTTCAATGTAAAAATAAAACATTTCATTTTTAAACATTTGCTTTACATTTATTTTGGTTATTTTCTGGTATTTTTCTGGTTCTTTTGGCATTTTCACAGTAAAAGGCAATTCTAACCAAATATTGATATTGATACTCAATCAATGCAATAACTTTGTTTATTATTAAACAATTAATCACGAGTGGAATGATTGACATTGTCTTTGTCTGGTAACTTTCCTGCTCTCAATGTAAACCCAAAAGTCCAATGGCCATGAGATGTTTTTACCAGATTAGAGCCGTAAGGAATGTTAGGAGTTATCAGTTTTTACCATGTAAATTTGACAACAGGATTGAGTCCATTTAAAGCAATCATTGTTTGAAATGAATGGAAACTTTTCTTTCTCTTGTAGGAATTGAATAGAACCATGAATAGCATCATGAATTGTATGATAACTTGAAAGTTATGGTCGACTGGATTTTGGTCAGTCAAACGGAATGATATTCATAATGAAAATGGAGCAAACATTTCCAAGAAAATTTATCATTTCTAATCTAATAAATGCTAGAAAGAAATCCATGAATAGAGAATGGAAGAAGAGAAAAGAAAAGAAGAGAAAAAAATGTGAACATTTTATTTGCTTTTCTCTCTTCATTGTTCCATTTATTGTTTCATTGACAGAAGTGTCATCCGATAATGATAAAGGTGAAGATGATGGTGATGTTACATGGTGATTACAAGGGTGACAAATGTAATCAATCTTTAAATAATCATTATTCGATAAACAATTATCGGTGAATGTGGAACGCGCCAAAAACAGTTGAATCTTTCATCGCCTACTGAATCCTTCCCACCTTACCATTGATTACACTTGTTGCGTTGACTCCAAATGAAGACAATCTCAAGGCATGACTTTCCATCTTCCTCTCTCTCTCTCTCATCTTCCACGCCTTTCTTTTTCTCTTTCATCTTCATCATCGTTTCCCTTTCGTCTTATATTAACTTGACAATTTGATTTAATTTTGATCAAAACAATTTACCGAGAATCTGGTAAAGTTGAAGCCTTGTCTCGCAACTGCTACCAAATTACCCAAAGTTAAAGATCAATTTTCTTGTTCAATTTTTCATTGATTAACATCAATGTAGACAAGAAAGTTGAACACTTTTACTTTGACCAACTGAATCAATGAACATTTTACAGGTTAAACCTTTTTTTGTATCACAATTTGAAAAATTAAATTGTGTTTCAACGAAAGTTTAAAGTTGAATCAACTTGAATCACTTTCAACTTTTGTTTTGACCAAAAACAGAGAGAAAACATTATTCTGTTTTTACTTCTGTTTTGTTTCTCCATTGAGTGACCATTAGGAAGTTTTAAGACAATTTGATATTAATGAAGTCTTTATTATCAAACCAAGTGACATGGTTAACCCTGACCTTTGGCCTTGTGACAATGGTTAATACCATTCCAGTGACTATCAACGAGAATAACATTAATCAACATTCAAATCATCAACCAGTCAATCCAACGACTAGTTTTAATCAAAAAGTAATCCTTTCTTTGCATCAACATCTTCAACCAACATTACAACCATCAACATCATCAACATCAATTGCAACAAAATTATCATCTAATCAAGCAAAAAGTCACAATCCTAATCATAAGGTAAGCAATCAAATCTGTAAACAACTTGACATTACAATGAAATTGTTGATTCCAATGAAAATATTGCCAGTTTTTTGGGTAACATTTTGGTTGAGTGAGAAAAGGGTTTTTGATTGTTTGATTAAAGGTTAACTTCGAGCTAATTAACAATTCTTAATCTGATCCAGGGAATCATTAAAAGAGCCAAATTAGGATCGTTTGATAATCATTTTATGAGATCAATTTTTACGATTAAACGGCATTTTTTGCTCATTTAACATTCAATGAGTTGCCAAGTTTATTAATCTCGGGATTAAGTTGATTAAGGAATGATAACCAAAGGATAATAAAAATTGGATTATAATTGATGCCAAATGAGGTTCGCCATCAAAAAATTTATCACATTCTAGCGATTAATTTATCGATTAAACACATTTATGATTTGCTTTTAATGAACTTTGAAAGATCATTAACTAAATTCCGTCAACAGAATGTCTTTAAATTATTCAACTTTTAATGTGAAAACACTTTTACTTATTAACTTAATTATTGATTAATCAAAGCTAATGATTTAAGTGAAAAGCTTAATGAATTTTGACCTTTTTTTTAATATTTTGTCTCATTGAAAGATAATCAATTGATAATTCGATTTAATCATTTCAATCAACATTTGGTTAACCTGGAAATTAGATTAGCTTTGATTGTCAAGTGTTGATCTGTTTAAGTGATTATCTCTTGTCTCTTCGCTTGTGATGAAAGTCAATGAAAATAGGATAATTAGTTATTCAACAATTGAAAGATTAACTTGATTCAAATTGATTTGATTAATGGTGACCAAACTGTTTGATAGCAAAGGCAAACCCGATTTTGCTGCTTTGATTTATGTCTATTAACTGCTAACTGTGAATGTTTGATTAACTCGTTTGAATTAAAATTATTATTAATTTCTTGTTTGCTCGAATCATTGATTTAACCTTTTCATCTTTTGTTAATTATCATGTTAAACCTACAGAGGTTAATTGAGTGCAAAAATTGTAAGCTAATTGGTGTAATTGAAGTTAATTTGGTTGTGTTGGTGAAAGGCTTATAAATGATTCCAATTGATTTAACAGTTGAAATTGTTATTGAAATGAAACTGCTAATCAACAGTTGTTTTACATTTTTCAACAATTAATATTCAATGTTAATCAACTCTTTTTTTACATTAATTTCTCAACCAGATTCTAATGAGTTACATTTAATTGCAATTGAGATTAAACTCTATTGGACTTAAGGGTATACCAATAGCAATGTACAATTTTTTGTTGATGATTGTTCACTTGAATGGGAATCATTTAATTATTATTGTTACTTTGCTCATTTACATTTGATTAACTTGTAATAATGGAAAGTCAAATTTAATTAAATCTAGTTTGGGCTTAATCTTAATTACTATCGATCAACTAGTTGACCTTTTATTGGCTTGATAATCATTTCTATTCAAATTCCAGTCTACATTTTTATTCATTTTCATGACAATATTAAAAAATATTTTTCCTTTTCTTTGATCAACTCTTATTGAATATGAACTTGTCATACTTTTTATCATCAATGAAACCTTTAAGTACATTATAGGTGCATCTGTGTATGTTGGGATTTGGTTTCAGGTTAAGCTCAAGATTGATAAATTGTTTCGCTTAATTAGTTTCATTTTTTTAATTGGACTTTCAAATTAACCAGAAAGTAAGAGCTGCCCTCTAATGTGATTATAAATAAGCTAATAAAGTTGGTTTTTAATTACATGAGATGGCGGCTCTTGAGAAAAAAACAAAACAAACTGCAAGTTGATACAGTTTTTGGTAAATCTATTGAAATATTGTTGGTGATTAAAACTTGATTTTATCATGTTAAAGGGTTCAATTTCAAGATATCTGATTGTCAGTGTGTGGTTATTTAATTATTAAGAAATATGTGATTTCATTACAAGATTATTTGGAAAATTATGGGTATGATTACATGATTTGTTAACCAAAATTTAGTTCCGCTTGTGTAAAAGTTATTTTTTTCATTGGTTTACTCATTATTTATTTGTTATTTTTTGATGTTCTCATTGATTCTAATCAAATTTTTACCTTTCTTTTTTTTCTATAACAGGATAATTTAGGACATCAACAAGGGTCAGCAATCAAGCGGCCTGAGAGGTTAAAAAGATCTGCAATGTTATTGAATAAAATAGTGAGCGCCTTACATAAAGCGATGGATAATAATAAATCTCGTTCCAATAGAATTTATTTGGACTCTTATCAATCTTCATTATCTTCAAGTCAACAAATGGATCTTTCGAGGCGAACAGGATCCAAGAAAATGTTTCGTAAATGTTACTTTAATCCGGTTGCATGCTTTTAATCGAGTTTATTCCAACATTTGCAGAAAAATATTTTCTTTTTCAAGTTAAATTGACCACTCAATTTCCTGTTCCTGTTAACATTTAAACTTGAAATGTCAATGATAGGATAAAGTGGAAAGATAATTGGAGAAAAGAGTTCAATAAAACATGAACTATCGTAAATCTCATTCTGGTCACCAATTCAATAATGCAAAACAAAACGAAATTATGGTTGCCATTTCTCTTTTTTTTGGTTGAAACACTTATCGTCACTTTCAATTCAAGTCTTTTTTTAATTTCAATTTTGGTTCATTGAAATTTAAGATTAAGTTATTTCAGTGTCAAGCCATTGATCAATGTTTTATCTTCGATATTCATAAATGGATGGAATCAAACAAGCATGATCAACATTCCCATAATTCTCAATCTCATCATCATGCTTAATTTCATTTTGTTCACCTTAATATTTGTTTTTTCTTCTGTTAATAACGAATCGATTGTTTTAATATTTGTTCAAAATAATTCGAAATATATTAATGCATTTAAAAAAGCAACAAAATTGTCTAATTGATAATAATTCTCATTTGGATCATCAAGATAACGGAACGAATGGATCCACTCAAGGCTAATAAGATTTCATTTTCCTTTTGAGTTAAACTCATCAACTCGGAACTCTGAAATTCCAATCTCGTTCGATAAAATACTGGATTCGCTGAATAGTCTGTTAAATTGTTTAATGTTCAGCTGAAACAATTGATTACAATTGAATATTTTTGTAATTCTGAGTAATAAATGTTGATATTAAAAATAACAAGCAACGAGTCAAAGCAATGTGTAAATTACGTGGAATATCATTTTCTTACAAAAAAAAGTATCGAAGATATCTCAATTTTACTTGCATGAAGAGATCTTTATCATAATTTTCAAAGCTTTAACCCTAGATTAATCCCATGATTGATATTGATTAGAATAACTAGGCTGGGCCAAACTTGTTTTCTCATTAGCTGATGAACTAGAAGCAGGTTCTGCCCATGGATCGACATTTGGATCCCAAGTCTGTCCCATAGATGAAGGCTGTTGGTCGATAACTGTTTTACTAGTCTCTTGATCACTTTCAAATTCATCCTGAAATAAAGAAGTAGAAAAGTTATCAGTACCATAAAATAAGAGCAAAAAGGTGTGTAACCTGAGAAATTTACTTTAAGATTCGAATAATCGCCCGTTCCCGTTGGAGTTTTAGGTTTGAATCTGTAAATAAAAAAATGAATTAGAAAGGAATAAAAAATTGATGATAAATTCTGTATCCTTACTTTCCACAGCAGAAATTGAAACAACAAAAGCAGCAACAGCAACAACAACAGCAAGTGAGAATACTGGTAATACTAATCAAAAATTTTCCCCATCTGGATGATAAGAATTGGTGGGTATTCACAAAATCATCTCCAACTTGCTGGATCACGTATATGCCGAAAGATCCGTAGCTATCATAAATATTTCGCTTAGGAACATCACTCAATACTGTATTAGCTTTATTGATGTCTTTAAATTTTTCTAGGGCCTCCGGATTATCAGGATTTTTGTCTGGATGATACTTTAGGGCCAGCTATGAGTAATGATAAATAACAAGACGAGTTATTAATAGTTAAATATACAGCTCATGATACAGTTAGATGGTTTGAGAAGAGAGCCACGATAATGAAAAATTCTAGCAGGCTAGTCACGTCATTAGTTTAAATCGCACCTTTCTGTAAGCTCTTTTTATTTCATCGGCTGTTGCGGTTTTAGGTATTCCCAAAATAATATAAAGTGACTCTCCCGAGGTTCTAGAATGCACAAAAAATCACAAATTCAATGAAATAATCAACCAAATGAGAAATCAGAAACGCGAAAGAATAATAAAGTTGATTACGGCAAGACTTACGAGAGGCGTCTTTGAGATGGATCGTCCATTGTTATAACTAGGGATGTTTATTGAAGAAGTAACCAATACTGAGATACCTAAATAGAAGAAATAAAGCAATTAATTGTCGCAAAATTTTCAAATAAACAAGTTTGAACAGTAACAGATAAGTATTTGAGGCTTACTAATAGAGGTGTGAATTTGGTTTTATTGATACATGATGAGCAAGGCTTTTCAGATTCAACAGGTGATTTTATGACAAGATGTGGATGGAAAAATAGACTAGAAAATCCAAATAAATGAAAAAATAAAGGGTCAGTTAATCTGAATCACTCACTAGAAGAAAATGAAAGACAACTGTTAAATACTGTTACATAGAGTAATCACATGATTAGCTTGGGCCGGTTTACATTACCATTTTAAAGCGCAAACTTCAATTGCACTAAACCTTGCGTATCAATACAGTAAAATACAAGAAAAAAGGTTTAGGCTACAATAAGCCTTAAATTCATCCGTTATAAAGAAAGTATGGATTTCTTTCGGCTCATTGAATGTACATTGGCCTTTTAAATCGGCCTTTGTCCTCGGTAAATTTTTTTTCGACTTTTTCAACTTTTGTTGCCTTGTTATTGGAACTGGGAATCAACTCAAATTCAAGTTTTTCCAAGATTGATAAGGAATTTGTTGCCTTAGTTGAGGCCATTTTTTATTCTGCTAATAAGACTATCAAGTTGTAAGTTTACCTCGATTGAAGTTTTTCCTGAGAGGTACAGATTATATGAATGAGATTAATAGCGGTATAATTTTTGAGCTGTTTTTTACAGAGATTTTCTCAAAGATTTATCCTGAATTTTATATTGAACAATCGGCGAGTTTTTCTTGTCTACATCGTTTGAATTTAGATTCAGGAGTTGCAAGACCAGTACTTTTCAATTGGTTTTTGTCTGTTTCCTTTTTAAAATGGCTGGAGAAATTTTGACAGATAAACAAAGGAAATTTCAAGGATATCTCTACAGTTCCGTTCAACTGTGTCCTTTTTAGTAACCAAAACTCCTTCCTCGGATAAATACTGATTAACTAATCTATTCTTCTTGAGATCATCTCTTTGGAATAAGCCGTACCTCAGTGTTAGATTATCGATCTAGAATATGAAGGAATACTTCAAAGATACTGGAACAAAACTTTAAAGGCCAATGGCAAAAACAGGTAAATTAAACCACAACGAATCGGGTGAATCTTTTAAATCGATAGACACATTGATAACCATTCATTTTGTTGCCTCCTAAACATTCAACTGTGAACGGGAAAGAAAGAAAGGAGTTTTAAAACAGTAGCAACGAAATAAAGTAAAATCCTTCATATTTCACTTCATAATCATGCAAGATTCAAATTTCATAGCCTCTGTAAAAAAGCTGAAACCTGAAGTTCTTCAGATTCTTGTTCAAATCTCAGCCCGAGATTCTGAAGCTCAAGACAAAAACACAATCATTCACGCCATCTAGGGAATTACCTAACCACTACATCAACTGGCGTTACTAACGGAAACAAACTGTAAACTAAACACGAACCGCGTAATTTAAACTCCAACTAAATAAGTTGAAATTGATCAATTTTCGTTGTTAAACTGATAAACTCATATTACAAGCTGAAATTTATTGAATATTGTTATCAATTTGAATAGCAAAAATAGCAGAAATACGATATTCAAATAGAAACTGAAGAAACATAAAAAAGGCAAACAATTATGTTTATAATTCTTTCTCCTTTCCACTGTAATCATTTACCCTGAGCTGCGTAGTTGATGAGCATTCCCATTTCCAGATTCGTGGATAATGTTTTCCTGTTAAACATTCATCACTGTCCAGTCGTCTTGGTAACAATTGTTTTATTAACAGTATAAAAAAACCTTAACTCAAGTCACTTGGATTAATTGAACTTCAATTGAACCTTTCAAGACTCATTTTTGTTTTGTTGATCCAATTCAGTGTAACCCTCGAGTGTCATCATACAAAGACAATATCATGATCTTGCAAACCATTAGCATCATCTTTACATTTGCATTTTACTGATTATTATGATTTTCACAATTATGTTTCATTATGTTTCTTGCAATATAATTTTCAATTCTTGTGTCAACTACAAGTCCAACTTTTTCCCAAATTAAACACTCAACCAAACACCATTTATCCTGCAACCAGCAAATATTTTCAGCTTAAATTAAAGTGACTTCACTCTTCAACAACCGATTTAACCGTTAATCAAGTGAGTTATCATTTGTGACCAAACAATCAAATACTTTTTTGGATAATTTTTTAATCATTTGTTGGATAAACTAATTGGTAAGTTTCAATTTAAAGTGAATGATCATTTGTTTTCAATTGAAAAGTGATTTCAATGAATAAATACTTTGCACTTTCAACATTTTCATGAAAACTCTCTTTTTGAGCTTCTGTTTTGAGTTGAGTTTTCATTGATGTTAATGATGACATCAATAAATTATCTCAATTAGATTATATCACGAAACTGTTCAAGTTTAATAAATTGAATCGACTTGATAACAATAAATGTCACTTCATATTCAACTCTCAACATTGGGTTCATTAAAGTCTCATTGATAATTGATTGCCTTTTGAAACGAAAAGTGGCTTTAAATTTGAAAATTTTGTCACAAAATCGACATTTATTTTACCCTTGAATTGGAAGATGAAATATTCAATTCCAAGAAATTCCAACAGAATTATGATAAATGATTATACACCAATGGTGAATACTTTGAAATAAGGCAAAGAAAATTTGGACTGACTTTTGTTTCTTTTTACCCAAAAATGGGTTTAATAGACTGACTCCTAATGGGTTTACAATTTGAAACCTTTTTGTTCACATTTATTGCTTTAATATTTCTGAATATCCAAATATAAATCACTTTGAGTAAACCAGATTAACAACAATCAAATTCACTTGAAATTGAGTGCATTGATTATTGTTAATAAACTAATGGCTGGATAAAAGATTCAACGCTTTTTATTGATCAATTTTAGGTTCAGTTTCAAATAAACACTTTTCACTCAAAACTAAACGACTAATTATTCCAATTGATTTTCATTTAAATATGCAATTTATTTTGTCATATTATTTCATTTTATGAGGAAAGTTGATTATCATAATGTTGCCAATGTTTCTCTTATTACGCGTTAATGGCTGTTGCTATCAAATGATTAACGACAGTTGACTCACATTTAGACATATTAATCAGTTAACCCATTAGCTTATCTCGGATGAATATGGAATTGCTTTTTGATCAATCAACTTGTAAGCTTTCAATATTTCAACCCAAATTTTCTGCCTTTTCATGGTTTATCCACAATTATCAAACCCAAAGTAAAGTCTTTGGAGTGAATTGCTATGAAATTTATATCAGATTAGAAAACATTCAGAAGGAAACTAATCTGTTGGGAGTTGATCCGCTTATCCTGACAAGAATCGAACATTTAAATGAAAACACTTTTTATTTCCATTGTAACATGAAATACCAATTATCTGAAGGTCGACCATCCATGAATTTGGGAGTAAATAATGCAAAATTACAACACTTTTGATAATCTCGACTTTAAATAACATTCAAAAGCTGGTTCAAAGACTTAATTTTTTCTCCTTCGATATTCAGTTTGAATGAAAAGTTTTGGAAATGAAGATAAGAAGACAAATAATGGTCTTTGGATTTGAAAAGTTTCTCGATGAATGATGAACACAATTCATGAAAGAGCATTTGATCGACTTCCAAATGATCAATAAATTGTTTACACTTGTTAGCATTTAACTTGAAATTTAAAGATTTTTCTCTATTCATTTGCTCATGTAATTGTTCATTGAAAAGATAATCGGATTGGTTTGCTTTTCTAAATGTTGTCTAATCTCATCTGAATTTCGTGGTAATTTACTCAAAATGATTTGACTGTAAATCGATAATTCAGACATCTTTTCCTTGTTTACTTCATTTTTGTCTCACTTCATCAATCACGATGCTTCAGGTGATGATGAACCCTTTAACCTCTTAAAGTCAATCGATAATATCAAATTGCAAATCGAAAGTCATTCCAGTCAAACTCCGTTCAAAGTGATTCAACAAAATGACTTTCGTTTTCAGGTTAGCTCAATCTTACCTTGAAAAAATGAAATATTGTTATGAATCTTAATCCAATCTGTAGATGAAATTGCACGCTCATGGTGTTGATGAACAGATGAACCAAATTGTTCATTTTAATTGAATTCTCAAGTAACCATTAGCTGAAAGAGAGAATCAAGAGTTTAATGAAAATTGAGAAGCAAAATGTCAACAAAGTCTTTTCAAGCCCAACAATGTCTTTTCTGTGTTCACCTTTAATTTCATTTCAAACATTTACTTAATTGATTCATTTCATTGTTGTGTTGAACAAAGCATTTACTTTGGCATAAACAAAAAGAATGGATAAAAATAAGTTTCAACTGATATTTGATCAAAGATGAGCATTCCTTGTTGGCTTCAGTTGAACATCAGGAAACCTTTCGACTCAAGCTATTGATTTAAATGAATTTCTCGTCTTAATACCTCAACAGGTTGACATTGTTTTCAGGTTTTCTCTTCGATTTCCATGCAAAACGATATTCTTCCATTATTAGCATTCTATTCAGTTTTCCATTTACAATAAAAGTTTAATAGAATTCAAATTTCTCCATTTTCCTCTCAAAACTCATGATTATTTAAACAACACTTTGTTTGAAACTACAAATGGACAGAAAGATTTGTAATTTAATGGAGAAATGATCTTAAGAAGACAAAAACTGCAAAATCTATCGATTGATTGTTCAATAAAACAACAGATTATCATGCTGTGTTATATGGCTTTCCTCGTGAATCTAGATCATGCAAATTCTTGTTCTGATTTTGCTCAATTCCATAAACTTGTTGATATTTTGCATCGCAATTTGATCAAGTCAAAGTGTATGTCAAGTGAATGATGAATGCTTGAACAAAGTCGAGTCTAATCAGTTTAACCATGTTTTGGTTGCACCAATCGACTCGTCTTTCGACAGTTTCAAGTCAATCTCTGTCGTCCTGCAATCTCACAAATCGTTAGTTGAAAAATGACCTGAAAATATTCAAATGATGTTTTGCAGAAAACATGGAAAAAGAAATGAAATGTAAAAGATTTGCAAATAAACTATTATATTTTTCTTCTTTTCGTGATGAGTATTATTCTTCTGGATAGATTCTGTTATTGCCTCTAGTTTTATTTCATAGTTTTTTCATAAATCTTCATAAAAACATACTTAGAAAGAATAAAAATCTCAATATTTAGATTGAAATTCAAGAAAAGAGTTGATTTACGCCGTAAATTTGCATTTATTGTAATATTATGTTGGAAATTTTGCAGACTTTCGTTTAAAGTTTCTGGTTAAAAGATGAAACAAACTCAATTTTCCTTCTCAATATTCAAAAGATTGAAATATTAACTAAAATTATTCTTCATTAACATGAGTTATTGGTAGCCTGAATGATTAATGAGCAATGATTTATGTAGTTAACGTCATTTTCAATATGAAAATATGTCAATTTATTATAACATTAGGAACATTATTACTTAAGATTTGGTTCCATCAGGTGCTCTTGACCTTAACCTGCAAATCAAGTGACAATTTGGTGAGTAGAGCTAAAAATGCATTTATTAGCGAGAATCAAAGTCGTTTGCATAAATTTGACAAAAGACAATTCGATCATTTCAAAGCTCTTATTAACGACTAGAACCAAAAATAAGTTTCATCTCTTAATTGGCCATCAATTCTCGTTGAACTGATTTACTTTATGCATTCAATAGCACTCAATGGACTTGCTTCGGGAAATAAAATTTAAATTGCATTACAAAGCGCTTCGCTTTCGAAATGCTACTTTGTTTGATCAAACATGTTGATAAACAAACAATCAAAATTTAGACTTCGAACACTATTTATTCAAAAATAACGAGTAAACACAAGTGCAGTTCATTTTTGTGCCTGAAACATTAAATCTTGATTCTCTAAGCAAATGGAAAAGTTAGAATTGAAAAAGTTGTTTTCGATCAATCACAATTTATGGGCTCAACGTGGATCATCCAGATCTCAATGCTTTGCAATATCGATTTTGCGTTTCATTAAACATGATTTCGCTGGAAGCTTGATTCCAAGAAAGCTCTGACTATTTTTTTCAATCATTTAGTCAATGACCATCATTTGAATGTGCAGACTCTTCAAGAACTCTTATGGTTCTCTGACAAGCATAAACAGTGCATTCGTTCATAAAGATTAAACAAAATCAGATCGAAATCATAATTTTAGCAATACTCGAATGTTTTATCGATTAAAGATTGAACAATATCTTTTTGGTTGAAAAGTAGATCTTCTGGTCTTTTATACTTTTCCAGATCTCATTTAATCTGAACGAAAATGGATTTGATTTTAAATTGAATGCAACATAATGTAACTTGGAAAACCATTCAGTTCTCATCGATTTCATTCTGTTATCAGATTTACTTTCAAGTTTGGGATCATCTAAATTGGCTCAAAAATATACCACGTTTCAGCACAGTTAATCGATATGTTTCTGATCACTTTTACAATTTTATTATTGATAGTTATAGTGAATTTAAGTCCATAATATGATTAAAAGTCATTCGACATACAATGTAATGAATTGAAGCGGTCAATTCGTACAAATTTAGACAACAAATTTTCTAAGCAAATATTGATTTTACAATAATTTTTGTCTGGATCAGTCTATTGTAAAGCTATCTATTTATAAATCGAGAAGTGTACGCAGCAAGCTTTTCCTTTCGAGTTAAATAATGAAACTTTGGAGGTCTGTAGGAGCGTAAAAACTGCATCCATTAGGGCTGTTGAAAAACTTCATCGACACTTTTTCTGGAAAATCGAGGTCAAAGTTAATTGTGATTAATAGTCTTGGACTATTCGTGATATTGTTAGCTACTCAGTTCAAGAGGTGAGCTATTATTTCAACTCGGTTGAAATACTGAACAATTGACTCAACCGGGTTGAGTCAGTCTTTGAGATTCTTGAAGCTATAAAGCTGAGGCTTTGGAAATATAGCTAAGACAGTGACTAGTGCCTTGAACCAGTAGTTATACAACATACATTAAAATATATTTTAGTTTCAATATCTTTGTGTATAATGTGTGTATATTGTTTTAATGTGTCTGAAAAGACACAATAGACACAATTGTAACATTTCTGCCTCAAACCTGTGCACAAATGGGCATAAAAGGGTAGAAATTAATTTCTTTGAAATTTAATTGCTACTGATTTGTAGGAC